AACTAAATACAATCCCCAAATTAGTGAACAATGGCTTGACGGAAAGACAGGATTTGCTCTCATCTAGCGTGAAATGACAGTTCAAACAGTTGCCTCCCATACACGCTGTTAACTAATCGATTCCATCTCACCATTTACAATCAGAACTAATGTGATCGACAGATCGGAACTTGTACAAAACCTAAAGCATTGGGTAACAAAGAGAGTTTGGAAAAAAAAAACTATTTTAATTGGAGGCTGGATGAAGTGTGTAGACTTTTATAAGGGAATGAGACGGTTTGGCTTCGGCTTTATAATTCAAAGTGTCTCTGTTAACTGGAGAATTCGCAATTTTAACATGTAAAGAAGATAAGAATGCTCGGGGGGGGGGGGGGGGGGAAAGAGGTAGGGAGCTCGGTATAAGCAATGAAGTGTGACGAGGGGCATCATAAATATTTGGATATAACATGCGTCTGAGTTACACTTTAAATTATTGTAAAGATCTACCAACCACACCTTCCCCTTATGTGGTGAGCCACAGCTGCACGAAGGTGGCCAGAGATCTAGGTGACCGCAACCAAACATCTTTGTCCTTGAATATATAGTTCATCGGTGTGTGTTACCACACCATTACAACAACATCTCTGTGGATTCACCACACCATCACCACATCATCTCTGTGGATTCACCACACCATCACCACATCATCTCTGTGGATTCACCACACCATCACCACACCATCTCTGTGGATTCACCACACCATCACCACACCATCTCTGTGGATTCACCACACCATCGCCACACCATCTCTGTGGATTCACCACATCATCTCTGTGGATTCACCACACCATCACAACATCTCTGTAGATTCACCACACCATCTCCACACCATCTCTGTGGATTCACCACAACATCTATGTGGATTCACCACACCATCTCTGTGGATTCACCACACAATCACAACAACATCTCTGTAGATTCACCACACCATCACCACACCATCTCTGTGGATTCACCACAACATCTCTGTGGATTCACCACACCATCACCACACCATCTCTGTAGATTCACCACACCATCACAACAACATCTCTGTGAATTCACCACACCATCACCATCACCACACCATAACAACACCATCACCACACCATCTCTGTGGATTCACCACACCACCACAACGTATATCCCCTATGTGCAGTTACCACCACACAACCACACTACATTAAACACACTATGCCCCCCCCCCCCCACACACAAAAACACATATTTGACATGCTATAACGTTTCAGATATCTTATACACGTGTACTGTTTAAAAAATTAAGCTGTATGATGTTACGGTTAAAATCCATAATATTTTTCCGTTTGACCGCTAATGCGGAAATACTAGTTATACGAAGCTTTTTTTTTACCTTGATGTCAGAAGTTGAAAATGAAATCAGTTAGAAATAAGATATCGCTGTAATACGATAATTCAAACAATAAAAAAAAACATTGAATTTTTTTTCTACTTTTCCCCCGCTTGAACAAACAAACAAATCGTTTGATTGATTTATAGCATCCTGCGGAATAAAAGGGCGGGATGGGGTGGGTCAATTGGAATAGACATTCAAGTTTCCGTCTGTTTGTTGGACATCGTTTGGACCGCTCGCTTCTACAGTTTTCTACAGGCTAAATGTTGGCTTTATACAGTTTTCTACAGGCTAAATGTTGGCTTTATACGGTTTTCCCACAGGCTAAATGTTGGCTTTATACAGTTTTTTACAGGCTAAATGTTGGCTATTTGCAGTTTTCTACAGGATAAATGTTGGCTATTTGCAGTTTTCTACAGGCTAAATGTTGGCTATATGCAGTTTTCTACAGGATAAATGTTGGCTATATGCAGTTTTCTACAGGATCAATGTTGATTATAAGCAGGCGACAAGATGGTTATCACTCATAGTTTGGAACTATTTAAAAAGTTGTTGATAAACATTGGGTTTTTTTTTTAATATTTATGCCAAAAATATTTTATTTTTTCGACAAGCACGTTTACTGTGTGGTGGTATTTCAAGTGTTGTGTCAGGAATAATTTGGGAGGAAACATTTTTATTGTCATGATATCACTCAACAACTGATTACACTATAACGGTTTAGTCAGTGGTGATTAAAAATATTATGGTCGTAACATGGAATTTTGTGTAACTTTTAATAAGTGGTAATTAGAAATGTTATGGTCGTAACTTGGTATTTTGTGTAGCTTTTGATCAATGGGATTAAACATGTAATGGTCGTGTAACTTTTAATCAGTGGTCATTAAAAATATTATGGTCGTAACTTGGTATTTCTGTAGATTTTAATCTGTGATATTTTAAAGTAAATACTGGATAAAAATTGTTCAGTGCAGAGGCTAACTTGTTGTAAACTGTCGAAGGAAATTTTAGTAAGTGAACTGAATATAGATGTCGTATGGTACTAAAACGTAGCGGCAGATTAAAAAAAAAAGATAGTAACGTTTTGATCAAATAGTTTTTGGAATGAAGCAGTGCTTTTGAGTTTTAAAATGTCATTGTCGAGCAATATTTTTCAAAATCAAACAATTACAAACACAACGTTTTCATTGGTTAATGACACTGAAATCAGCTTAACCGAAGTGTTAGTCATTGCTGGAAATAACATCGTGTCGTTGATGATTCTGACCAACAATTCTCTTCTGCTTATAACGTTCGCCAGGACTCGGAAACTATGGACACAGCCCAACGCCTACATCGCTACACTCTCCATAGCAGATCTGCTGGTTGGATTAATGTTAGTTGTCCGAAATTTCTGGGTCTTTCCTCAAACTCGGTCAGTTTTTGAAAACAACAAATTCGCTTGTTTGCCCGTAACGTGCATTCTGTACATCAGCGCTTTGGAGTCTTTAGGCTGCCTCGTTTTGATGTCAGCTGACAGGTATTTTTATATCGTTCACCCGTTTTGGTACGAGAGTAACATGACTTCGCGCGTGACACTGCGGCTGATCATTACGTCATGGTGTGTTTCCGCCTGCCTCGGAGTTTTACCCATGTGGCTGAACGACTTCTCGCCCGTCATAGGTTGCAACCCTATGATCATCATATCTAAATACTACCTTCTGTGCTGCCTGTGTGTGTATTTCATTGCCGCAGCCACAACCCTAGTTTTCCTCTACGGTCGTATTTTCTGTGTTGGGAACCGGCAAATTAGAAACATTCAAGTCAGCACAGTCGGCGCCCCGAACCAAAACAAAAAACACAGTTCAAACTGGCAAGTGATCCGATTTATTCTCCTGGTCTGCGGGTTGTTTTTCATCTGCTGGATGCCGTTACTCATTACCGTTATATGCTACTTCACATCCGGCGCGCACGACCTAGCAGTCAGTATAACAGTGAGCATTGCGGCCCTTAACTCTAGCCTGAACTTTTACGTTCTGTTGTCCATGAATAAGACTTTCAAGTGGGCTTTGATTCGAACATTGTGTCCTTATAACAGCGTGCTGGCGAAAATAAATGGAGCCGTTGTTTCGCCAAGTCATTTTGTTTCTACATTATGAATTGTTATTTTCATTGTAGGTCTGAAAGAAACTCTACATGGGCCTACATTAGCCAGTCGAGAGTTTAATACGAACCGTTTACAATCCATTTTTATAAGTTTTTATTTAAATCACAATATCTGTTTGTTTGGTTTTTGTGAACGTTTCGCAAATTTTGGAACTCAACTTTGAATCACTTGTAATTCACCACTGTCGTTTAAACTTTCCAGACACATTGGTCTTCTATGACAATGCAAGAATACATATTTTCAAAAATAATTATTCATTAAAATTGAATTAAAAGATTACTTAATTCAACAATAAAAGGGGAGATTAAGATTAAATATTAGCGACCCTATTATTTAGCCCAGAAGCGTAGCAACTTACCCTTCCCGGTGCCCGGGGACAAACTTTCAATTTGGCGCCCCCCCCCCCCCCCCCCAATATATTTTTTAAAGTTATAATGCAAAACTTCAGTTAAAATGAGCTTTTCATTTTTTTCCCAACCCATTTTGGCGCCCCCTAGGGACGGCACCCGGAGACATATGTACCCCCGCTACGCCTCTGATTTAGCCGTTTGTGAGCTTTTTTTTTCCACAGCTGAGCAGGCTGAGCGTAAACCATGGGCTAAGAAGTCTTAGAGATTGAAAGCTACTGAACAGTAAGGGGTCATCCATAAATGACGTCACGCTTTTTTACTATTTCCCCCCCCCCTTCCCTCCGTCACACGTCGTCACAAAAAGCCAGACCCCCCCCCCTAAAATGACGTCACACCTCAACCTACAACCCCCTCAAAATTGCAGTTGAATTTTTTTTAAAACGTCGATATTTTTCTAAAATCTTGTCTAAACTATTACTATTTATTAAAACAGTTATCTAAAATGCGAAATAACGTCTAAAATTCGTTTTCTAACATTGCTTTTTTATAATGCAAAAATGTGACGTCGCAACATCTGACCCCCCCCCCCCCCCCTCCTCATCACACATCGTCACAAAATTACGGACCCCCCCTCCCCCCTACGAGTGTGACGTCATTTATGGATGACCCCCTAAGGAAAATTTTTTTTTAGTCTGTACGCATGGCGGCAGTTTTTCTTAAAGGGGGATAATGCCAGACTAGGATGAATCGTTTGGTTTGCAAAAGCTCTACTTATACAATTACATTTTAAAAAAATGACGTGTTTAAAATCTAAGTGATTAAAAAATGCTTCATTTTATGTTCTGCATTTAATTTTTTTTTAAAAAAGTGATTCTTGGGAGGGTCCAAATAAAAAAAAAAAGAAGTCAGAAATTGTCTTTTTCAGTTATTCATCTGCTCCCTTCCCTCCTGAAGTCTTTAAAATGAACAGCTATTTTACAGAAAGAAATTGACTTAAAATTACCTATTATAATTAAATGTCAGTAAACTTATTTTACAAAGTATGTTACTTAGACTAAATGTTGCTTTGGGATTAATTAAAAATTAATGAAAAATGATTTTTAGTACATTTTTATTTTATCTGTTGAAGATCTCAGTATTGTGTGGATGAGTCATAAACTGTGATGACATATTGATGACATATTTTGAAATAAATATTTTTGTTGGTTTTTGTTATTATATACAATAAAAATTAAATCCAATAGGTTATAAAACATATGTAATATATGTTTTAAAAACAACATGGAACAAAATGGAAGCAAGAAGCAAACAAATAAAAACCAACAAAAAGTCAACAATTTTAAAATGAAACATTAATAAACTTTGGAGCCTTGCTTATGTATGCCAAGTAAAATCTTGACAGTTTTATTGTGTAAGTAACATTGGGCCTATAGGCCTGCATAAATAACTGTACACTGTACACTAGACCCAACAGCATGGATCCAAGTCCTAGTAAGTAACATTGGGCCTATAGGCCTGCATAAATAACTGTACACTGTACACTAGACCCAACAGCATGGATCTAAGTCCTAGTAAGTAACATTGGGCCTATAGGCCTGCATAAATAACTGTACACTGTACACTAGACCCAACAGCATAGATATAAGTCCTAGACTGATGTCTCCAAGGACACATTCGACAAAAACATGGGGTGGTCGTCAAAGGAAAATGTGGTTGTGCTGGGATACTGAAATAACAAAACATGTCCCATGAAACACATGAAGTAATTAAATCAATTAAAAAAAATAGCTTGATGACTACTGAAATTAAAAAAAAATTTTTTTTTCAAAATTATAATTGCGCAATGAGTACCCTCTTTACATTTTTATTAAATCTTTCAGTGTCATTGATCCTTGTAAACCAAACAAAGCCAGGTCTGTTTTATAATTGAACATTTCATAGAGATATAGTCAGAACAATGCACAAGATAAATTACTTGGTCCAAATTTGACCGATTAACTGAAACATTTTAGACTAAAAACAATTTCTTACACCATTATGTGTCGCAATATCACAGGAGAACTACTAATTTTTTTTTACACCATTATGTCTCTCCGTATAACAGTAAGACTAAAACAAATTTAACACCATAATGTGTCTCAGTATCACAGTAAGACTACAAATATTTTCTTACACTATTCAATGTCCCATTATCACAGTAAGTAGAATATGAGCTCTCCAAGGTAAATGCTTTGTTCACATATGCCAAACGCAGTTTGTCTCCCTCAGGATCTAGCACAAAGTCCTTGACATAGGTCACCTGCCGCCTGTGTTTGACTAGTGAAGGCCCCCAGTATTTGTTCGGAATGCTCTGTAACTTAATTTTCTGGACATTTGGAATAAATAAAAAGTAGAAAACATTTAAAAAAAAATTACAATTGAAATAATGGACACACCAAATAGTTAAAGTATCATAATGATTTAAATATGTTATTAACATAAAAAGTTTAAAAGTAAAACCAAAAATAAAAACGAAAAGTAAAAAAAAAGTCTGAAGATCCAACAGATTGTGAATGCTTATTGAAAATAAACACCAAAATACCAAATAAGTTCTTTATATCTGCTTAAAATTCTTTTAATTTTTATTATAACAATGGTTGAATGCTACCTCCATTAATGTTATGCCTTCATCTTCTTTTATAATTTTGTACAAAGCACAAACAGGAATCCATATGATAGAGGCAGCCATGATGAGCCAGCCAATAACTTCAGCAGCAGTAGGGTAAACATAACTGCCATATGTGGTGGCTGGATTGTCCACACAGGAGTAGAAAAATATCACCTGGGGATATGTTAAAAATAACTATTTCATTACTGCTCTTTATTTCTGCTGCAACATGTCTTTATCAACAGTAGGATAAAAAACTATTTGGTATGTGTTATTGTAAAATCACATTTTAGTTAGAGATTAATGTGACATAGACTTACAATAATAATGAGTGGTGTCACACACATCCACAAAACTTTCCAACACAAAGATGGCTCTGTACCAAACATAATGGTCATATCTTGGTACAAACGATTGCATCCTAAGAAAAAAAAATTTTGAGTTTGATTCTGTTTAATTTCAGTTTATTAACTATATCAGTAAGGAGAGAAATGTTCTCGAGTCACTATTTTAATAAATAGGTATATTTTATAGTCACTATTTGAGTACAAGGGTAAATGTACTATTTGAGTAAAGATGTAAATGGTCTAGTTTAAGCAAAGATTGTCAAATTTGCTCTCACCATACACATATGTCACAGCCACAAGCTCTGTTAGTCCACTGACCATGAGTGACCATGAACCAATGTAAGTATCCATTAGAGTAAAAATGTACATGCCACCCTAAAGATAAAAGTCTTTGTGATTTTAAATGTAACTATTTATTTTAATCCTAACATGCACGCACAAGAAATAATTTTACACAACAGTTACAATAAATGTGGAATATATGTCAATAATAATTCAAATTAAATAATTAAATTATCGAATACATATTAAAAAATTACTGTTTTATGATATGAAAATGAAATGTAGATTATATTATAAATAACTCTTTTAAAGAAATATCTTTTTGACTCAGTAAGTATGAAAATAATATCTAATATGAGGTCCCAAGAGAATACTCACATTTGTAGCTAAAGGAAGACTCAAAATAAACATTGTGGAGCATAAGAGAAATATAAGGACAACTTTCCTCTGTTTGTAGTGAGGTCTTTGATCAATGACACTGGTTAACACAGTCGCAACAACTGAAAACTTCATAGTAAAACATTATTTTAGATACGTTTTAAACTATTTTAGTTAAGTCGTAATACACTTATGTTATACAATTTTCAAAAAGTACTTTTTACATGTTTAGTTTTAAAATCCAGCATACCCGAGTGTCCATTTCTAGAACCATGAGCAGCAGGAATAACACAACAGACCAGAATGGGGGTGCAGGAAGATGCAACACAGCTGAAGAGTAAACTATGAACGCTAAACCAGGGCCTGCAAGATGAAGAGTGAAGGCATAGAAAAGTGCACTAAGTTTTAACAAACTTAAGTTATTTCTTACTGGAAAAAATTTAAAAAAAAATTCTACATACTACAAAAATACTAAAGTTAATTAAAAATATTGCCTGTTAAGCAGGAAATTTTAATTTTTGGTAATAATATGACCACACCTTACCAGGTGCTACAGCTTTATGAATGTCCAGGTGAAGCTGACCTGCCAGTTGGCCCAGATATGTGAAGACAACTAACCCGCCCACTAAACTTAGCACAGTATTACCACAACTGACAATCATGGAATCCCTAGGGTAGCAGTAAAGGAACATTTTTACTTCGTCATTAGAACAACACTAGCAATAAGATTTACTCCTTTCATTTAATATATAAGCATCATTAGAGAAAAAGTATACTTTCTTCATTTAAAATATAAGCATCAATATAGAAACATTTGAATTTCTCAATTAAATGTATTAACAGCTCAGACTTAAAAAAAACAACAGATAAATTATCATAAATCATAAATATTTTAGTAAATTGATAAGGAAAAAGCAATTAAAAAGATTTTAAAAAATACTCATAAGTTTATATTAATGAAATAGTTTTACCTAAATGCATTATTGTGAAATCTTTTGTAGCTAGACAAAGTAATCAAACCTCCCCACGTGGGCCCTAATGAATAGAAAACTTGACTCAAAGCATCAAGCCACACCTGAATGAGAAATAATTTCATTACTAACTCTTTGAAGTGAACACTAAACAAAACAGATACTTAACAGGAAAAAAAAATTAAATACACTCTAAATTTTATTCCTAATTTGTCCTCAATTAAACAGGTGTTTCTAAAATATATTAGAAAAATGAAAGAGAGACAATACATACAATGTTTAAAAGCTAGAGTTAGTTACCCTTGACTTTGTGATTTCATCTATATCTGGAACAATGTAAAACAGGATCCCACTTCCTGCTGTATCCAAAGTAACACCACGAAAAAACAAGATACCCAGTATAACATACGGTGCAAGACATGTGAAATATAATACCTAGAACAAAAAAAAAACAAAAAAAAACAAACAAACAAGATACCCAGTATAACATACGGTGCAAGACATGTGAAATATAATACCTAGAACAAAAATACAACAAAAAACAAACATGTTATCATCAGTTGAAAAAGCCTAAAAATAAATTGTGTAAATAAATTGTTAGCATAATGACCATCTTACAAGATCTTTATGTTCTTCTGATTGATGGTCTTATCTAAAATAGTTAAATACTAAGTCTACTAATAATGCTGCTATGATGTACACCTCAGACACTTACTTTCCCTTTTGATTTTATTCCTTTGAGCAGACAGATAAATGTGATGGACCATGCCAGAAGAAGGCTCAAAGAGAGCTGCCATCTTAGTGAGTCAGGTTTAAAGATGCCAGAACTCAGAGCCAGGACATTGTTGCTAAAAATAGAATAGTGCTCTTTAAGCTAGCTTCATTAGAGATATTTCTTTTAACAACATAAACTGTATCTATAGTACTACATTAAATAGACTCACTTTGTTATCAAATACAGAGAAAAATAATTGTTGTAAGGTATAAGGGTAGAGGTAAATGATGAAACTATTGCATGTTTTTGCTTTTAAATATCAAATTTTATATAGCAAAAGAGTAGCTCAAAATTCCATACCAGTTGTATAAGATAGATCTATTTAAATTTTAAAAATTGATTTCAGAGAGTAGGGAATTTGTAAAAAATTCTGTATGTACTGATTATTTCCCCTTCTTTGGGATAAATCTTTTCCTCATTCTATGCACATAGGGATTTTATTTTTCCTAGAGTTTGCTTACATGTCAGGCAATTAAAAACAATAACTTTAATGCTGAATGGAATAATGAGTAATTCAACAATGCTTTTATGATACTAATGATAAAAATAAAGAATAATTAATATGCATTTTAGATTCAAAATGTTTCATTTTCATTATTTAAAAAATAATTTTAGTTATTTGAAGTTATTGATTATAATTTTTAATCGGAAAAAAATCAAGTAGCTAGCCACATACTTCCAGTACTTTTCTGAAGCTGAGACTGGCTTTTCCCCCACAGTGTCATAGAAAACTGTCAAGTTCCAGACACCCACTATGTTTTTGTCCTGGATGCAGGTCCCATTGACAAACTTGACACCATCCTTGCATGTGACAACTGGCCATTTTAAACTACAATCTGAACAATAATAATTAATTGATCTTATCTTTATTAAAAACAAATAAATTGAATCATTTGAACTTGTTTAAAGTAAATCAATAAGATCCATCAGATTAAATTATTACATGGATTAAATAATTTAAAATAGCAGTTAAGTTAAGTAAATTGTAAATAAGGGGTAATCTATATATAATGTCACACTCTTAGAGAGAGTGGGGTGGGTTATGCATTTTTCATTATATGGAGGAGGTGGATGTTAAATACAAGTTTTATTCATGCAGATATCAATTCCTATTATTTATTACATTTTTTAAATAAAATACTGTTTAAAAATGTAAAATAACTACTAAAACTTCAGTTTAAAAATCTATTACAATTCTATAACTTTCCCAGGAGTGTAACATCACTTATTAAAGACTCCTCAAATCAATAACATAAAATTTCAATACAAAATAAGATTATATTAAACCATTAATTTGTTTGCAAGTGTAATTTCTGGCCAGTTTTTAACTTATTTAGTGTTTTCTTCCATTAAATACAAATTCTACTTTGTTTCTGTGCTGACCTCACCTTTTGTGCTCCAGGCTGTCCTGCCACACTCTGACCAAGGCAACTTGCTGGTGAAGGAAGCACACAAATAAAACTGGACCCAGGCTATGACCATGTGATAATAAATGCTAATTAAAATTGAAGTCACTATCATGGCAACACCCAAACCTGGAATTTTAAAATGCGTTCATTATTTACTTTAAAATAAACACACACAATGACATTTTTATCATTTTCATTATAACATTATATTATATTCCTATAATATAAACAAAATATGTAAATAAATAAAACTAGTGACCAAATTATTTTAACACAGTATTATAAAATGAATTTTCAAAAGGCACCAATCAGAAGAATTAAGCAGTAAGAAACGCAAATTTTACCTTTAAAGATAGGTGCAAAATCCCAGCATTTTGCAGGTCCCTTGCTTGTAAATTGTCCTAAGGTAGTCTCTAGGAAGACCAGAGGCATGCCAACAAAACACACCAGTAAAATATAAGGCACTAGGAAAGATCCTCCTTTGTTTCTGTGAAGTAATTAAATTAATTGTTTAGGGTATTAGTAATGAACATGTTTAATGTCCCCCACATAGCCTATATAGATTTTACTTCCAATAGTTTTTTAAATGTCAACAAAACACGATTTACTCAGATTCTTAATTTGTCTTGCAGTACTTGACTTGTAACTTACCTGAAGCACAGGTAAGGAAATCTCCAAATGTTTCCTAACCCAAATGAGTGACCCAGTAAAGAAATGACGTACTCAACCTTGCCAAGACAGTTGGACTGGGAGAAGGTGGACTTGTCCGAGTCCCCGTCTGTTTTCTGCAAGAATTGGAGATAGTTGAGATACATAAATAACCGGATAATGTCTACAATAATAGCTGGTAGACTACTCTTTATTCGTGAGACAGCCTTTTTCAGTGGAACTGGTGGTCGTTTTTCTTTTTTTAATCAGGGGTCATTCATTTATGACGTCACATCCCCCCTCTCCCCGATTAAACCCCCGTCCTCCATCTCCAACGTCAGAGTAAAACAAAAAGTCTACCTCCCTAAAAATTAATTTATACTTCGGCCTCCCCAACCAACTCCATTGCGTTTTCCCCCCTTTTATCGAGTTGTTTCCCTTTAACCAGGTATTAACTAGGTTGATTTCACAGAATCCATTGTTCATTCATTATAATCAAAATTTAAATAATGAACATTTTTATCAAATCCGTGTCAAGATTGATAGGCATGCATTGATCATTTTTATTGCTATTTACAAAAAACGTCGTTGTAAAAATTTAGTAGGCCTAATGGAAGTTTTGGCAAATTGCAAACTCTTTAAGGAAGTAGCCAATTTTACAAAGGCGCTAGACAGATTTAGTTGAGTTAGATTGGAAGTTTTTAATTTATTCTTCTCAGTGGCGACCCCCCAAATTTTTTGGCCGATTCTAGTCGGAATAAGATACGCATGCGATACGCATGCGCAATGGAGAGAAACTACGACTTGCCTTAGCGGCGATGTTTTCGATGGTACTGCGCATGCGTGTGTTTACAACCGCAGAACCCTAATACCAACCCTAATTCTATTCTTAACCCTATCCCTAATCCTATCCCTAACCTTAACCCTAACCCTAGCCCCAATCCTATCCCTAACCCTAGCCCTAATCCTATCCCTAACCCTATCCCTAATCCTACCCCTAACCCTCATTCTAGCCCTAACCCTAGCCATAGGTCACTGCGCATGCGCAGAACTATCTTTTGCCGAAAAATCTTATTCCGAGTAGACACTTCGAAATTTTTTTACTAGAATCTATTACTTTAAAAGACCATACTAATTTATAATGAAAAACAACTCACGTCATCCTTCTGCGATGACGGTGTCTTCCCATTCAACCAATCAGAAACCAGCTCTGATTCGCTTATTGTATACGCTAGCGACGAGTTGGTGAAGGCCAGCGAGACATCGCTGTCACTCTCGTCCTCCATTGGTGGCACCACAGATCAGTTTGGTGCCCCTAGGGGTGGACCAGCAACAGTTTGGTGCCACTGCAGATCAGCAAATGTTTGGTGCCATTACACATTGAATCCACTGGGCGCAGCGTAAAACATGTTCGAAAAATTGCTAGGTGACACCGGATCCATGGAATCTGCCGTGCGGTAGATCTGACGTTTTCTCACACAAGACAACGCCCCAGGTCACCCCGGCACAGCAGTTTTGGACAAACCACGCCCATCTGAAATAACAGGAAAAGCAAAAAAATATTTTGAAATGTTATTGTAATTTAGTTCTCATTCAGTTGGTTTTCTCTAAAGTACGCGATTAACCGGACGAAAAACGTGTATTTTTGTTAGAATCACAGAGTTAAGTTATAGCCTTAGAGTTGTTTTTAAGGGAGGTGTGTCCTTTTATCAGAGTTTTTTCAGACTGCCCCTCCCCCTTTCCGAAATAATTAGAATTTATATGAATAAAACATATTTGTACCAATACCCCCTCCTCGAAATTTCAAGCGCCTACCACTCGTCTCAGAGGCGTAGCGACCCTTCCCGGCGTCCGGGGACACTTTCAATTTGCACCCCCCTCAAACTTTCAATTTGCATCCCCCAATATATTTTTTATATTTATAATGCAAAACTGCAGCTAAAATGAGATTTTAATTTGTTTTTACAACCCATTTTGGCGCACCCTAAGGTCGGCGCCAAGGGACATATGTAACCCCCCGCCCCCCCCCCTCGCTACGCCCCTGACCCCTCTCGCAGAGAAAAGTCTGAAATAAACACTGCAAAATATGGACCAAGCGTTTAACATATACTAAAATCCATATTTAAAACTTACATTTTAGTTTGAAAGTGTCAACGTATCTGCCCTATAACGCATTGGCACTGAACTAGTGTACTAAAGCACGATCCGGTTTGGACATGAACCCTTTTAGGGCCTCTATATTATACTCTAACTCTGACACGTACTACACAGTAACTCTTCACCCCCACACTACCCCCAGGACCATACATTACAAAAATGTAATCTTGCAATCGATCTCAAATTTCACTAAATAAGTTTCCACTACACACTTGTAGCAGAGTAGATTTGACCAGATCTAGCTACACGCTTGAACCAAACAATTTCCTATTCAATAAACAAAAAGTAAACGAAGACGATTTTATGATTTATTACTTATTTTTAATATCAATTTTAGTGCGGCTATATTTTATCGGAGTAGCATGCTACAACTATGACATTTATAACCCATGTCCTCATTCATTTTTGTAGGCAGCTTTCGTGACACTTTACTGCCAAGAGCACACGCCATTGTATTCCTGCGCTAACCTGAACTTTTTATTGTTGTAGAGCTGACAAATTACGTTACAAGTATGTTGCAAAAGCACATGACACCGATCTGTCAATGTACAGAGTTTCTTTCAGGCATCCCTTTGGGGAAGGGGATTGCCCTCCTCGAACGAAATAGAATTTATAAAGAATATATATTCTTCTACCAGCTTAAGGGTGGGTCTGGGTGGGGGCATGATAGTGATGTAAAGGTGTCACACACTCAGTGTTCGAGTACAGGTTATGTACAGTGGACCCTAATTCTTCTAAACGAAATGAAGTACCACTTCTAGTTTCCAGAAACCGTTCAAAATGTAACATAAACATGCACATACTATGTTATATTATACGTGAAATTTCGTCCACTTAACTTAAACTGTATTCAAGTTATTGGCTTTTCAGAAACCGGAAGCAGAGTAAGTACTACTTCCGGGTACCGGAAATCGTTCAAAAGTTTAAGCAGAAATACAAATTTAATATAATAGATGAAATACATAACTGAAACGGTACTTAAGTTGCCGTAATTGCAGTCACGCAGACAGACAGACACACAGGCATACAAACTATGTAACTTTAAAAACGTCGAGTTTTTTTGTAAAAATCTTGATTTCGATTTTCTGCACGATTACAATACTTCCTGTATACTTCTTATAGGAGAAAGTAAAAATCTGTCTCCTGTCAAAACAGGATTTTGAAAAGCCTACACGTCTGCGTTGTATCATCACGTGATCGCCTTACGCTTACATACGGGCCATTAACATGCTGTTGTAATGACCAGGTGAGCCAGACATTTTGCTAAATTTGTCAACGATACTTCCATTCCATTTATCAAAAGGGACGAATTTAGCACCCCCAATTTAATCAACCGACGATGCATAAATTATGCACTACAGACATTTCCGTCGTGGTGTTGGCCGTACGCAGTTTTTGGTGACGTTTTGTGTCATTCATCACCAGCACTGAAATACAGAGACCGGAAAGAAGTTGACGTATCGTGTGGTATGGCTGCAAATTACTGGGATTACAACAACGCAGAAGTCATTTAGGATATATCAGAGAAAACCGGAAAGAGACAGATGTATCGTGTGGTATGGAAGCAAATTAGTGGGATTACAACAACGCAAAAGTCAGAGACAACACAGAACTTTTGTCCAGAGGCCCAAATCATTAATTGGAGGTCCCAATTTATTAAAACGGAGATCACTTTCTACTTAAGTAATAACGACGACTACTTGAACATTGGGGGGGGGGGGTGAGGTGGTAGGATGCAGACAATAGTGCAACTATACATATTTTCTATATAAATTCTATTTCGCTGGGGGGGGGGGGGGGGAGGTTCGACATACTTCGGGAGTGCTCTCACCCCCAAGCAATGCCTAAAAGAAACTCTGCCTGGGATGTTTCTGACAAATTGGTAAAGCCTGTAATCACTGGAGGCCCTGTCATTAGGGCTTAGGTGTTATTCACTGTGAGAATCATTAGCAACGATATAAACAGGGCCATTATGTGTTTAATTGGCCTTACTACAAGAAACACAGTGATAGCAATAAGCGAACATAGAGCTCTATATCAAAATATCATAATGCATACAAATATATATATATATATATATATATATATATATATATATATATATATATATATATATATATATATATATATATATATATATAATAAAAAATGTTCATGAATACATAAACACAAACATGTGGTAAATCATGTGTAATTATATGAGTGATGAGAGTCAGTTACCTACAACTAGAAATGTTCAGCAAACGTAACAACAACAAATCAGTCAAGCGTGAAGGCTTGTCACCAGCTGCAAGTCTCAAGGTCACATACTAGTTGCACCGTATACTACGGATGACCCTCTCATGCATGACGGTTAATGGGCGTGGCCAGATGCACCGGTCGATAAGTGGGCCTAGATCGATGTACCGGTATTTCCCGTTAGAAAAAGTGGTTGCTGGCCCATGGTGGTCTCTCGGAATAGGGCTAATATAGGGCTAACTTAAGGTTTTAATTAGGGCTAATATAAGACTGACATTAGGCTTTAATTAGGGCTAATATAAGACTCATTTTAGGCTTTGGGTTAGGGCTAATATAAGACTCATTTTAAGCTTTGGGTTAGGGCTAATGTGAGACTGACATTAGGCTTTAATTAGGGCTAATGAACAACTGACATTAGGCTTTAATTAGGGCATATGTAAGACTGACTTTAGTGTCACTTTAGGCTTTGGGTTTCAGGTTAGGGCTTTTGAGAACTAAGTAATAGGCACATAGGGCTATTGTACGATTATTATTTAAAAACTTTCTAAGCAATTGTGAATTTAAAATTTGTCTAGTTTCTGAAATGAATTCATATATAAATCCACACTCTAGTGACTAAATAGAATACCGAATGAAAGAGATATCCGTAGATTAACCACTGACAAAAAAAATCTCATATTTGTTTAGTTAGGCTTATAGATAGCATGACAGACAAATAACGCTAATAAAAGCCGAACATTAGTTCTAGTCCTAAATACCTAATCCTATACCCCATCAATAACCTTTAACCTAACACTCAACCTAACAATAGAACAAGCCGTTATTGACTAATCCCACAATATAAAGGTATGCGTAGGCTAATCGATAAGAATAAAAAAAATACATCGAAATAAATAAATACCATATGTTGTATTTGAATTTAATTCGCGATGAAAATAAAAAATAAACCTTCACGACTGACTTACCAGAGATAGGATAAATCGATGTAAAGGTATTTTAATCCCTCCAGTGTAAAGCGTAGAGTTGTATGACGTCCTCCTACTACACTAAGACGCGAGTCTGACCCAGCAACTCAATGTTTTTTTTTCCACCTGAAAACACACGAGAAGAGATAAGCAATCTTTATAATTAAAAACTCGTTCCGTCGGACACTAGAATTTACACACTACAAGGGGAGATAATTTTTTACAATGCCATAAAATTTACGGCCCTTTGTTTACTTTGGGATACAAAACTTGCCAAAAAAGTTATGTCGCATGTATTGTGTTTAGGCTAGTTTATGGCAGTTTTGTTGATAAAATAAACGTTTAAAATCGTAAAATAGTATTTTTTTATCAGACAAATACATGAGGCAGAATAGTTACTTCATGAACTAAATCTAGTTATCCTAATCAAATAGCAACCTGTGTTCTTAACTGATATAAATTCAATCCAGAATTTATAATAATTTCTTCTATTTTATTTTTCTTATAGATTCTACCTTTATAAACATTATAGCGATGAAAACTAATTTTAAAAAAATTCAAACTACTAAAAATAATTTATAAGACGAATATAAATTGTTTAAAATGATTAATCTATGCAATGAGATAGAAAACCAAAATTTTAAACAGCAAATTCAACAAACCTAGTCGATACCTAAAAAAAAGCAATTAAAAAACAGCGAATAAAATGAAAAAAAAATATTATAGCGTTAGTTTCGCACCAAATTGCTGTAGTCAGTATCACACATAACACCGAACCCTACCTGGCCACATGAACAATATGGTCACAATCCCAGATTTTCCTGACAACGCAAGCTCTGTTGTTCACGTAACCTCAAACCCAGATCAACGTAGAGAACAACACAGTGCCGCAAAGACATAGAATGATTGATAGATGCATAAGTTATCGCTCATTAGAAAACAAAAGATGCAGGTCACCGCCTCGACATACCAAAACGAGGCAGACGGTCGTGCAATGTTTACCCCCCGCAAGTTCAGCTGGGAGTTCCCAAGAAATCTGTCACAAAGACACGACCTTCGTTAGCACGGGGGAAAGGGAAAGGGGGGGGGGGGCACGATTTGTCAATACTAACACAAGAAAATTTTTGTTTTGCTCGAAAATAGTACTCGCGTGATAATACAATGTTCAGCGCAGTGACATCGTTGTGACATCATGGCAGTAGTGGTACATCATTTTGACATCACACAGCAATTTCATATCATTTTGACATCACACAGCAATTTCATATCATTTTGACATCGCACAGCAATTTCATATCATTTTGACATCACACAGCAATTTCATATCATTTTGACATCACACAGCAATTTCATATCATTTTGACATCACACAGCAATTTCATATCATTTTGACATCACACAGCAATTTCATATCATTTTGACATCACACAGCAATTTCATATCATTTTGACATCACACAGCAATTTCATATCATTTTGACATCACACAGCAATTTCATATCATTTTGACATCACACAGCAATTTCATATCATTTTGACATCACACAGCAATTTCATATCATTTTGACATCACACAGCAATTTCATATCATTTTGACATCACACAGCAATTTCATATCATTTTGACATCACACAGCAATTTCATATTATTTTGACATCACACAGCAATTTCATATCATTTTGACATCACACAGCAATTTCATATCATTTTGACATCACACAGCAATTTCATATCATTTTGACATCACACAGCAATTTCATATTATTTTGACATCACACAGCAATTTCATATCATTTTGACATCACACAGCAATTTCATATCATTTTGACATCACACAGCAATTTCATATCATTTTGACATCACACAGCAATTTCATATCATTTTGACATCATGATAGCAGAATACCGTTATTTTAATATCATAGGTTAAACACCATGACAGAATTGTTAAATTAGGAGATGTTTGTGACATAACATCACCATGACAGCAGTAAAATATAATGTAAGCAGAATTATGTACTGACATCAGTGTCATATGATCATATCGGTGCGATATAACATCAGTGTAATATGACATCGGTGTTATATCATGACATACGTGTGATATCATGACATCAGTGTGATATGACATTAGCATGATATCATGACAACAGTGTGATATGACATTAATATGATACTATGACATTAGTGTTAAATGACATCCGTGAAATATCATGACATCAGTGAGAATATGACATCAGTGTCATGACATCAGTGTGATATTATAACATCAGTGTGATATTATGATATCAGCGTAGCATCACGACTATAAAGCATTATGCAATTCCTAAACACCAACACAGTATAGTAAATAACAGTTTAGTCACAACAACAATGTAGCGCCTACAACATCAGAACGAAGGTACAATGTAATTGGTCAAATCTAATACTATTACAGACCTCAATCACCACACTGTTCCTTTACACACATTCATTAAAACAGAGTCACTCTACGTTACCTGCTTGATCAAACAGCGCGGTGGCAACCGTATTTTTTTTTTACACCTAAACATATTGGTGGACTTTTCAGTGGCCAAACAAACCATCAACAGTGTCCATGTAGGGGCGGGGGAAAGTGGGAAGGAGAGGGGGGGGGGGGTTCTACTCACCAAAACTACATGCGAATACTGGTGGAGACAACTAGAGATACTTTTACCGTGTTCCTTCTATTTCAAGTTTTAAGGGAAGTCAATTATACGATTTTATATGTGTGCTAAAAGAAAATTCTGATGTTTGTGGGATAAAATGCATAGCTCCAATCACCGCTACAGAAGACCAGCAACTTTGTCAAAACCCAGAGTTTTTTTTTAAAAAGGTGACTAATTTATCCTATTATCACACTAACAGTGACTTTCACTCAACGCCCTCCTCCCCATTCCACCCCAACCCACCAACCCTCACTAATTTTTTTATAGAGGTCGCTTTAAAAAACATATTATCCTAATATATAAAACGCCATGTGCGCTCTTCTCTCTCTCTCTCTCTGTCTGTCCGCAAAAAATTTTCGCCGGACATCACGTCAGAAACGGCAGCGATATATGGAGAACTTTATACGGACTTTTGTTGAAAATAATATGTTAGATGTTTTAAATGTATAACCACAATTTTATTTAAAGAAGAAAAATAAAAATTAAAGGCGTATTCGAATGTAGAGAAACAGTATTATTTATGCAACCGGAAAAGCATTAATAAATGTGAAAAAGAACGCATAAAACTGTGACGTCACTATTGCTTATACATTAACTAATGACGTCATCTGCCGTGTTTAGAATACAAAGAAATGAACTATTTCATTCAAATTTGATTTAGATCTACGTACACTATGAAATGTATACAATACAATTTTTCCGGCCTAAACTCATAAAATTTATTTTATGTATTTGGATTCTAGATCTAGAGATTATAGATCTAGAATCTAGACTAAATCTAAATCTAAATCTACGCAATAACTAGATCTAGACTAGACGTAGACGCTAAGATCTAGATTTAGACTCTAACTTCTCTAAAATCAATTCCAAAAATAAATTTCTATATTAGGACTAAACTATTTCAAGACTTATTTATTTTATTCAAAATCTTTGTTTGGAACTGGCTAATTTGGGATAAAAAAATTAATTTGAAAGAATAGGCATATTCGCGTAAGTTAAGATTTTAAAATACGTGTTTCATTCTCTGTATTTTATAAGGTGCCTAAATAGCGAAGATGTTAGTGTACATTAAACCACGCAGGTGGTGCGGGTTCGAGACACACCAAGTCAACTTGGTTAATGTATTTTTTTTTATTATGCTAGGGCTGAACTTAAAAAAAAAATTCTTTTAGGAATCTAGATCTAGATCTAGATTGTCGGGTGTCCGATAGGGCACTTCCCGGCGCCGCAGGCGCTTCAAATTTGGCAGGATCTTGCCTTGGGGCGACAGAACACGGGGGCCGGTTGGCCGAAAAGTCTACGATGAGGGGGTCAAAACTGACCTCGACTGACCGGTACCTTATATGAGCTATAAATCGAAAAAAAATGTCCACGGAGGAACCTCTTCATAACTCTTGAGGTCGTAGACCGACCCTCGGGCGAATTAATTAAGCATTCAAATTCTCAATGTTTTCGAAAGCCTAAGCGAAGCTGGGCAGCATGCCTAGTCTTCTATATACGTCATGCCCATTATCAGCGTACTTCCTGTCTCGCTGACGTCATTTCTCGCCCAGAAATTTCTTATTTGTTTTTACACCCCTCTGACCTACTTTCCTTTTACCACAGCGCATTACAAATTACATTTTTTTTTTGTGACTGACACCTGTCAAATCCAGTTGCGTAATCACCTGTAGATTTACCGTGTGCGTCGGTCTTAGATTTCAAATCAAGAAGGTACGGGTAAACTGAAAACTGATCTACATGTTGATTCTAAATAATCTCCGACCTGGACAATTAGTAGCCCATTACCCGCTACACAAACAAGAATTGTGGCTGCACTTAGGAAATGTTGGTTGTAGTAGGTGTAGCAAAGTGCTATTCCTGGCTCATTTACTACTTGAGCTAGACATAAAATATTCCATAATATGAATACTAACTAATACCACGTGACGTTGTGTATTTATTTCAAGTGGTAAATGAGCCAGGAATAACACTTTGCATATTAAATGCTATCCAGTCACGTGTAATACTAGTACATGTGCCTGCTATAAATCATACGAACAATTTTAGAAACGAAACCTAAACTTAGGACAATGATACATGAACCTTGCATCCGGGGTTTTCTGCTGATTAAATATGCAAGATCTGTCATACCGCATGCAGTAATAAATGCACGAGTTTTATTTATAGCTTACATATTTTTTTACCACATTTATATTTCAAATACATGCAAAAATGAGCATATAAATCGAAAATAATCAATCAAAACCGTTTCGGAACTAAGGGGTGATAACAAAATTAAATCACTCGATAGATATCTATTTGCAATAACAGGAAGGGGAGAAGAAGTAAAATCAGGCAATCTAGTGGAGGTTATTAGGGGCCGATAATCAAGTTTTTAAATGATCTGAAACTAAGGGGAGGTAAAAATATTAAGAACTTGCTGTCGTCTGTAATATATGGTCACGGACGGCTTTCACGGGGCATATAACGTCTTTCAGATATTGCGAGCTAATGGTGAAGTTTTAAAGCAAATATATTTAGTCGTGTTGACTTTTAAATTAAGAATCACTAAAAATTAGAAAATGAAACAAATATAAAAACCTTTAGAGCAACAAGCTTTTAAATGCAGTAAAATAAGAAAATTAATACAGATGTACTATTTTCCTAAGAACTTTTGACTCCGCAGCACACTAAACTAAGCAATGAAGAGAAACCTAGTTTGCACACCTTATTTTAATCTAGTTCTTATTCCATTTTATTTTTTCCCTTTGATTATTATATATGCAATTAATGTTCATTGTTCATGTCTTTGATGCTGTGTAAAATCTATCAAATATATTATTATTACTAATTTAAATGTTTAAAACAATTGAATTAATAAAAAAAATTAAAAAAAAAATCTACCCCCTCCTCTCTCCCCCTCTATCCACTTTACCCTCAGAGTCAGACATGATAACCCCACAATCCCTTTAACTGTTCCAACGACCCCACCACCCACCGCAACATCAATATCCAGAACTTATTTAAAGTTCTAAATCTAGTCTCTTTCCCCTCATCTTTCACACTGCAACCTTTTGAAAACTCAATGCGACCACTACAACACCCTTTCAACTAGTCAACTTAAGTTGTTTCCCTACATAGAAAATGCTTCACTGTCCCATTGACCCTCTCCGAAAAATTTCCTTTCCTCTCCCCACCCAGACTTCTGACACTTTCATTTGACCTTCACCCCTTTTACTGTCATCCTTTGCACTTTTTTATAATCAAATACATGACATCATGTAAATATTCATTATGTACATTTGCAAAACCTTTCGTTCTCATTTGGTGTTCAAAATTATGTTAAAAAATTTGATGTTGATGTACTTGCAAATAAAAGTATAATAAAATAAAATAAATAAATAAATAAATAAATAAATATAATTGTGTTGTGTCATGAGCGAACAAAGCTTTATATGAACGAAAGCAAAATAGCTTTGTTGTTTTCTTATTTTCAGTGCATTTAAAAGCTTGTTGCTATAAAGATTATTTATATTTGTTCAATTTTATTTTTTCTGTTTGACATTATGACAAAACGAAAGTTTACAGGGAACGGCGTGTTTGTTGGGAGAACGCTTGTATGAAAATTCATAAAGTCACAAGTTCGGACCCCACCCCCCCCCCCCCCTACCGGCAGATGAGGCTCGTTAATTACACTAAAACTAAGAACATGTTAGGCACCAAACCAAATGTTGAGAAAGTCTATGGAAGCAAAACCATAAAGAAAAGCAGGCTTATTCGGAGTCAACAGGCCATTGGGCGCATTACATGTTAACACCTAATACTTAATTGCGTTGGAGGAAATCTTCAACATTACGATTAAGAACGAAGAAGAAGAAGAAAAGACAAGATTATGCTCTTGTTGAGAAACATAAAGTTACCTGTTCAAGAAAGAGATGAAGTAGAGTTTTTCTGTTTCTCTGACCTCTGGGATACTGCTGTCAGCTATACCAAGCCGCCTTTACTTTCGCCAACTCCAGTCGGGTACCCAAAAGAGCTGGGTGTACTCAGAGCCTTCCTTATCACGTGAGCCACGAGGACGGAACTGGAAACTTTCGGGTTAGTAATCGAACGCTTTACCACTCGACCACACCGCATAAGTCTAGCACAGCTGACCCTCCCAGCACAGAACGCTATCAACAATCGTAGCCCCTGCCTCGTTATACGTCAGGCTAACTCGTTATAAGTCACGGCACCTTGACCAATGCAGAGATGGACGCGTATGCACGTTTCTCATTGCCCGTATCAATCACTGAATAATATAAGGGAATAACTATGAAGAATTAATCACTGAATAATATAAGGAGTAACTATGAAGAATTAATCACTAAATAATATAAGGGAGTAACTATGAAGAATTAATCACTAAATAATATAAGGGAGTAACTATGAAGAATTAATCACTAAATAATATAAGGGAGTAACTATGAAGGATGAACAAAAAAACAACAACCATGGAGTTCTATAGAGATTCTCGAGATCAGAGGCGTAGCGAGGGGGGGGTGCGGACCGCACAGGGTGACACCATTGGGGTGGGGGCGGTAACACCAAGGCAAAAAATAGCAAAATACATACAGAAAAATGATAATTTCACTTAATTAAATGATTTATTAGAGTGAATTAGATAGACTTTTAAGAGCAAAGTAGACAAATCCCGACACGGGTGGGGGGGGGGGGGGGGTGACACCATGACGTAAACCTGCTAATGATAAAGAAAACATACAACATCAAGCTGAATTTATAACCGAATATTGATAAAAATCGTTAGTATTATCTGAGCACAGTTTAAAGCAATCACCGTGGGGGTGACGGAAGGGGGGGGGGGGGAGGAAGTTACAATATATGCCTGATGAAAACGGCTTGGTTGAGAATCATAATAACTTATGTGTTAATCCATGTATGGGGTGGGGAGAGGGGGTAAAAAAAATTAAATACATCCAGAAGAAAAAAATATTTGAATATATACATATGCTTATACACATACAAGTGTATATGGAATATTATATATATATATATATATATATATATATATATATATATATATATATATATATATATATATATATATATATATATATATTTCCTTTCTTTTCTTACGGGGGGGGGGGGAGAAGGGCGGGGTGACACCATTAGGTGCCGCACCGGGTAATACCCGACCTCGCTACGCCACTGCTCGAGATACATATATGTACCATGTAATACAACATGCTTGGTTTCGACAGGAGGTTTTCATTAGAGTTAAAAAATTTAGCAATATAGCGTGGAATTATTTGTTTTTATATGGGGTTGGGAGGGGGTTAATCGCTTCTCCATCTGTATTTGAATTTATCATCTTAGTGAGCGAATTCATTAAATATACTATAGTATAGTGAATCCCTCTGGCTCTACTGTGTGTGAGGTGGTGGTAGGGGTGGGGGTAGTAATATACTCTATCGATTTGATCTACACTAGATCGATAGAGCTTACATTGAACATTTCGTCATTTCTAGATCTAGATTCTAGGTCGAGTAGAACATTTCAAGTAATGTTAAAACTTTTTGGAACCAATGGGTCTCTGTTATGTTTTTGCACCCATACTAGACTACTAGAATGAATAGGTCTAAGGTGGTGTAACAGAAAATCCGTTCGTCGTAGTGTTAGGCTATATCATTAATAAATTGATGGTTTTAAATATCAGCGAACTTTTAAATGTCTATTACGAAAGAAGAGTTCGATTTGCGACCATATCATTATTAATATTATCTTCATTATCAGCAGACTATTCCACAGTATCAAAGCAAATTAAACGAAACAATAAACTTTAAAACTTTTATAAAAATATTTTTTATGATAAATAATCTAGAATTCCTTGCAAAACACGCCAAAAAATATTAAAAATGTTAATAACATTTTTCCGAGGAGACTTTGTTTTATATAAATAAAGTAGGTTTTCTCTCATTTGTTCTCTTTTTGTGTGCCAGGGACACTTTTGCTGTAACTGAATGGCTGTTCCGGTAATGTTATCTTTAGCTAGCAACAACAATTGAAAAAATCAAAATGGCTTCTTATGATGTAAACAATGAGCTCTATCCCTAAAGATTAGAATATAATTTCGGTAATTGCTAGTCCAGCAAGTCAAAATTCGTCTAAATATACACAAATAAGACAAAAGCAGACATTATTTTTGTTTAAAACATCATTTTGCATTTGATTGATTCCTATTTCTATTAATTTTAGGATTTTTACTTTTTTTAGGCTTAGGCCTACTTTTTTTCAAATTTTTTGTCTTGTTCTTTCACAAATTCACAGTAATTCACACTCTTCAGGCAGGACTTCAAGTTCAACTGTTTCAACTTTACCAAACCAAATCCACTTACTACTTAATAACTTACTATGGCATTTAGGCCTATTATTTTATTTAAATAATAAATTTCAAACATAACTAAATTTTAAGTTTTTAACAGTTCAGTTTAGTTTATCTATTCTTTAGAAGTATCATCTCTAAACTAAAAGCCCCTGAGATGACTTTCTTTTAATTTATTCAGTTACCATATTTCTACAGCACAGAGGACTGAATTTATATTTGACTTATGTAGGCCTAACTTTATCTTGCATCTCTGCTTCTGAGAAGATTTTCCATATTCTATTAAAGGACCGCGCTTACATGGCTACTCAAGTGTCAATTTCTTTTTCGTTGCTGACATTATCTATCAGCCATCAATTACTTGAAATCTAAGCCACTAACATAGATATCAAACATCAATACTAATATTTATGCTAATAGATGTTAGCATTAATACAACAATGATAGTTAGGTAGTGATGCGTGTCTGACAAAAGATTTTATTTTTCAATGACAAATTATTTCTTCTCTTTTTAATCAGTCGTATCATTATATTAAAAGTTAGGTTTTAGTAATGCATGTGTTAAATAGCTAATAAATTGATGTTTACTAATTCTTTTTATTTTAATGTGACATTATAGTGTAGACAGTAGGCTTATATCCTATCAAGATTCAAGATCACTTCATTCAAAATTAAGGCTACACTTTGAAGCAAACATGTCCTTCAAAAATGGATTTCAGGTCTGTTTTCCGTTTTCTTTAAAAAAAAAACAACCTGTAGCTTATAATATATGTATAGATTTATTCATATTGATTTTGTGAAGTAAATGGCTTTTCTGTTACTTTTAAAAAAAGAAATGTGTTAAGAAGCAGGCTAAGCTTATAAGCTGCTTCTTGTTTCCATACTCATGTTTTTTTTATGAATGTAAACAATAACACTTGACATTCTATGACTGTATTATTTTTTATGTTTCTCTCAGGGAGGTCCTTTTTTTGAACTGTTCAGCTTACAAGGGCGTGACTCTATGAATAACTGGAAGATATCAAACTCTGGTATAAAAAAGGTCAGTTTTATAAGAAGCTTCTTTATTGTTTCATTGCAATCTAAAAATTAATAGAATAAAACTATTCATGTGCAGAGTGGCTCTTCATAATTCTTATAATAAAATCAGTATATGTATATCCAATAGACCTATGAGAAAGAAGTGAAAGGTTATATCCTGGCACTTGAAGGTGCTTCAGCAACAACTAAGGTTCAGGCTCCTAAAGACCAGAAACAAAGTTGTATGTACAATTGTTTTAATTTTTTACTATATTCACCCTGTAAAAAAAATCTTATAAAGTTGTGAAAATAAAATGTATTATTTATAAAAAAAATGTTACATTTTCTGTCTATAATATTGTAATACTTGATTAATTAATAATTTTTCCTCTAGTAACTTTGGTCCAGAGGTTCCTAGTCCTACAGATTTATCTCTCTAAAGGAGCTGATTTCTCAATGGAACTTAGGTGAAAATTTATCTAATATACTGTTGATGATTTTTCACTTTATATTTGATTTTGTGATAAATAACTTAAAAATATAAATACCTGTAGTTTCAGAACTTCAAAATCTTTTTTGTAATGTCAAGTTATATCATTGTATGATGATTGAGTTGACTTGATTGCATAAAATAATTTTAAGTTAGCCATGAATCTTTTTTTTTCAGCGTGACAGACCTTGGGAATAATAAACGGAGAATTTTGTTATCCACATCTCAGAAAGAAGTTCAAGTGACGCCTCTTCATGCTAAAGTACCATTAACGATAGTAAAAAAAGCCATAGTGAGTTTTTCATATCATTATTTCATCCTTGTTCTTTTAGAACATTGACAGTTTTTTAAATTAAAAACAAAACATTTAAATTTAAGATTTACTCCTCTGTATCTGTTGTTTCTATAGTGGCTCAACTTAACATTAGACATGGTTTCACTGGTTGGTGAAATGTGGACCGGTCAGACATTTAGGTCAGTCGACCAAATTTCTATATCGGCCAACTGCAGGCTGAGACGAGTGTTTACTATGAAATCTCAACCACCGGACACTACAGAAGATGAAGGCAAGTGGTTTTATTTCTAAACCCTGCACTAGTCCGCAAATGACTAGTATCATATTTTACAACAAACAAAATATATAATATACCAGGTATATAATTTAAAAACTCGCAATAAAATTGCAATAAAAACGTAATAAATATTTATGAAAACAAAGCAACCATTACTAGCGTGTGTGTGATGACATGAGCTCTTACTGATCCTTATAATTACTTATCAGGTTGTGTCTGTTAGATGGTATACCTGTTGAATATTTCATCCATTCCAAGTATAACACCAAATTTCATAAGCTTCATTCCCACTTATTAAACCTTTAAGTTGTTAACATGACCCAAACCTGAACTGCAACCTTTTTGTCTAACACATTTATCTAACAGTCAAGTTATTTTGTTGTAGAGCTTGACCCCTCCATAAATTCTGGAGAGATGGATAACATTCCTAAAAATTGTCAGTTTGCACCTGATGTTCAGCATTTCACTCAGGTAGGTTTTTTGATCAATTTATAAACAAATACTTTTTAGAATATTGAATTAAATAAACTACCATCTAAATTTGAATAAAAATGTCTTAGTGTCTCTGAAAAAAAATATATATAAACGAAAGAGAATTGTAAATATGTGATTACTATAGTAGTTTGTTTTTTCAATATCCCAACATTTTGTATCCAGGTGATAACGTTAAATAAGATCAAACATGCCGAGCGAGTGCGGTCAGGTAAAGGGTCAACCCTAGCAGACCAGTACAGGCCTGGGTCCACCCTGGAGCTGGATCTGAATGCCAGTGGCAAGAAAATTCAAACTGCTGATGGGAAAATAGCTTTTGGTTCCAAGGCCCCCAGAGTGCCGGAGAGTGGTAGGAAAACATCTAGACAGGTTAGTAGGTGTTTACCTACATTAAACAGTAAATAGTGGGAAAAATGAAGTAGGCCTATATGACAGGTAGAGATTAGTTTATATCTGATTGTTAAAATTAGTCATTTATTTGAGAAAGTTTTCTTTCAGGGAAGCGTTACCAACAGAAGCTTGAAATCCCAAACTTCTAGAAATGATGGTAAGTTCACACATGAAGTTTACTCATAAACTCACTTGTATTTTAATTCCTCAAATATATTTTATGGATGTAATGTTTAGTAAATCTATAGTCTTTACTTTTAACTTGATTTCTATTTGAACTTTCACAACATCCTGTGTAATTTTTAAAGTTTTAATTTCTGTACTTCTTTAGGTGTTTCAAATCAGAATACGATGACTGCCCAGGAAATGGACTTGGATGGAGGAGACCATTTTGACATATCCAGGTCCCATCACCCAGGTAGTGCTGGCTCTGTTCACCAAGATCCAGTCTCTCTTGAAGAGTTCACCAATGGTCTGTAACATTGTATTTATACAACACTTGGCTTAGTTAGTCTTTGAATTATAAGTCTGATATTATTAGTGTTTTTTTTTAGACTTAAGGCCTTGAGATAAACAGTGCTGATGTTTCTGTACAACTGTGACAGGTTTAAAAGACAAACAGTTGGTGGCCCCACACCCACCTAGGGAACCCTCGAATGACAGGGTACGGAGGAGGCCAAGAATAAAAACTGTAGGGCAAAATGGTGTCCTTAACAGAGGTACGTCATTTTATTTTATAGCAATTGAAGTCTACCACACTTACAACCCTATTCATCGTGTAACATTAAGTTGAAGCATTGTTGTTTTAAAACAATTTTAAAAATATTTTGTAAATATTCTTTGTGTTAGGTGATGGCAGTGTAATTTCACCTCCGACCTCCGCAACATTGTCAAGTCAGTTTTCTCGGGGACAACCTGGCCAGTCGTATTCTGTTAGTCCAAGCCAAGCGTATGCCAGGGATAGGCTAGAGGTCAACAGTATTCTCATGAAGGATTCTGGAGTTGGGCCAGATGTCCCTGAGATTCAATCACCAAGAAAAGGTTAGATAACTTATGTATGACATTTTGAAACATTAACATGATGTATAGCCTATATGTTTAGTTCAAGCTTATTCTGTACAAACATTAATTGTTAGAGAGATATTTTTTAAAAATTAAGAACTAAAGAAATTTTACTAAAACAAAAATTGAAAATTACAAAGTCTATAAGATATTTATTAGACATTTTTTTATATATGGAAAATAAATCATATAATTAATGGGGTTTCTACTTTTGATGTTACAGGGGAGACAAGCAACTATGATTCAGTTGTTGATGTTATTTCCCTTTTGAGACAAACCGCTGATCAGTCCCTGGAGATGGATAACAAGAATTTAAATAACAACAATAACAATAACATTTATGGCTGGAACAAAAATGATGACTTAACAAAGCTAGGAAAAAGGAAGAAGGAAATGAGTGATCAAACAAAAGAAGCTGACGTGAATGTGAAGACGAGCATTGAAGATGATGACAGCGTCAAGTCTAATTCAGCCAGTGACAGTTCACACCTGGGGGAATATGAAGAAAGTGAAGAGTAAGTTGGTCTTCTATAACTTTATTGCCTTAGTTCACACCTGGGGGAATAAAGTGAATAGTAAGTTGGTCTTCTATAACTTTATTGCCTTAGTTCACACCTGGGGGAATATGAAGAAAGTGAAGAGTAAGTTGGTCTTCTATAACTTATTGCCTTAGTTCACACCTGTGGGGATTATGAAGAAAGTGAAGAGTAAGTTGGTCTTCTATAACTTTATTGCCATAATTCATACCTGGGGAATATGAAGAAAGTGAAGAGTAGGATAGTCTTGCTTCCTTGGATATTCATTTTTATGAAAGATCTAGTGTTTGTGTTTGCAAGTGTTAAATTTAACTCATAATTTCAATTTGTCATATCATTGTTATAGCATTGTGTTCTTCCTCCAGTGTTCATTATTTAATTTGCATTTATTTAGAGAAATTTGTTGATTTTTGTAATCAATATATAATGAAGAGTTTGCTATCCTAAATGATAAAAAGTTGAATTTTCTGATTTTAGTGAGACCTCAGGGGACACAAACAAGCTTCACCTGTTTGTCTCCCCTCCCAAATCAGCCACCTTAAGGAGAAATATATCACCAAACAACACAGAGACAGATGCTAATCAAGTCAGTATGAGGGTTTTTTTTTATCTTATAAAAAATATTTCTTTATACTTGTTTATTAAAAAGTTTTAGTTTAGTTTTTTTTAAATAGAACTATGCCAGCCAATCAAATATTTCTTTAAACTTATTTATCAAAGTTTTAGTTTAGTTTTTTTAATAGAACTATAACAGACAATAAAATATATCTTTAAACTTATTAAAGTTTTAGTTTAGTTTTTTTAATAGAACTATGCCAGCCAATCAAAAATTGTTTTGACCGTTTCAGTCAAAAAAAAGTGTTTCCAGAAATGTCCGCTCCAATATGAAGAGAAGCACAGACACCTCCTACAGGGGGGCGAGGCTAGAGGACGATTTTGTCAGTCACAGTAGCAGCGAGGATGAAATGGCAGCCCGGACTGGAGCGGATGTTTATTTCCACACCAGGCACCGGCGGCATGCGGGGAGCGCTGGCAGTGTCACGTCACACCGGCACCTCGACGACGGGTACAACAGCAACAACTATGCCTCACCCCTCAAGGTCAGAGGTCACTCTGGGGGATCAAGGCCAAGGCCAGTGACACACCTGGCCCCACAGAACTCTACAAGCCCTGATCAGAAGCCCACAGTTCACTCGGCTAGAAGGGAGAGAGACAGCGTGACAAGGATGAGCAAGAAGGCTTTAAGGGAGATCACCAATCCTCACACAGATGATCCAACAACAAATAATGAGGTAGGGGGTTGATGTTGATGTTAGAAAAAATTTTTTTAGGTTGTTAATGGTTAGAGCTAAGCTATTTTCTTCACTTCCCTTGTTCCCTCTTAACTGAGGCTGAATGTGGATTGTCCACATCTGTTGAAATTATCTACAGTACAATCAGACTTTACAAGATTGCTAAACAAAAAGAAATGAGTCTTAAGGACTTTCTGAGTCCACTCAGCTCTCTTGAGTACCTGGCTCTGAATAGAAAAGTAAAGATGGCTGTGTATTAAGCATACCATAAAATCCCTTCCCACGATAAGCTTATAGAAAAATATGCACATTTTCATCTGCCCAAATGGACAATCAAGTCTGAATGAGTCTTAACTAATCATAAACCTACCAAAATTCCAGAGGCCTTACGATGCCACCAAGTACCAAATGGAGGACCTGACAGAATCCTTTGAGGCCAGGATGTACGCCAGCATGAGGAGACAGGGGGAGGAAGAGGAGAGAAACATCTCACCTGTCCCCACCCACGCCTCAAGCACACTCCACAGATCCCAGCCTCACCTGAACCCTGCTGACCTGGGGGTCACGACGCACCTGTGTAGCGAGTCCCCTGCCACCACCAGTGATGATGATACCAGCTTCAGCACATGGAAGGCCCCTGTAAGTAACAGATTCCCATCAGACACATTGTTTCTCTTAAACCGTGAATAGTTTGTTTACATCAGCCATATTGTTTGTTGAACTGCAAATATTTTGTTCACATCACCCATATTGTGTCTTTAACTGTGAATATTTCATTTACATCAGTCATATTGTTTGTTTAGCTCTGTATATTTTGTTCACATCACGCAAATTGTTTCTATAGCTGTGGATATTTTGTTCACATCAAATTGTTTAGCTATAAGTATTTTTGTTTTGTTTACATCAGCCATATTGTTCTCATTAGTATATTCGTGAATTATTTGTTAGTGATCTCCGGTTATTTCACCTATTTTCTCTTTGATTGCTTTCAACGCACAGACAACTATTCTTTGCTTAAGAACGGTTACCCAGACCACAGGTAACAATGGAAGAGTTTTAACCGAAATAACAGTAGCTTTCTTGATTTGAAAACCTATATCTGTGGAGGGCTCTCCTAATGTTTTGTTTATTACCCCAGATAAAACAAATTCTTTGTATATCTCACCAAATGTTTTCTTTATTACCCCAGACAAAACAAATTCTTTGTATATCTCACCAAATGTTTTCTTTATTACCCCAGACAAAACAAATTCTTTGTATATCTCACCAAATGTTTTGTTGCTACTGCAGGCACCAAACCAGACCCCACACAACTATCAAGATGAGATGAAGTCCCAGAGAAGCAGTGATACATTAACTTCCTCTAACCCAAGGTACTTTCCATCATACTTGTTTCAGATTTAATTTAAGCAATCAACTTCATGGCATTGGTTACATTTCTCTTCAAAACTTAAAATAATTCTTGGTGTCTGTGTGAAGTGGTGCATTATTGTACATTCACTTTTAAGGTAAAAAATATCCTAGGAAAACTGCATGATCAGGATTTCTACCACTCGGTATGTTTAAGTTGGTATAGTGAAACTTGGATACAGTGAATGGACACAGTGGTGTGCTGTTAAACCACAATTCTGTTTGTTTTATCAGGAATTGTAACTGTAATTATCTAAATGCTTCAAGTTATCGCTGGGATTTATATTATATTTGTGCCCAGTTGAGATGATTAAGAAATAAGATTTCTTGTTGTGTGAAGACACATTCCATCATATTCAGTGGTAGACTCTGATGCTCACTGTCATTCACAAAGTCAGTTTAACCTGCAAATGTTTGATGTTTGGCATAAGAAGTGTTTCTACAAAACAATGTAAGGTTTATGTTGTTGGGGTGGGGGGGGGGGGGGCATTTGTCCTGTGTATTTATACAAAACAGTGTAAGGTTTATGCTATCTTATGGTGAGGTGAGGGCATTTATCGTGTGTATCTAATTGTTGTGTGTAACAATGTAAGGTTTATGTGAGGTTGGGGTGGGTGGTATTTTGTATGTGTTCTGTGTCTGTCCATTGTCTGGCACAAATTATCTGGTCCTCACCTGTTCCCCATTGTTTCAGGGACTGGAGTGGGGTCATGAGTCCACCCATTGGTCCACTCTCACACATACATGTATCATCTGGTCCTCATCTGTTGTTTCAGGGACTGGAGTGGGGTCATGAGTCCACCCATTGGTCCACTCTCACACATACATGTATCATCTGGTCCTCATCTGTTGTTTCAGGGACTGGAGTGGGGTCATGAGTCCACCTATTGGTCCACTCTCACACATACATGCATCATCTGGTCCTCACCTGTTGTTTCAGGGACTGGAGTGGGGTCATGAGTCCACCCATTGGTCCACTCTCACACATACATGCATCATCTGGTCCTCACCTGTTGTTTCAGGGACTGGAGTGGGGTCATGAGTCCACCTATTGGTCCACTCTCACACATACATGTATCATCTGGTCCTCACCTGTTGTTTCAGGGACTGGAGTGGGGTCATGAGTCCACCCATTGGCCCACTCTCACACATACATGTATCATCTGGTCCTCACCTGTTGTTTCAGGGACTGGAGTGGGGTCATGAGTCCACCCATTGGCCCACTCTCACACATACATGTATCATCTGGTCCTCACCTGTTGTTTCAGGGACTGGAGTGGGGTCATGAGTCCACCCATTGGTCCACTCTCACACATCCAAGACTTGCATGGAACAATGGAAGGGATCTCTGACGATTTATCTGATGATCCAGTACAGCAATGTAAGTTTAAACATGGAGGGTTTTTTTGTGTAGAGAGAAGCCAGAGACACAGATACTAAGAGACACAGATACTAACCCGAACCCTCTAGAGTAAGAAGGATGCTCATACAGAATATAACATCCATAACAAATACTTAGATTGATAAGATCTATAGTCACTTGTATGATGGGGATGTGCACAAACCTAGTATTGCTGACCAAAAAGTTTTGATACTTGGCTTTATTATATCTCTGAGCCCACCCAGCTCTAATGAGTTATAGAAACAGCAGTGGGAGAATTTAGGTAGCTAACCATACACTTGTTTTATATGCCATAGTCAAAGACACAGATAAACTCAACATCATCTCTAGTATGGATGCTTAATCTAAAACAGGGGTCTCCAAACTTTTCAGTCCGAGGGCCGCATTAACTATCAAATTTCAGTTCGGGGGCCAGTTTCTTCCAGACATGTCTTTGATTTTTTTTGGGCAAAGTTCCCAAGCCATCACCAACAAAGGATTTTTCTTGGAAAAAAATATCTCAGCGGGCCGGATGAGAGGACTTCGCGGGCCGCATCCAGCCAGCGGGCCGTAGTTTGGAGACCCCTGATCTAAAAGATAAAAAAATATACTTTTTTCCCCCTCAAAATCAGTATATTTAAATGTGGACTTCATCCTTATTTATCATTATTCTTAAAACTTCGTGTCTATAATGAATGGTGCCATTAAATTTGTGGACGTTTGTTTTTGTTTCAGACCATGGTAGGAAGAACCTGAAGAGTGGAGAGGACGACGATAAACTGGACGTTTGTTTTGACCCAAAACTGAACTGCTACTTTGACCCCAGAACAAACAAGTATTATGAGCTGGTCTCTTGACTGATTTTCTTGATTCATCTCAACAGAAGTCTGTTTTCTGCTAGACTGGCAGATTTTCTTGATTCATCTCAACAGAAGTCTGTGTTTTCTGCTAGACTGGCAGATTTTCTTGATTCATCTCAACAGAAGTCTGTGTTTTCTGCTCAAACGTTTTCCAAGAATTAGCCTGACACCCATTGTCTTGGCATGTCAGAGGTTGTCAAATGATAGTTTTTCTAGAGAGTCAAAGTTTTTGGCTGAAAGTCATTATTCTAGTCCCAATTTGTCAGACAAGTCAATATTTATCACAGAAAATATGAAATTTAAAATGCAAATGTCTTATTTAGTCCCACTATAGTTTTTGATGTTTAGTTTAACTGTCAGATTAGTGACGTCTCTAGAAGACAATGTGAGAAATGTCCCTCATAGACTTGGGGTATCAGTTTTGTTTTTGGTGTTTAGTGTGACCATCAGGTTAGGTGATGGCTCATAATGAGATGACACATGTATTTATAAACTTGCCAAATTTTGTTTTTGGTATTTAGTGTGACCATCAGGTTAGGTGATGGCTCCTAATGAGATGCCACATGTATTTATAAACTTGCCAAATGGGGATGTGACTCCTCAAGCAGAATGTGATATTATGTCCCTTGTATTTATGTACATAAATAAATGATTGCTACTAGTTTTAATTTTTTGTCATGTCTCAATTGACTTTAACAAGCGTTTCTGTCAGAAGTCTTCTCAAGCACTCAACAGTTGGCTGAAGACTAAAACAATAGGACATATGGACTGGCGACCATTTTCTCTAAACCTGGTTAAACCCATCTTGGCCGTCTGGCTTGAATTGTCCTCAACAAACACGATATTGTTTGCAACCAGCAGGATTCATATTGACATTGTTGAACGGCAGAACACGCTTTATATAAGATTCTAGAGTAGAGGGAAGAGGAAAAATATCAAAAGAAGATTAACGTGAAGCTGTCGATTTTTATTATAAATTGGAATTTTTAAACCTTTGTTAAGAGTTGGAAGTATTGGTCATTACTATGGGTAAAACTACTGATCGTTTTCTCTGTTTGACAAGTACTAGGCAAAACTAAAAGTTGACGTCATTTAGGCCTAGCCCTATTCGAGGGGTCAGATCACGATGGTTTCATTCATCATAGCCAGCATCTGCTGAGGACAGGCCTTGCGCCGTCGAGCGAGCGTTTGTGGGGCTTGGTTTTCTCTGTGTAAACATCGGCACTCGGCAACTAGCTCGATACAAGCTTGGCCCCGATCATCCGAGCGTCACCTCGTGTCGCGCATGTTCGATAACTCCACACGTTTCTTGCCATCAGTTCACACAGTGCAATCGTGTCTTTAAAGGGGGCGAGGGTTAGGTAATCCACGAAATAAAAATTGGAACAATTTTTTTTAAAAGTGAAATTTAAAAAAACACAGTTAAATTCATAAGTCTATTCTTAGTAAAGTTTAAGAACAAATCAGGTGTTATTTCATGTACGTTTAATGTTCTACACTTCAGTTAAAATATGCCTCAAAACATTCAGGCAGTTTTAAACAAATTTTAAGAACACAGTAATAGGGAGACAATGATGCAAGGCCTGCCAGCTCATGTACGTAGAATTTGTTGATGTTTCGATATTTTTGTTCATTTCTGTTATTCGGTGTGGTTTTAAAGATTTGATGCTACATTGTTGATTGGCGGCTTTATCATTTTGGTTTATTGAAGATAAGATAGCCGATCTATAGAAATGTTAATGTTATATGAAAGAAAATATAGCTGGTCTATAAAGGGTTAACGTTTTTAAATGTTTGTTTTTTGTCATACACAACATGTTTAAGTTCCCAGATAGTAAGGAAAAAATGTTTCAGTAGGTAGGAATGGAGTGGTGTAGTCGTTAGCACATCACATCACTTATTTAAGTTGGTGAAGGCACCTAACGTACCATAAGCCGTAATAAAGATAATGAGTTTTATAAAATCGCGAGATCTTCGATAAGTAATGAACACAAATCGATTTCTATTCTAGGGTACGTAGCTCCCAATGTACTTTGGCCAATTTTTAAATAAGTTACGAGATTAAAAAAAAATTCTTATGAAACTCAGTTCTGAACTGCCTGGAAATGCTTATCTATTGACCAATATATCAGCCTCGATAGATAATCTCGATACATACGGTCTTCTTTCTGCCAGATAAATTCAACCAAACATTGCTAAATATAAAATGTAGAATAAAGAACGGGGTAAACTAAAGATAAGAACAAAACAACTGTGCCAAGTGCAACCACGACCTAGATCTTAAATGTTAGTATTGATACGACTTTTACAAATCGTGGTGAACACAACGCAAATATGTTTTACATATTCGAGACATCGACTGATAACATTTTTATAAATAATTTGAACAAACGCTAAACTTTAGGCCTAAGCCTAATAGATTTTACATCTGTTTGGTTTAAAAAATGCATTTTTTTAAATTCAGAAAATCTATTACGTATGAATTAAATTAATTTATTCATCTTTTTGTTACTATTTTTCAATGTTTAAATTTGGCTGAACGGTGGTAAATATTCCCCCCTACCCCCGCCCAGAAAAATAAACTAAAACCGAACAACTAAAGACTCAACAGACGGAACAGCCACGATGAGTTCGCGTTGGAAACCTTAATAAAAAAATTTGCCTGCAATAAATAGGTAGATCTACATTTTCCTACATGCAGCTTAATTCCAACTACACGCGCCTAAGTTGAACGAGTAAACTCCCTTTGATCCGACCTAATTTAACAAAGATGCTAAACGAACAAGGCTAACACTTTAATCAAAGCTGAGTTCTCAAATCGACACATGTTGCTATTGTACTTTACCGTTAGACGGTACACGGCAAACATTGTCAGACAATTATATCGATCTCAATTCCCTAGATTTAATAAAATCGAACAATATTTTTCATTGTCTACCTCTAGGCCTGCTATGTGAGTTAGGTTCAATGTTGGGTCACTCAATCAGTTTTTGAGGATCACCGGAACACAACAAGTGGGCGTGGTTACAGTAAATATCACGAAGTATTGCGGGCAATGTGAGGAAAGTTCTAAAAATACAACGCTAGGGTTTCAATAACCTTGACTGTTAACTACATGTAGATAGAAACAGATTATTAACACCTTTTTGTAAGAAAAATAATCATAAAACACATATTAAAATAACATATTTGAAATACTTAAGGGTAGCGTCATAAATAACAAACACTGATACACAACTAAACAAAATCACATAACAAAAGTTACCCTACACATGCTATCCAACAAAAGTTACCCTACACATGCTATCCAACAAAAGTTACCCAACACAGACTATCCAACAAAAGTTACCCAACACAAACTATCCAACAAAAGTTACCCAGCACAGACTATCCAACAAAAGTTACCCAACACATGCTATCCAAAAAAAGTTACCCTACACATGCTATCCAACAAAAGGTAACCAACACAGACTGTCAACAAAAGTTACCCTAAAAAAGACTATACAACAAACGGTACACGATGAAAGTTTAGACGGATGATCTAATCTTACTGCTGACGAAAAGATTGTAATTCACAGCACCCCCTGATAACAACAATTGTGTAGAGTTGTGGATAAGACTTTATTCCACCCTCCCCCACACACACACATAGACCTTAAAACCCACAACAGTCATAGTTGCACAGCAAAGGGCGGTAATTTTCTCATAACAGCCAACGTCAAAGGTTGAACAGTGAGGTCATTTACTAATAGGAACTTCCGCTGGAACTTATCGTGAGCAGGTCTGGGATAATTTTTTCATTTCCTGATTCGGTGCCAGGGACATTTGCAGGGCGGTTGTAGCGGTGGTAAGTCGGTATGTGATGTGTGGAGATGTTCTGTGATGTGTTGTGATTTTCTGTGATGTGTTGTGATGTTCTGTGTGATGTGTTGGGAAGTGCTGTGATGTTCTGTGTGAAGTGTTGTAATGTTTTGTATGATGTGTTGTGATGTGTTGTGATGTTTTGTGATGGTCTGTGATATGTGGAGATGTTCTGTGTGATGTGTTGTGATGTTCTGTGTGATGTGTTTTGATGTTCTGTGTGATGTGTTGTGATGTTCTGTGTGATGTGTGGAGATGTTCTGTGTGATGTGTTGTGATGTTCTGTGCGATGTGTTGTGATGTTCTGTGCGATGTGTTGTGATGTTCTGTGTGATGTGTTGTGATGTTCTGTGTGATGTGTTGTGATGTTCTGTGTGATGTGTTGTGATGTTCTGTGTGGTGTGTTGTGATGTACAGTGTGATGTGTTGTGATGTTTTGTGTGATGTGTTGTGATGTGTTGTGATGTTCTGTGATGTGTGGAGATGTTCTGTGTGATGTGTTGTGATGTTCTGTGTGGTGTGTTGTGATGTACAGTGTGATGTGTTTTGATGTTCTGTGTGGTGTGTTGTGATGTACGGTGTGATGTGTTTTGATGTTCTGTGTGAGGTGATGTGGTGTTCTGTGTGATGTGTTGGGATGTTCTATGCACTGTGTTATAAAGTACAATGTGATGTTTTGTGTAGTTCTGTACGGATATTTTATATGTAATGTATGGGTGTGTTTTGTGTGACGAATGCGTTTTGTGATGTGCTGGGTGATATTTTGTGATGTTGTGATGTTATGTGTAATGTTATGTTGCTATGTTATAGATGAAAATAAATGTTTTCTGTGAAAAAGTCATTTTTACAGCACAAAATAATGTTTTATAACTGCTATAAGTTACGATGTAGGAATTCCATATCTCTAAACTATTGTAATTAAAACAAAAAAAATATTATTTTTTTTTATAGTATCAAATTATGACTTGGGTGGGGAGGAGTTCTAAAAATGTTATATAATATATCAGCGATGGCGGTATTTGAATTGAAATGTTAAATTACATTGCAATAAAACAGATTTAAAATATAACATTTGTGTGTTCTATATCAGCACGATCCATTATAATGAATATAGATTTGAACACATTTTGGAATTTCGCTCGCTAAAGTTATCGTGGTCATATACACACATACACACACACACGCAGACATACGGACAGAATTGCAAAACCAGTTTTTCCGACTCGATTACGCATAAAACGCGTACATTTTGATAAACCTGGATTTTTTTTTTTTGCCGGATTAAAATAAGTCCCCTATACTCCGTATATGATCAAGTACTGAGGTATAAAGGGGTGAAAACTGTCAAAACTTCATGTGATTTTTGTGCACGATTATAATACTTCCTCTAAACTCTGTATACGAGAAAGTAAAAAAGAACTTGCGACCCCCCACCCCCCTCCCACAGGTGTAAAGAACAGCATTTCCAAAAAATAGATCAGTTTCATCCCATTCAAAAAGAAAAGTGTTCTATAAATATCTTAACCTCATCACTAGCCCGAGGCTAGACTAGACCATCTCGACTCGATAAACTAGAGGTCGTGTTGCGTGTCAGCTCATGAGCGTGGTGGAGGGGGGTGAAGTTCAGGAACATATTTTTAAAAGAATATTTTCTGGACGATCAAAGTGTGTCAGGTAATTCTAATAGGAACAAGTGTGTGACCCTTCGTTTTTTTTTTTTTTTTTTTGCCCTATTACACTAAAAAAAAAATCAAAGTCTGGATTAACTAAAACCAATTAGCTATGTAACAGCTTTAAGCATACTCTGTCATAATAGATATCCGGCAGTTTTTGGTAGAAAACATTTAGTGGTGTCTACACGAAAAGATGTTGTTTTTTTAAAAAAAAAGTACTACCTAAAGTATTCTAATCAATGTTCCAGCATATTTTTACACTTGCTTGTTATCAGTGGATTGATTCAATATGATCTATCGTTCGATGTGGCAGAAATATTGTTTAGATATACAGCATACAGCGAGTTTAAGTTACATGTTTGATTTTAGTTCATGATCGAATTTTTAAAAAAGTGTGGGGGGAGGACTTAAAGTATTTGTGGAGTGGAGTTAAAAGATAATTTTTTTTTAATCAGTAGGGTGGGTGAAATCTGGCCATTCGTCAATCGAGGACTGTCTAAATATAGACGAGTGTCATGAAACCAAGGGGAGAGAAGAAATAAGACACTTCAGATATGAGTCGCGACAAAGTTGTGGCCAGGTAAGTTGCCGTTTTACAGGCCAATTTTAAATTAGTGCGGGTTGTGTAGAGATTTTACATTTTTAAATATTTTTTTTTTTACAACTGTTAGTTAATTATTGTTTTAACGAATGTTCAACAAATAAACCATCCGTTTTACTGAAAAATGTAAACTAATAATTTAAGTTAATCAAAACTATATCGGCAGTCTGCATTTCCGAACCGTCGTCCTTACGTTACAATATTAGTCACACAGCATTGAATTCATTAGTTACATATGCAGGGTCACGAGGCTCGCTGTGGGATAAGGTGTAGGACGCTGTCTAAGGTAGGTGGGATTAAAACAGGCCGGGCTCCTGCCCTCGGGCTTTTAATCGTGAACACTTTCTAAACAGTTTTACTCTATGATCTTTGTTCAGAGATTTTTTAAAGTGGATTATTCAATTTATGAAGTCTAAAAAGGAACCAATTGCAGATTTTAAACTGTTGCTTGATGATTACGGTGAGATGAATTCAGTCTCTGTCGACATTGTAATGTTTTTGAAACCAACGGAACATTCGCGGTATTCTTAGTACAACCATCACTAGTTTATTGTAGAGCAATAGATGTGATATAGATGTTACAGTAAATGTCTACGTTAGCGTGTTTAAAATAATGTTCGTGCAGAGAGCATAAACAACTAAAAGATGATCTCAGAACAGAAGCGTCACGTCACAGATAAATGAGCTTCTATGACCGAAGCCAGTAATTAGATTGTTTCTCCGGGGGGGGGGGGGGGGGGGACACTCTTAAAAGTAGTATATATTTTTCATATAAATTCTATTTCGTTCGGGGGGGGCGGTAAACTTTCTTCTCAAGAAACACTATTCGCCTGTATCCTGGGATCCCAAGTCCTTAGACCTGGGATTTAGTGCAGACTGTAGTCAGGAATCAAACTGGAGACTTACAGGCTAGCAGCATTTACACGCATGACCACATCGCCCGACCGGCGTGTGCTGTCTACCATGACCAATCTGAGACCCTGACAGTGACTTAACCATGTTTTACAATGTCACTTATTACTATTACGCCATCGTTATTTCGATATATATATATATATATATATATATATATATATATATATATATATATATATATATATATATATATATATATATATATATATATATATAAAACCCAAAACCTACACAAATATTATTAGTAGAGAATTGCCACAAAACTTTTCCCACAAACATTAGTCATAGTAGTTGCCCAGCTTATTCACATAATATAATGAGCTCATGCATTTTTCTATGAAGTAATTAGACATTTTTACAGACTAATTATGCACGAAAAATGCAAATACCAGCAGTGTGAGCGCCCCGCACCTGGTGCCAGTTGAGCAAAGGACGTTGAGTGCAGCCGACAACACATGCAGGCTTAGTTCTGCACATAGTTGGTGCACTTTTTCAAGTGAGATCATGATCTTTGCACAGTCATTAGGGATCTTTGAAGTGCTATCATGATCTTAGCACAGTCATTTGGGATCTTTGAAGTTTGTCATGATCTTAACACATAGTCATTTGGGATCTTTGAAGTGCTATCCTGCACCTATCATACAACACGAACTGTTGTGACTCATAATGTGAATATAGGTATAGGTAATATACTCATCATTGTTGTATAATTCAACCGGTGTTTCTCTTTGTTCCTAAAAAAAAATTCTGGTCTTTTAAAAACAAAGTTGGATGAAAAATATATTGACCCAATGAGATGACGGGTGTGGTTTCCATTAAAAAAAACACAAGAAGTTTTGAACACCAAGTTGTATTGTGTTTTTAAAATGTTTACTTGTAGTGTAGTATTATGCGGTGATATATGGAGATGTTTTTTAAAATTTCACACTGGAAGCGTTGGTTACTAATGTCCTATTTTTTTGTGTTATGTAATACGTGCACAAGACTCCCATAACCCCCACACTTTAAAAAAAATCAACCCACCCGGTAATTCCTTAATCCCACGAAATGATTTTGAGCACATTTTTTTTGTTGAATTAGAAGAGACGTGGAGAGTTTGGGAGGGGAGGTAATCAAATATTGGAACTATGGGCTGGATGTCAGACACTTCTGATAGGGGACATTACCTCCTTAATATGCTGATTAGAAGGAAAAAAGTGGGGCCTAATTTTAACTCCGTTTACTCTCATTGCTATGGAGACATGGTGTACATGTGTTATTCCCCTTGTGTACGGGGGTGGGGGTGGGGTGCAGTACGCATCAGGGGACACAATTTAGGGGGTGGCATCATATAAAAAAGTCGTTAGCTATATCGTCAAAACAAAGAAATGTTGTATTTTCGTTTTGGTGTCACCCCTCTCCCTTCTATTTTATTATTTTAACTGCATACAATATTATGCAGTTAAAATAATAAAATAGAAGGGAGAGGGGTGACACTAAAACGAAAATACAACATTTCTTTGATAAGGGTGGGGTGACATCCTCAGTTAACGCACCGGGTGAGCAGTGTTTCTTTCAGACCTTTTTCTCCGGGGGGGGGGCGGACTAAAGTTTCCGGGGGGGGGGGGCGGACACTGTTAAAAGCATATATTTTCTATATAAATTCCATTTCGTTCGGGGGGCCGGTAGACTTTCTTCGGGGGCGACAGAGCCCCCCCCCCCCCGAAGAGATGCCTGGAAGAAACTCTGCTGGTGACACCCAACCTAGTGACGCCACTATCGCAGGAAATGTTTTTCCCCCCGTTTAGTCAGTCTGTTTCTCATGTTGATTCTGCCCAATGTTCCCACACCGCTAGTCCACATTATTCTGTTCCCCATCACCTGGCGTTATACTCAAACGCTATTCAAACGTAAAATTGAGCTCTAAAGGCCGTAACTCTTGACAGTTGACACAGCAACACACGAGTTCTGTCCCTTATACGATGCAGCATCTGCGCAATAACTGCACACCGTGCGCGCACACAAATTTATCATTAACCTCTCGGCTGTAATTAAATCTATAACGTTTTAGTGGGATTAACTGTGGTATAGGTTAGACCATTCGAACCCGTTATAACCTTTATGAATATAAACGAGCTCTATTAATTAAGATAATTAATTCTTCCATGATTCACGAGGGAGTCATTCGGTATGAACGTGCGTTTTAAGTTAATTAATCAACGTTTGGATTTAACGAGGGACGATGAGTACAGGTAGTATTTTAAGTTCATCCTTAAATTAAGATTGCGATTTTGCATTGATTTCATTAAATAGCGGTGCTGGGGAACATACATTGATGGCCGCCATAAACAAAAATGTTATTTGTGTGTGAGTCGTGTGTTCTTGCAATAATTCTAGGAATGTAATAGTCAATTTATTCTCTTTCGAAATGTTTTTTATTAAAAGTTTTATTAACAAACAAAAATACAACAACAACAACAAACTTACACACGTGTATTATTGTTTGTTTATTTAGTCGGGGAAGTTAAGCTATTAATTAAACAAAAGCCAAGCGCTGGGTGGACACATCAGGTTGATGACCCCCCCCCCCCCATTTCTGTTTCCTTCACCGATGGCTTATATTGATGTGCACATGTTATAAATACTGTGACGCAATTAACCATTGATCACATTGTATATTTTTTTTAGACCTCTAGCATTGTTTTCTAAATCAGGGGTCTCCAAACTTTTCAGCCAGAGGGCCGCATTAACTATCAAATATCAGTTCGGGGGCCAGAGTTTCTTCAAGACATCTCTTCGGGGTGGTAGCCCCCCCCCCCCCCCCCGAAGAACTTGTACCTTCTCCCTTAACGAAATATAATTTATATAGAAATATATACAAATTTCAAGTGTCCCCCCCCCCAGGAGAAAAAAGTCTGAAAGAAACACTGTCGGTGGCCAACAACACTCGAAGTACAAATTTGCTCTCAAATTATACTTCACGTATTTCAATCTTGAAAATATTTGTTCACACAGGTATCTTGTTCCAAAATTTGAAAGGTAGGCCTACTTTGATGCAAAAGTTTTAATATTAGAAAAATATTCCTTATGCAAAAACTTATAAAAACCCACCCGCCCTTCTTTGAACGTGTCTCTAATGACCTCCAGCTGCAGTTCACCTTTCCAACTGGCCACATTTGCTTCAACTGGGTTCTGAAACAGTCTCACTTTTTCTGCCTTTGAATTCAAGTCAGAAAACCGCCACTAAAACTGCAGCTATAGTATAAGTCTTTGGTGATCTCGTATGCAAATGATGTGGGGAACTCAGTGGTTGCTTCAGCCGTAAAGACTTTGCACTACTGAGAGTGCGTCAAGTTGTTGGCTTGTACTTGTTCCAAAAACATGACAAGTTTGGATCTGAAAACCTTTAGGTGGGTGTATAGATCAAAAAATAAATTCCCATGTCTTGTAGTTTTAGGTTCAGAAAATTTAAATGACTAGTTTTTTTTTGCAGCAGAGGCCCATTTCTATACCCACTCTTCATCAGACAGTAAGTACATCAGCTTGTGGCTTGCCTTTACTTTCAAGGAAGTTACCTTTTCCTTTCTTAACTTAAATACTCTGCTCAAAAAAATTTCTCGCAAATTAGCCATCTTACTGCTGTGAAATATGGTAAATCTAGCGATTCTGTGTTTCTAATCTATCTTTCAACATGTCTCTGAACTATCTACATTCTCTCCGGTAGCAGTGCCATACATTCTATGTAGGGAAGCTAGCTCTTATGTTATGTTCATCTCTTCATCCACACCTCTAATGAACATAAGCAGTTGAGATGTGGAACAGCTGTCCAGCAACTGATCCATTACAATTAAAAAATTGCGAAACTTGCTTGCATTTTTCGCTATTTGATTCACGATGTTTTCACCAATGTCTGCAACACGACGGGCAATGGTTTTTGCACCCAAGGCTACATTTTCAAATCGTTTGAATTTTCTGGGCATAGTTTCTCAGCCACTTCTAACAAACATTTATTCCATGGACAAAAAGATCGCCGCGGGCCGGATGAGAGGAACTCGCGGGCCGCATCTGGCCCGCTGGCCGTAGTTTGGAGAGCCCTGGTCTAAATGTAGGGACTACATTTTGTGTTCAGAATAACCTGTACATTGATAGGTACTGATATGAGACTATTCTATTCGGAATAACCTCTACATTGATAGGCACTACTTTGAGACTATACCCCATTTTGTGTTCAGAATATCTTCTACATCTCGAGGTCCCCGCTATTTGCCTAAACACATCCAACAAAATCGTCTTTTTTCGATCCCCGCCCCCAACCCCTTCCGTATGGCCATGATGAGTTTAGTAGTGTGAGATTATGAGTTTTGTTTGATGCAGCGCGGTAAGTGGTAGTGTGCTAATATTTTCAAATAACATATTTTCTCTCTCATATTGGCTGCTCACTTTTTTTTTTGCTACCATGTAGTGGAAAAGTGCACAACTCGCGCGCATGAATAATAGAATGATATTCCTCGTTTAGCAACACATAGAGGTGACTAGCGATATAAATATAGTGTTGTTTGATTGGTCCTGACTAATTTTGTTTCCCCACAATGGAGAGCCAGACAGGAGACTGGCGAAATAAATATAGTGTTGTTTGATTGGTCCTGACTAATTTTGTTTCTCCACAATGGAGAGCCAGACAGGAGACTGGCGAAATAAATATAGTGTTGTTTGATTGGTCCTGACTAATTTTGTTTCCCCACAATGGAGAGCCAGACAGGTGACTGACGAAATAAATATAGTGTTGTTTGATATCATCATCATCCCTCCTTTGTGGCCCCTGGGGAGCAAAGGGCTGCAACCACACATCTCCAGCGGACTCGGTTTTGGGCTGCTCCTCTAATCTGTGCCCATGAGAGCCCAGCTGTTTTCGCCTCTTCCTCTACCGTTCCCTTCCATGTTTTCCTTGGCCGGCCCACCCTCCTTTTCCCCTGGGGATTCCAGTCCAATGCATGCCTTGCGATGTTTTCTTTTTCTTTTCTTAACGTATGTCCGATCCATGTTGTTTGATAGGTCCTGACTAATTTTGTTTCCCCAGCAATGGAAAGCCAGTTACGTCCCCTGCCGACCCCCTCCGCGAGGAAGTGACGATGAGCGAGGCCATACCGATGGGCAACTCAACAGTACATCCACGCAGGCTTGTGGACAGCAACAATGAGGAGGGTGAAGGCCGGCGGCCCGAGACAGACGACTCGGATGGAAACAACCCTCTCACGCCTGAATCTGTGAGCTCACGTCTGCTTCTTATTTGCCTGGTGCCATTCGACAGTCATTCGAATAGCCCAGTGGCGTAGCCAGGATCGTCTCAGGGGGGGGGGGGGTTCAAATTTTTCCCGCATCATAAATGTATATATCAGAGGCGTAGCGCCCCCGGGCCCCGAGGACAAACTTTTGATTTGCACCCCCCCCCCTCAAACTTTTGATTTGCACCCTCTCAAACTTTTGATTTGCACCCCTCGCTCAACCTTTATGTATCTACCGATTATAAAGATTACAAAAGCTTAGAATTCATCAAATATCGTGTATGCTATTGCATCAGCTCATTTTCAAATGCACAATGATTACAATCATAATCAACGAAACTATTAAGGGAGGTAATCCAATAACGCATATATTTATCACAGTTCGCTCCCCTGCTGTCTACGAATCAGTTTCTGGTTAGAAAAATGGCGTCACAAGCCCTAATGGACGTAGCGCTGATGATGGCAAACATCTCACAACTACGTACACTAGTTGTTGCAGGTATGGGCAAACATCTCACAACTACGTACACTGGTTGTTGCAGGTATGGGCAAACATCTCACAACTACGTACACTGGTTGTTGCAGGTATGGGCAAACATCTCACAACTACGTACACTGGTTGTTGCAGGTATGGGGGGAATTTTTTTTAATTTTTAGGAGACCATCAAGATGGGATCTGTTTATTACTATTATTAGTTATAAATAATTGTAAAATATGCTGCGCATTTCTTGAAGCTCAAAATTGTTTTAAAAAGATAGTTTTAAGACGTTTGTTCACAATTGACGTCACACAATCTGTTGTTGAGAGTTAGGATGTTTTCAGGGGGTCGAGCGACCACTTTGTAATGTGGTGGGGACTTTGGTAACGAACTTAAGGGGATGGACATGATTTATGTAATGACAAACGACAATAGGGGTAAGGGTACAGATCGTCTGGAAAAGTTTGCAATAATTTATGGGTCTTTAGAAGCGAGTAAAGCTGAGAGCTATAAGGGCCTAGAACATAACCCCGCCTCAGTCGTTACCCCCTGTCTAATTCCCCACCCCATATCCTAAGGAACATTGATCCTAACATCAACCACAAACCTATATCTATCCCTAACCACAAAATCAATCCTAACCCCCAACTCTAAACCTAACCCTATCCCTGACTGCGGGGGGGGGGGGGATGACAGGTGTATTTGCTCTGGGGGTTACTGTCCTGCTCCCGAGCTAAAAATAGCTCTAACTTTTTATTTGAACATGTACCTAGGTCCGGACAACATGGAGTACTTCTACGCTTTGATCACACTGGTGGGCTTCTCATTGGCTGCCCAAATCATCTTCGCTATCCTCATCTTCATCATCTGGGTGAGGGAGAGTGACCAGCACCAGAGGCATGAGTACCTCACCTCACTACAGAAGGTAAGCTGGTAGTGACAGGAGTGACAGGTAGCTCAGCTCACAACAGAAGGTAAGTTGTTTGTGATAGGTCGCTCAGCTCACTACAGAAGGTAAGTTGGTAATGACAAGTATCTCACCTCACTACAGAAGGTAAGGTGTTTGGGACAGGTAGCTTTTAATTCTAACCACATCTCTACATTGATGTCTGTCTGGTCGCATATGAACGAGTGGTCTCGTTAAAGTTAAATATCTATAGCGTCTAGATATATCCATATATTAAAAATATATATTGGAGGAGGGAAGGGGAGCTATACATTAAAAAACATTAAGGAAAAAATATTGAATAACTTATTTTTATGAAAAAGACTTGTCAACTTTTGATTGACTTGTTCTATTTTTATACTACCTACGTTTTGAACTAGCCTCGTTAAAATGAAACGTTAAAATAATTGTCTATGTCGATATAATTGCAGTATCTAAAATATATGGCATGTTTTAAAGTCAGATATAAAAGAGTATGAAGAATAAAAGAAAACTCGAAAGTTCTTGCAACCAATCGTTTTCTCCACCCCCAGCGGCCAAATACAGGGGCGAATAACTCAAGCGTGACGCCCGAGGAACTTGATGAGGATTTCCGCCAACAGAGGATCACCAACCACCTGAACTACGTCACCATGGTGCTCGTCTTCACCATCACAGTAGCCAACATGTTCATCACGGGGTTCGGGATCAAACTGGAGGTCCCTAACGTCAAGTCGAACCCTTGACCGTCGACAGGTCAACTCTTGACCGTTGACAGGTCAACACTTGACCGTTGAATGGTCAACACTTGACCGTCGATAGGTCAACTCTTGACCGACGTCAGGTCAACACTTGACCGTTGACAGGTCAACTCTTGACCATCGACAGTGAAGTCTTGACCGTTGACAGGTCAACTCTTGACCATCGACAGTGAAGTCTTGACCGTTGACAGGTCAACTCTTGACCGTCATTAGATCGACACTTGATCGTCGTCAGGTCAACTCTAGACAGCGGTCAATACGTTGACAATTAACATCACCGTCAGTCCCAAGTTTGAGGAACACGTGACTCTGTTCATCACACCAACATTAATAAAACATTTCAACTCTTTATTAAACTAAACCATTCTCAGACGAACTAAAAAAGTACAGGTAACAAAACTGTCGCCAGAGGAACGGATGAAACAAAAATAACAAAAGTCATACAAAGGTAGAGCTACTTGTTTCAGGGACAGTCAGAGTATACATAACATCTCTCGTAGCCTTTCTCAATGTCATAAGTCAGCACCATATGTTCCACTCTGGTTCCCCGTATGTTTCATATAATAGACACTGCACAGCAGATTCTGTGTTGTTTCTGTAACAATAGTACTACACTCTGTATAGTAAATCGTCTGTTGTTGCTATCATAACGTGTAACAATATTACTTGACTCTGTGTAGCAAATCCTGTGCTGACAATAGCGACACCCAGAGGCGTAGCGACCCTTCCCGGCGCCCGGGGCGAACTTTCAATTTGGCGCCCCCCCCCGCTTATATATATATATATATATATATATATATATATATATATATATATATATATATATATATATATATATATATATATGTGTGTGTGTGTGTGTGTGTGTGTATAATTATGTGTGTGTGATAGTGTGTTTATATATAAGCTTGTGTGTGGGTAAGAGTGTATTTGTGTGTGTAAGCGTGTGTGTAAGCGTGTATGCTACAGTCCGGACAAGGTTTAATAATTACATTGTATGATTTTCATTCCTTAAAACTTTACGACAATTTAATTCCCATTAAGATGCGTTTAACTTTTTTTGCGAAAGATTAGTAATGTCAGTAAAAAAAAAAATAAGCCTGATCTGTGTTAGAGGGTAGTTTGTAGCTAACGCTAATATGTTTAGACCAGCCTTTTATGTTCTAGTTTTGAACGATCTCTGTTGTGATATGGTACATATTGGATTCGAAGTTTGTTAGAGTAAGGACACACAAGTGACATACAAGAAGAAGTTATCAGAAATATTTATTGTTCACATTGGAATACGACATGGGTATTTCGTTGATTGGTTGATGGTATGACAAAACAAGCTAGAGAAAACAAACTGGAATCCAACGGATGTTAACAGCTCGTAGTCTTGGATTTCGCAGATTTGCCCTGCCTTCTCGCACACAGTTTCTTCCAGGCATCTTTTCGGGGGGGCGAAGCCCCCCGGAAAAATTTTTACGCCCCCCCGAACGAAATGAAATTTATATAATTTATATATAGAAAATATATACTTTTAACGGTGTCCGCCCCCCCCCCCGAAGAAAGTTTACCGCCTCCCCCCTCCCCCCGAAGATTTCAAGTGCCCCCCCGGAGAAAAAAGTCTGGAATAAACACTGATCAAAAGTATCTGATCTCTCACGTTGAAGTTGAGAGAATCGTAAGAATCTTACAAAGAACTAGTCGCGTCTTTTTTTTTAACAAAACTGGCTATTGAAATTGTACATTACGCGTTAATACACTTGGTTTCTTTACTAAGTGTTAAGAGAGTTATCTACTCACCAATCCAGTACAAATACTTGCGATTTTTGTTAGCGAAAAAAGCGCCCCCCCCCCCACCCCCACACACACTCATCACAACCATCTTGGACAAAGTTTGTAGAGCGGTTTTTAACGTAACTAACTTTTTTTTTAAAAATGTTACACAATTATACAATGCACAGTACAATTCGTTTCTTTCTGAGAGCTAAAGGTTGTTTACTCAGAATCCTGTGTAATTTTGCTATTTTATTTAGCCTAAAAGCGCCCCCCTGCACCATCTTGATAAAAGTCACTAACGTATTTTACAGTTCAACAATCGTACAATACGTTTTAATACAATTGGTTTCTTTTAATAGTGGTAACGTTTATCGACTCAACAATCTAGTGTAAATTCTTCCGTTTTAAGTCTCGAAAAAGCGCCCCCCCCCCCCCATCTAGGAAAAGCTTCAAAGCGGTTTTGCCGGTCACTGTTTCTTAAGAGTATATGTTTTACATTAAGAAATCAAGATAGAAAACAGTTAAATCAGTATGTAAATGCGTGTAGCCATTATATTTCTTAACTTAGACAGTTTATAATTCAAAACTGCAGCATAAAATCAGCTTTAAAAAATTTTTCCCACCCCCTTTGGCGCCCCCATAGGGTCGGCGCCCGGGGCGGCCGCCCCCCCCCCCCCCCCCGCCCCCCCCCTAGCTACGCCTCTGGCGACACCACAATATTACTATTACTGTCGAAATTAAAAGAACTTACCATATTCAACTGTATATACGTTTTTCGTTTGGCAACTACATAAGGCAAAAGTTTGGTTGGAGTTTTCTTTAAAATCTGGATCTACTTTTTCAATCGAGAATTTTAAAATGGACATACAATGATTGATACTACAATAGCATAAGACTTAGAACTATAGTATCCTACTTTTTAAATTTCTTAACAATATCTGTGTACATACAATTCAAAAACAAACATTTTGGTTGGAAATTTAGGTATGTGATAAAAAAGAATGTAAAAAATATAAAAGAAATTATTTTGAAGGTTAATTATCAGTTTCTTCCAGGCATCTCTTCGAAAATTTTTTTACCGCCCCCCCCCCTCCCCCGAACGAATTGAAATTTATATTATTTATATAGAAAATATATACTTTTAACAGTTTACCGCCCCCCCCCCCCCCCGAAGATTTCAAGTGCCCCCCCCCCCCCCCCCCGGAGAAAAGAATCTGGAAGAAACACTGTTAATTATATTATATTATTTTTAAAAATTATTTATGTATGTAAATCTTATACTTATATTGGCATGTTTCCCAGTGACTTTTTTTTGCAGTGACATAACTTATTATTAAACAAGTCACTTTTGGTCCTAACTAATCTTTATTTTTTTCTTGTGGCTATCTGTATACTTATCGATCAGTAATTAACTAGTTAACTTTTAGACTTAAGTAAAAAAAAAAACAACAACTCAAATCCGTTATAATTCAGAAGTTGACAAACTTAACATTCCTTCTATGAAACGATCGTTAATTGTTAATAATTCAGGTGTCTGTCAAGCTTGTCTTAATTTTAGCTGATACTAGTGATACCATTGTTATTTTTTGGCAAGTGAATTTTAATATTTTTTCAAGTAATTATGACGGACGTTTGAAAATTCCTTTGTCTTTCGCTTTCGTACTTTTCATACTTACATAATAGATTTATAATGTTTTTACATTTAATAAAATAAAAAACTCGAATACAATATTGCTTTTTTTTTCACAACACAAGATAGAATGGCGTCACTTTTAACATTTTTTAAATGTCTTTGTTTATTTTAACTTTAAAATATTTGAAAATGAAAAAAAAAAACGGTTCTAATAACAATGACATGCACTAAAAAGAAGAAGAAAATATATTATCTTTAAATATATAGGCCTAATAATGAAACTCTATATTTTAATATATAGCTATAATAAAACGTGAGTCGCTCATAACATTTTACTACGGGTAATTCAATACATTGATTTAGTATACTATAACGACCCAAGCTTTACTTCTTATTAAAAGCTTTACTTGTTATTATTTAACTTGCTTCCTCGTAGAGTCTCTGTCGTCATTGATCGAAACGCTCGAGCGAAATCATAAGCACAATCTGACGTTAAATTTGACTTAATTTGATGCCTAATTAATTTTTTATGAATTAATTAACGTTGTCCAAATTAGTAGGCAGCCTTACCCAACTATTCCGCACTGTTATACGCGCGTTATCATGTTCGTTAGAAGCGCAATAGTTTTTAGTCATGCAACTCTATTGTAAACTTTAAAAAGTTAAAGTAGGCCTACTGAAAACGAAAATTAAAAAACAAAACAAACAAAAAAAAAAACGATTTAATAACAAGCTTTTAGGTAATTGTGCACTAAAATTAAAATATAAATGATTTTCTTTAAATATATAACAATACACTACTATTTAAATCTGTCATCTGGTGCTAGGGCCTTGTCGTGGCTTGGCAGCTTGCGTACCCTGACGACCCCCAGAGCTATACCAGCGGGAGTGTTAACTCCTGGCAGGTTCAACCAAGCTGGGAAGGTCTGCGCGGGTAGGGGTCAGACCAAAGCTAGCACCCTGGTCCTCCAGGTTGGGGGTTGAGCATAAGGTCAGCAACCTTATCTCGTAAAACAAATTACCCGCTACAGAAACGCAGACAGAGAGAAACAAAGACAGCTCGGACCAGGGGAAAAATGGATCTCCCGATGGAGAATTTATGAAGCCGGGTGGTGAAAGCCAATATGTATTGGAAACCACCAGGTCGACCACCATTATTTCCACTAGGACCACCATCAATATTGGAGCTTGGAATGTCCGCACGATGTTCGAAGCTGGAAAAGCAACCCAAGTAGCAGCAGAAATGAGACGCTATAAAATAGCTATCCTGGGTGTCAGCGAATCAAGGTGGACTGGCTCAGGACAAAAAAGGCTGATATCAGGAGAGCTACTGCTGTACTCAGGTCATGAGGATGAAAATGCACCACATACTCAAGGAGTTGCACTCATGCTATCAAATCAAGCACAAAGGGCTCTCATCGGATGGGAGGCACACTAAGAGAGGCAGACCAAGAAAGACCTGGAGACGTGACCTGGAAGAAGACACCAAGAAGATTGGATACACCTGGGGACAGTTGGAGAGACTAGCCCTGGACAGAGACGTCTGGAAAGCTCTTGTCAGCGGCCTATGTCCCAGTAGGGACGACAGGCAAACATGACATGACATGACTATTTAAATAACTATAAACGTACTTTTTAGTGCATTATTACATAAAAAGCTTGTTATAATAACGTTCTTTTTAAATGAATTTTTAAATTTCATTTTAAAAATAAATAAAATAACTTAATAAGCCGCAGAACTATAAACACTTTCGCACCTAATGAACACACAAATGTGAGTGTACTTGCGTATAAAAAATGTGTACTTTAAATGAAAATATTGAATCCATTTTGTGAAAAGTTTGTAAATATTTGTACACGAAAGCCATTGGCCTTGCTAGGTCAGCATTTTTTTGTTCAAATCTTCAAGCACATCCACTTTGGAAATATTTCATTGGATGTAATAATCTATATTCTATATGTATTATAAATTTTGATTTGACAATAACCAGACACACCTCCAGGAAATTTGCAACTGCGCATGTTTTGTTTACATACAACCATTTTTATGCTTTCGTTTATGGAATAAATACGTTTAAGTAGCTTAAAGTTAAGTTGTAAAGTTGAGAAAAAAACATTCAAAGATGACATATTGTTCGGTAAAATCTGAGTTATAGCTGTCTCAAAGGTAAGATTAAATACTGGGTTATGCCTACACTTTATAATAGGTAGTTAGCTAGAAATGTTAAAAATAATAATTTGATATTAATGAATAATTACTAAATAATGAGTTGGTATTAATAATAATATAGAGTATTTTATTACAGAATTTAGAGTATAGATCTAAATAGTTTAGAGATACATAAATAGTTTAGAAATCTAGATTGTCTAGTTTTTAATTCTACTTCTTCTAAATTTAATCAACACATCTATAATTAATTGAGTTATCACTAGATCTGTAACTATTGGCTATATAAACTAATTTCACTGCTTTGTAATTTTATTCTCTGGATTATTAGCTAATGCAAGATTAATAACGTTTATATAGATCTATATCTAATTCAACTTCTTTTCCACGCAACACACACCGAAAATTTCAAGAGGAGTATTCCATCGCCCACCCTCCTTGGACCAAATAGAAATAAATTCTATTAAGAATATATAGGCCCCACATTTACCAGTGTGTCGTCCCCCCCCCCACTCTCTTTTCCGGAAGTTTCAAGTGCCACACACTTTAATTATTTAATATATTCGTTACAATTCGAGTATTAGGCCTACATTGTTATACTGCAGTAGTACTTAAAATGTACTAGAAGATTTTAATGCTCTCCATTAAAAGAATTTATTACAAGCTTTTATTTAGTTCGCAACGTCTGTTTGTGATTTGTGGCAAATCTTGTACTCAATTTTGACCCAATTCTAATGCAGCGATTGTATTCACTTTCCAGATAGTTCCACTTCGATGACAATACAAATCTATCTATTTTTTAATTTAATTAGATATTTAATTAGTCATAACAATTAATTAAAAGTTTTCGAAAATAAGGGGAAATAACACCATTAAATACCTCGATAGATTACTATATTCAATAACAGAAGGGGAGATAACAAGACGCAATTGTCCTAAGCTTTGGTTCACCGTACGGTTCACGAGAATTTTTACAACCATAGAGACGACCGATCTAGTGATGGCTATTAGGGGCAGATAATAAAGATTTAAACTATTTTGAACTAACTAAGGGGAAGTAACACGATTAAGAACTTGCTGCCGTCTTTAAAATATGGTCACGGATGGCTGCTTTCACGGGCAGGTAAACGTCTTTCAATTACGCGAACCACTGATTGTGTTTTAACTTATTCCCACGTGTTCTTTAACTTGCTTTCGCGTCTTTCCAATCAAATCTTGCGATCGAAATTTCGGGCACTTACCAGTTAGCTAGCGCGCTGAAATTTTCAGGGAAGCTTTGTTTCCGATGACAATAGAATATTCAATTGTTATTATTACTAAATTGATCCGTGGAAACATTTTATTGATCATTTTTAGACCGCTATATAATTGTAAAAATTAGATTGCTGCTAACCCACTCGACACGGGTTTAAGGTACGGGTTCAAGGCGATGAAAAACGTGGGGCGCCGTGATTTTCTTACAGTTTCTAATACTGTTGACTCTCTACAAGCTCCCTAATAAAAGTCAATAGTATTATCTAATCAATAGTAATATACCTTTTACTTCGGCGCACCACGTTTTTCATCGCTTATAGTAGAGTGATCGCTTGCATTATTGTGATGTATAGCATTTATTTTCTACTTTTTAGTTCAATCAGAAAACGTGTTTTTTTTTTAACTTTTTTAATGATAATTATTTTAAGTTAAATATTTTTACTCGCCCTGAGACAATGATCTTCTCTATCGAAGCGTGTGGTCAACTCAAGCAAGCAACCAACCAGTCGTGACTAACAGTTGACTGTCATCATTTAGTTGATCGAGCCAATCTCTAGTACTTAATCTTATCTCCCTTTTTTTTTGTTTCTTAGATTAAAAAGTTAGATATTCTTGCATTGTTGACAGAGACGAATGTATCTCAAAATGTCTAACGAAATAGCCGCATTAGAATTGTTTTTTTTAAAAAAAAGAGTTACAAGATTTACCACAAACCAACAACTAAACATTTTAAACTAGATAAAAACTGATAACAATAAAAAGTGTGTGCCCCTAATACATTTTAAGTAAAGTATCGCTTCATATAGGGCTGGTAAGTAGGTTACCAACAAGTTCTATGGCTCATGCAGGTTTTATTGAGCCGTAGAACTGATTGGTGACCTACTTACCAGCCCTATTGCAATACAAATCACCAGATCTTGAAAGAGTATTTTACTGAAGTTGCTGTTGACATCTGTATACATTTTCTCCCCTATGTTTAGATGGACCTGGACGAATTCAACATCTACATCATCAACCACTGGATGCTGATCCCAGTGGTGCCGATCATCCTCCTCTTGTCGTTTCTGGAGAGAAGAAAAAGTTTCCGCCGTGACGTGTGCGATGGCCGGCCTGGCCTCATTATACCTTTCTCTTTCCTGGATGGATTTGATAACCGGACGGCCTACGCCATGGCTTTCGGTGCCATCACAAACGACTTAGTGTCCATGGTCATCAAGCAGAGAACACAGGGATTTGACCTTCCGCTGTGGGGACAAGCGCTGTACGTGTATCTTGAGGCGTTCATTGGCTGCCTCAACTGTTTTCCCCTCTTCGCTTGTCTCACTACTAAATATCGGGCACTGGGAGCCATCATTTGTATTCTGTACTCCGCTGTTTGGCTGTCTCTCAACGTTGTCCAAACGGTCAAACAGGTTAAAGACATCGACAATGCAACTTTCTGGTTTGGCGCTCCACCCAACACAGTCACGTCTAATCTGTCTAGGATCAGCGCAGTGCTACAAGGTCTGCCTAGTGCGTGTTGCTACATTGTTCTTATCGGATATTGTTGCTACATTCTACGCAGATGTTTTCGTACGAAAATATTTCTAAACATACATCGCACTCTGACAGTAAAACCTCACCAAGAGGAACATGTACGTTGGGTGTTTAGGAAAAATAAAAACATTATCACAACGTTTAGTGGACAGAAGACATTTACAGAACAAATGAGAGAAGACCGGACACTCAAGTTCTTTAAAAACTACAGCTTCTTTAAATACCCGACTCGGATTTTTGCTTTAGTTTTCGTCCAGATAAATATCGTTTACTGGATGGGTATGCTGTTTATTTCCCTAACAATTCAAGCTGCATATGCCCTTCGTGTCATCTTGCAGGATCGAGAACAAGTTACACTTGTCTGTCTCTGTGGTGCCTTATCTTGGCTCGTATCTGTATCTAACTCTTTGGTGCACATCTTCTTCGCCACGAGAAACTACCGCTACCACATGCTGAAAATTTACCAAGGGGACAAGTCGTTTTTACCAAAGGTCAGGGGGTCAACGCAGTACACTCTGACTAGCAGCATGATCTACCCGGGGTACCAAGCAGCCTTCATGATGTGGGGGCTCATTTTGAGCTTCGGATTTGTTCTCCTGATCACGCTAGCAGTCGTGGAGCCTGTCTATCTCCTAGCCCAGTATGACATGCTAGGGCAGGCCGCTGAACAACTAGGGGAACTTCTGAGTTTCCCAGCCACCATGCTAGCCCTGTTCTACCTACAGGTCTATATAAGCAAACGACTTCTCCTTCAGGACAAGGTCAAGGACTCTGATACCCAACGTCCGCTTAACGTTAACAACCGGAAGTGCTACGAATTGGTGAACTACTATTCTTTTTTTACAAACATTACTGTGGGGTTGTTAACGTGTTTGATGCGCGTCGCGCTGACTGCTATTTTTGGAATATTTTCCGTCGATCGGTTGGACAAGACTGTGTTTACTCGAGACATGGAAGGTTTCGACAAAGGCTACAGGGCCTACGTAGCCATGCTCGTGGTGGATAATGCTCACAACAATCCCAGCATGTGTGTTTTCGCGCATCTGCTATGGTCAAACACCTTGTCTGATCGCATAAGGAACAAGCGCTCTGATATATCCTGTAATAGCTCCACGCTCCTACCTTCATCAGAAACGGGCCCAAACTTTCTCGCCTACGGCACAACAGCTTCACTTATCAAAGATCTAGCAGGAAATCAGTGGACGCTTTATGGATTTAAGGAGTTTTTGGTGTCTAAAAAATCAAGAATCCGTTGGTTTTTGGCTTTTACACTTATCAAAAACCCACAGCTTTACAGACTTCGTAAAAAAAATATCTGCACCTTGAAACGGTAGACAACAGTATGGTGATAGATCTGATAATTGAAAATCTACCACTGAAGAAAGACTGAAAGGAAACGATTCCTCTTTATTTTTATTCTCACAATTATGTTTACCTGCAATTTTCCCGATCATTATAAATTATATTGTATAAATATGGTTAAAACAATGGAAAATAAAGATGTAAATATGAATCGTTCTAAGTGTTTTGAAAAAAAAAAACCATTTATTTAGATTTGTAAGGTCGGTAATTTAAAAAAAAAAGTTTTCAAAATATTTCTCATTAGGCTCGTAGATATGCTGGTTATATTACATATTACTAGTCATTAAGCATATCTAAATGTGATTGTTCACAGCGGCTCAATATTTCTAGAAAATACCGTAAGAAACGCCTTATTTGGCGGAATGCACATTTTTTGAGGATATTTTCTATTACCCTTCATTCTGCACACACTTACGGTTCATTACTTTCTTGTATACGGATTATATAGTGAAAGTGTTGTGAACAATTTTTCGACGTTTTACACCTTCCTGTGTCCGAAAAACCAGGCTTTACAATCATGTGTGTACGTATATTGTGTTTGTTACTCACACCCATTAGACCGGGTACTTGCGGGTAAGTTGCAGGGAAATTGTTCTTTTCAAAGTTTGCTGTTCACTTTCTCCTTACCGGGAAAATTAGAGTCATCTTAATAGTCGAGTATAAAGTGACCGAAAAACTGACAAAAGGTGACGACGGCCTTATAAAAACTATACATTTTTTTAAAGTGCTTGAATTAGATCGAAGTTGTTATTTAGCAAGGAGATAGAGCTGAAATCGTAGGCATCTGCCAAAATACCAGATTCTCAGAAATGACAAATTAAAATGGGTTAATAATTGAACGTTTTTACTCCTCAATTTTAAATATTAAAGGAACGTAAAAGCGTCAGGAATTTAAACGGAACCGCCTGTTTCAGCTTAGTAAACGACTATAGTACCTCAACTTATTCATAGTTATTTGCACTCACTTAAACGAACGTAGTCACCATAGCGAATAGGGGAAGGCCCGGGCGCCAAATAGCACCCTGTCGGGGCGCCGGAGGACGCCCGGATTTGATTCACTTAAACTTTAAGAATATAGTAACTTTTCTTATCCATAGTCTATCGCACTGTTCAAAACAGAATAAGGCACCATAGCGCCCAGGGCGACAAATCGAACCCTGCTGGGGCGCCGGCGGATACGCCTGTTTTAATTTAGTGAACAAACGGAAAGAAGTAAACATAGAAGACATTTAGGTGCTGGCTTCTTAACTGTTATTGACTTTTAAAAAAATATTTAGTAAACAGTATTTAAAATACCTACAACATTGCACTTGATCAATCCCCCGCTAATTATGTAATTATTTTTTTCCCAACACCAAAACGAAGTAATAAAAAGTAAATATTTTCTCGAGATGTAGTTTTTTTTTAAGGGAAGTAATTGTGTTATCCTAATTTATCAAGGGAAGTAATAATCGCTAAAGGATTAAATGTAAATCATTTTCAGACACAATTAGAATTTTTGTGAAAGGTGATACATTTTTAAAAATTGTGTTTGATGGACATGCCGACAATTATCACTATCTATAAGTATAAGTTTGAAACATGAAAATTGTTTTACAACACCTCTAAGCAACACGTCATCGCGTGTGCACAGGCCGTGCGAGTGGCCGTGATGAGATGACACAGATGTATTGGGGAGGAGGGGAGGGTATGGGGGCTGTTAGATAAACGACAACATCTGGTCTTTGGTGAAACAACTTGCGTTTTGTTAATCAAGCTGTAGACGTAATGCGTGACGTCACGCCGCGTTGTGGAGATAAAAATAAACACAAAACAAATACCCGATAGCACAGGTTTGTGTAACCCGGATTTCAATTGTTCTCAAACAATAATTTCGTTATCCCTCATGCCCCTCCCTCCCCACACAGGGCCTATCTAATATCTCCCCGCTTGACCGTCACCACTGTAATCTTTTAATCACGTGATTCATGCTAGTTTGTTAAGCAAGGTTTCAGATAACGAAATCAAACAAAACCACGCAGGTCGCCGATAAAAAAAAAAATCTCAAACCCGATTCATGTAGTTTCAGTTCCTACACAGGACTAAAGCTGTGTGTTATTGCCAGCCCTGAACGCTTCCATATTTAAGTGTTAGAAATGGGAACTTTAGACCGGTGTTCACAGTGTGTATCGCGACAAACTGTAGGACAAGTTCTGGTATACGGCAAGATAAGCCTAAAGGATTGACATCTATTTTTAGAATATTACTTTTTCCAGAACAATGTGTGTAAGTTAAATCAGGACATTACGGAGTGTCGCTGGCCTACTTTGAGGTTAGTATAAACAATCTATTTCACTCATTAGATATTTCATACACGACGATAATGTCTAGGGCACAACAATGCATGTGTACATTTATCAGGAAAATTAAAGGCTTTTATAATGATGCTCTAATTTTTTTTAAGTTGACTAAGTGATAGTTTCAAGTTAATTAATAGTGAAACAACGATGTTATATATTGTTAGGTTGTTACATTCATAACCTATGTGTTTGGATGAAAATAAATAAAAAAAAAAAACCATAACATTTCAAGGACTACCTAGTGTGGCTAACGAACCGAAACGACACACATACACAAGCGTGACACGGTACAGTTTTAGGTTAGGTTGACACAGTGGATATGGATACACATGCAGTGTTTGTGTTTCTTGACCATTCAAAAGTTAGAAGAATATATAACAGATTTTGTCAGCATCAAACTAGAACACTAGAAGGACGCTCCGGTACAGTTTGAGAAGTTTTGTTACTTAATAAAGGTAGCCTAAATGATTCTATGTACTTTGACATTTTCAAAGGGCAAGGCGTATATATGTGGGGGATGACAATGGCGATGACACTTGAATTTGAATTTCGGGTGGGGGGGGGGGGGCGGACAATGATTAAGTATGAATTTTCTATATAATTTTAACATTTTTCTATTTTGAGGAGGAGGGGCTGAGAGATGTCTGGTGGGAAAAAAACGAGCCAGCGAAAGAGTCAACCATTTTAAACACGAATAATTAAGACCCAGAGAGGTGACACTAATCGTTTTTTGAAATGTTTGCATGTTTACTGCTACCACATCATAACAGTGGCTGAATGAAAGTCACTCTTAATCTTTGTTAGATGCCTAACTTGAAAATAACGTTTAATACGAATACTGAAAATTAAACTGAGATTTGTATGTCTCCCTCCTGATCTTTACCCCGAAACAACAATGATGATGTTAAATATATTTTTTTTCTGGAAACAAAACAGCAGCATTTATTTGCTTGTGTCCTCTACACGATCACACAATAAAGGACACTATACTATAACTACACTATACATCGCACCTTCCATCTAGTTCTAACTTTAGGTATGGTAAGGGGCCATCCATTTATGACGTAAACACGCGGGGGGGGGGGGGGGTCCGAAAAAAAAACAGACTTTTGTGGACGCATATGGACTTGTATAAGGAAAAAAAGTGGATTTTTTTTTTTTGGGGGGGGGGGGGGGGTCCAAAATCCAAAAAAAAATGTGGACGTCATAAATGGATGACCCCTAAGAAGTGCATACGGAAAAGTTGTGGAGTAAAAATTGGTAATTACAAGATGTAGCCTGATTAATTGAAAAAATTAATTTGATTTTTAAATTTTTTAGATGGACCTGGACGAATTCAACATCTACATCATCAACCACTGGATGCTGATCCCAGTGGTGCCGATCATCCTCCTCTTGTCGTTTCTGGAGAGAAGAAAAAGTTTCCGCCGTGACGTGTGCGATGGCCGGCCTGGCCTCATTATACCTTTCTCTTTCCTGGATGGATTTGATAACCGGACGGCCTACGCCATGGCTTTCGGCACCATCACCAGCACGCTAGTGTCTCTGGTCACCTCCCAGAAGACGCTGGGGTTTGACCTTCCGCTGTGGGGTCAAGCGCTGTACGTGTATCTTCAGGCGTTCATGGGCTGCCTCACCTGTTTTCCCCTATTCGCTTGTCTCACTACTAAGTATCGGGCCCTGGGAGCCATAATTTGTATTCTGTACTCCGCTGTTTGGCTGTCTCTCAACGTTGTACAAACGGTCAAACAGGTTCAAGACATCGACAATGCAACTTTCTGGTTTGGTGCTCCGCCCAACACAATAACGACCAATCTGTCTAAGGCTAACGCTGTGCTACAAGGTCTGCCTAGTATATGCTGCTACCTTGTTCTTATTGGATACTGTTGCTACATTCTACAGAGATGTTTTCGTACGAAACTTTTCCTAAACAAACACCTCACTGTGACAGTCAAACCGCACCAAGAGGAACATGTACGTTGGGTGTTTAGGAAAAACAAAATCAAGACCACTACGTTTAGTGGACAGAAGACATTTACAGAACAAATGAGAGAAGATCGGAAGCTCAAGTTATTTAAAAACTACAACTTCTTTAAGTACCCGACTCGGATTTTCGCATTAGTTTTCGTCCAGTTGAATATCGTGTACTGGATGGGTATGCTACTTATTTCCGGAACTATTCAAGCCTTGTACGCCTTTTTCCTGATGGTGATGAAGAGGACAGAAATTACTAGACAGGATCGAGAACAAGTCGCGCTAGTCTGCATCTGTGGCGCTGTTGCTTTGCTCGTCTCTATATGTAACTCTTTGGTGCACATCTTCCTCGCCACGAGAAACTACCGCTACCACATGCTGAAAATTTACCAAGGGGACAAGTCGTTTTTACCAAAGGTCAGGGGGTCAACGCAGTACATTCTGACTAGCAGCATGATCTACCCAGGTTACCAAGCAGCTTTCATGATGTGGGGACTGGTTTTGAGCTTCGGGTTTGTTCTCCTGATCACGCTTGCAGTCGTGGAGCCTGTCTATCTCTTAGCCCAGTATGACATGCTAGGGCAGGCCGCTGAGCAACTGGGGGAACTTCTGAGTTTCCCAGCCACCATGCTGGTCCTGTTCTACCTGCAGGTCTACATCTGTAAACGACTTCTCCTTCAGGATAAGATCAAAGACTCTGATACCCAACGTCCGCTTAACGTTAACAACCGGAAGTGCTACGAGTTGGTGAACTACTATTCCTTGTTTACAAATATGGCTGTGGGGCTGTTTACATGCCTGCTGCGCATCGCGTTAAGTGCGGTATTTGGAATATTCTCAGTCGATCGCCTGGACAAGAGTGTGTTCACTCGAGACAAGGAGAGGTTTGACAACGGCTACAGGGCCTACGTAGCCATGCTGATGGTGGACAATGCCCACAACAATCCCAGCATGCGTGTTTTTGCGCATCTACTTTGGTCAAAGACCTTGTCAGTTCGCTTCAAAAACAAGCACTCTGAAACATCCAGCACTGACTCAACGCTCTTATCGTCACCGGAAGCAGGCCCAAATTTTCCCTCCTACGGCACAACAACTTCGCTCATCGAAGAGCCCGCAGAAAATCAGTGGACGCTTTATGAAGTCAGGGAATTTGTGGTGTCTAAAAAATCAAGAACCCGTTGGTTTTTGGCTTTTACACTTATCAACAATCCACAGCTTTGCAGACTTCGTAAAAAATATCTGCACCCCGAGTCAGAAGACAGTAGTCTGATAGATCTGACAGTTGAAAATCCACAACAAACTGAAGATTCCTCTTTTTCCTGATACCTGAATATTACCTAACATTGGTCCATCATCTAATCTCATAACTATACTACATTATAGACATTTTTGTTTTTAAAGTGAAGATAGCAAGAATTAACCACTATACATTTGTATATCTTATGTGTAAAATAAAAATAGTTAACATGAATCATGAAGTTACTCAATTTTTTCAAGGTTTATTAACCACTATACATTTGTATATCTTATGTGTAAAATAAAATTAGTTAACATGAAGGTACTCAATTTTTTCAAGGTTTATTAACCTTAAGAACCTTGTGGTTTGGTCTCATAGTAAATGGGCAACGACACACTTCTAATATAATATATTAATCTGTTTAATATTACATCATAGTGGTCATCCATAAATGACGTCACGCTTTTTTGGACGATTTTTACCTTCCCCTCCCCTCCGTCACACAACCCCCCCCCCCCTCTCAAAATTGCAGTTAATTCTTTTTTAAATCGATATTTTTCCAAAATCTTGTACAAATATTCCTATTACAATTTATTAAAACAGTTTTCTAAAACGCGAAATAACGTCTAAAATTCGATTTCTAACATTGCTTTTATAACGCAAAAGTGTGACATGTGCACCATCTGACCCCCCCCCCCCCCTCCTCATCACACCGTCACAAAATTTCGGACCCCCCCCCTACAAGTGTGACGTCATTTATGGACGACACCATAGGTAAGCCTACATGTTAGTGCAGGTTACATCATTCCTTACAAATACTGGTACATTTTTAAAAAAAGGGAGCAGAGAAACATTTTAGAAGCATATCACTAATTTGATGTGTAGATACAATAGTAATATCTTGTATATAATTAAGGCAACAAGTTAGAACTTTTGTAAAACAGTTTCACACTTAAAACATCACTTACTACTTTTTTTCCCACAAAACTTACATGATTCAGTCATAAATCTAATCTCATAAACATAAAACTAACTTTACACAAAGTACATGTTTATACATATCAGTTACTAACAATCACAATGGGACCAATAACTTCAAGTGTAAGATTTCCAATTTTCTCCATTTAGATCATAGATACTAAAACAATGGTTATCTGCAACTTAGTTAATGATGAAAATGTTTAATAGTCACAACTCAGATCCACCTGATTAATTAATGTTTTACCCTCCTCGTATAAAACAATATTTTTAATGAATGTTTTAGATACCTGAAAAAGAAAACACACATTTTTACCTACAGGTGAACTAAGGTTCTACTTTTTGTTTAACAGGTAAACATGTTTTTTTAATCATTTACTCAAAATGTTAATTTATAGGATATTCTAAACCAAGTTAAAAACTACATAATTATAATGTAGAAACTCCATCAAAAGCAGAAAAGCCAGGCAAAAGGTGGATAAGTTGTGACTTACATATTTGTTAAGCTACACCTATTGACAATGCTGTTATAATAGTTACATGTTCATAATTTCAAAATTTTGAATGTCTAAAAAATTATTTTATGTTCTTAAAATGGTTATAAAATACTACGATATTATATATATATATCTAAATATATATCTATATATCTATATATATAGTGAATGTGTGTGAGTGAGTATAAAATCTCGACCCTCCCTCCCTTTATAAATACCTGCCTTTTCCACTGCCATGCAGATGCTGTAGCATTTTGCGTATATTATGTAATGGATCATTAGCACCCCTGATATTGTGTGTAGAACCACTGACGTGGCATGTACCTGGACCCTCAACCTACTGACATGTGGCTTGCAGTACAACTAACACGTTTATGGCTCACCTTATTAGGATCAGTACAGCCACTGATGTGTGGTGTTATCACAACACCTGGCAACTTCCATAACGGACTAGAGGGAGGTAGAGGCTCCGTGTTGAATACGTCCAGAATAGCACCGCCCAACCATCCTTCCCTAAGGAAATATCCAGTCAACATTTTAGATCTTAAGAATTATACTAAGGAAATTTAAATAGCCCACATAGCAATAAAATTTAAACTTGGTGAGACTAAACAAGGGGAGTATTATGCATATATTATTAAATCTTATGATTATAAAGATTATTTCTGATATATAGATCTATATCAATAATTCTAACCGTAAAAATATTAGTAAAGATAATTGCTTGTTAAGACATCAAAACAACTATCAGTTATGCTAGATTCTGGAAATCAATTAGTTTTAGGTGATATATTTGATTTTCCTAATAAAATGTCATCAGTTGTTTTGTTAACAAAAATTTATATTTAAAAAAGCTTAAACTTACTCTAATGCACATATCAAGCTCTCATCATCAATGATATTACCACGACCTATGTTAATGAAAACTGTTTTCTGAGCAAGGGAAATAAAAAGAAATAAATATATTTTATAAAAATTGTAAATGTTGGACTATTTATATAAAATCAATTTTTATCCAGAAAATGACCTCCACAGAAAATCATCAGTATTAACAAAATATTTAAACTTGTATTAGTTCTCACCTTCTTTTCACAAGCTTTAAGTACATCCCCACTTAACAACCCTCTTGTCTGGGGAGCACTGGGTAAAATGTTCACAAAATAATCCACATTTTCCAGCATTTCATTAATACGGGAAAGAGGTCTGATAAAACAATTTTTTAAAACATTAAACAAGTGCTAAATTTAAAAAAATCAATAATAAATTATATGTAAATAAATTATATGTAAAGTACAATAAATACAAAAAATGATGATACAAATTACAATAAATGAAAAAATTAAAATTTGAAAAGATCAATTGAGATATAAGGGTGAACACAAAAACTCACCTGAACGCATGCACATTTTCATTAACTGCTCCTCCAGAGTTATATCTTTCATCTCTCACAGTTGCCCAGACAGTCATGCCCAAAGATTTACACATGTGCGCAACTAAGAATGATTGTTATGTATTGTTTATTTTAAATTTTGCACCATAATTTGGAATGTCAAAACTGTGTGTATAAAGATAAATAGTTATATGACAAGCGTTATTGTGCAAAAAGCTACTTATTGTGTTTTGATGTTCTTTAAACATGACTTACAATCTACAGGGGTGAGAAAACTAAAACCTGCTCTAATATACACAACACTACAATATTTCATAACTCCATTAAATACAGCAAAATCTTTATTTTTCCTCTACAATTCCAAAATCCTTCTGCTAACTGTAATACGGAAAGCCATACATATCTTTCATGTTCCAAACAGTTTACTAAGTGATGGTAACAAATAAATGGGTACACAGTTTTCTGGTACAAAATTAAATGGTGTCACACTGTATAAGGCTTACATATTGTTAACACCAGCAGTGACCTAATGACTTGTATAACAGATCTGCTTGCTAAGGTGTATAAGGTAACACTTATATAAGAATAGCACTTATAACTAGTACTTGATAAGAATAAAGTATGCGTTACCTTTACATCCAATGGTACCCAATCCTAGTATTCCTATAGATACGGCATCTAGATTTCGATAAATGCTAAGTTGAGAGCTGTAAAGTTAGTATTTTATAAAATTTAAGAGCACATGAATATTTATACTACCAGACTAGAAAAATATATAACAGAAAAATTTATGTTTTTATATACCCTTACCACATATCAAGTACCCTGCCATACAATTTCCATAGACCACCACCCCTCAGTTTATATAGTTTTAAGGACATTCCCCGGCCCCGACAAATTTTGGAAAATGAAAGCTAAAATGTGATTTCTATAATAAAACTAAGACTATGCAGTTTCCCTTTGGAAAATGGTGTGTCTGCTGCAATGTCTCTTCCCCACTCCCTGTTCACACACTAGCTTCTGACACTGACCGTCTTTAATTTTACACTCATTTTAATAAGATTAATTGCAGATCTCAATTAAAAAATATCTCTCTCTCCCTCTGTTATAACTTTTAATATTATATCAAAAATGTGTAATTACAAATCAAAAGAGGATTTCTCCTGTAGTTTTATCATAGAAGGAAAGCTTCTTTCTCTGGAAATAATTTGTCCGATCACATACTCTGCCATAGACTGGCCCAGTCCATCAGTATGTCTGCTGATCAAGACATCTGGCATTGTCTATAATGATTTTTTTTTAATTAAAAAAAACACATGAAAATTAAAAATAATGTATAATTATTTCACTGGGTAATAAGAACAGACCTTCATCGCTAAAAATTAAAAATACCACAACAAACATTAGATCTTTCTTTAAAATAGACAATTCAATTTAATATATCCTAGAATTATTCTGATGGAATTCAATTTTTGACAAATATTTTATCTGCATTAATCATTTTGACCATTAATAATGAAATTTAATGTTTGATATATTTTTATTAGGATTAATTAATTCAATATTTTTTATTTAATTATTTACTATATTTAGAATAAATAAATGCATAATAAAAATTTGATGTGATCTTTAAAGGTAATGCCAGGATAGTGTTTTTGTAAACTAACCTCATATTTTCTTATAGCTTGAATGATGGGCTCTAAACCTATGACAAAATTGATACATTGCAGTTACAAATGTACCCAAAATTGATCACTGACTCTCATATGCTGTTTCAGTCTATTTATATTGAAGTTTTTAAAACAGAAGTATAATTTTTATTTCTATTAATTCTTAATTGTTCACACTCCACATCACTACAGATATTTGCTTTAAAGCACCCCTACTAAGTCTAAAAGACAATTATATGCCCTTTATAACTATTATCATGTGTTGCTTGGTCTCAGCTTTGATAACTGAACACCAGCTCACCACTGATCTAGTTATTGGTGCTAATCAATATTGTTATCTCCCTTTCTTTTAATACTGAAAATGGTAATCTTGGAATTAAGTTCTGATCACATATTTAATATCTAATATAATTTTAAGTTATATGCATATATGGAAATTAATTTGTTAAAAGAGTTGACCATAAAACAACCCACTCACATAAGGACAATTTTTAACATCCCTTCAGGCCATGTAATGATAAAACCCATAGCATTACTTATAGACTAATAAAATGTATTTATCTTACAGTAGATATTAAATAGTGACAACACCTGCATATGTACATTGAGCCCATTTAAGCTTATTGTTAGCATGTGATAATATTTGTCCGATAATACTTGGATCAGCAAAGAGGAATTCTATTTCTGGAATCTGGTGAAGCTGTTCCTTAGAAATACTTGCATCTGGAAATTGTACAAAAAAAATTGTACATATTTTTTGTAAGGTCAATCAACCAGAACAGTATAAAAGTATAAATTTATGCAAGCACAATTATAAGCCCTACTGAACTTACTCATTATGCATTAATTTAAAAAACAAAAACTATTATTAGCATTTAGGCCTGGGGGTCATCCATATGTATACAGTGTTCCTTTCAGACTTTTTTCTCAAGGGGGGGGGGGGGCAGACAATACTAAAAGTATGTATAATATCTATCTATATGTAACGAGTCCCCGAGTCTATCCTGCCGACAACGCCAAATGTAACGAGTCTCTGGCTACCCTGCCGACAACGCCAAATGTGACCTTCCCGAGTCTAACCACTCATTCCACACAACATTGACCACAGCATAGATACTCGAAGATGCAGGTTCATTATTGATCCTTTTATTACATGAATCAAAGAATGCTTCACAATAATATAATGAATCAAGAGAGATGTTTCACAATAATAGTCTGAATCAACGGACCCCCAACAGTCCTCACTAGGCTTCATCTAACTGAATACACATGTCTAACGTCCTTCTTAACACAATACGGCTAACCCGTTCAATAACCAACTTGATACTCCACACTGACTCACTGATCGAAAGCGGGCGAGAGAGAGAGAGACTGCGAGCTCAGCCGTCGCCTTCCTTATTTATCCCCTTCATAATCGTACTCATATTCGGTCCTATCATACTCGTAATCGTAATCGTTGCATTACGCCGCTTCTGTTGTACAGTCCGATTTAATAAGCCATCTGCATCCTGTCACATCAAAGTTGACAGACCGTCTTTCGTATCGCTTCCCGAGATACTACGCCCTGGCTTTCTGATCGTTATCAGCCACCACCTGTGTTATTACATCAGTCGTGTCAAAGTTGACAGCGCTGTACCGCTTTCTTATGTCTGGTAACTTCCCCTAGTTACATATATATATAATTCTCTTCTGGGAGCCGTTAGAAAACAAGCTGCAAGCGAGCGCCTTGCAGTCCCCTCTCTTCCTCTCTATCGCTACCATCTCCCCCACCCCCCTCACATGGTCAGGTGAGTTGTAGTTCACGCTGTTTACGTTTTAAATAACACATCACATTTATTTACTTAGTCCTAATCAAATAATAATATATTGAAATAAAAATGTTAGTGGCTCTTTAAAAACTGGGAAACTTTGAAAATTGTAACTTTTGGCTCTTCCGTCTCAAAAGGTTGCCGACCCCTGGTATAGTAGATTCTAATTGGATACTAAGTGGGAGGAGGATGGTCTTAACTGTTGTTGATTTTTGGAAAGGAAATTATTCCACTTTTTCACAAAACAAACGCTAATACTGGTTTATAAAGTTGACTCCCACTTCTCAAGAAATAAGGAATTTCATTGAGCAATCAGTTTTCTATTTAAACTAGAGTACAATAATATATTATAATGTTCAAGAAACAAAATAATTGATAAACAACTATATATAATTTTATAATTTTTATGTTTCTGTATGGATAAATAAATAATATTGTGTTTTGTTTTATTAGTATTGAATTTCGCAGAAATTTAAACAACTTTTTGGAATATAGTTATAGGTTGTCTACCTTGCGCTTTGTTATTTCATTTTAAAGATGGGAATTCTTGCACTAAATGTATTCAGTTTTTGTATATCAAAGAACACTATGCTATTTTTAGATGTAGTTACAGTGAAAGCTGGTAGGTCATTGGGAATTGCATTTGAAAATAAATCAGAAAAGAATTTTAAGGCACTTGTTTTCTATATAAATTCTATTTTGTTTAAGGGTGCGGGTGGGAGAGTGGAAGGGGAGAAACTCTGCCTATATACATGACATCACACTTATAGGAGGGAGGGGGTTCTAAATGTGATGAGGGGGGAGGGGTTAATAAAGTGTGACTTGTATTTTACAAAAGTAATGTAAGAAACTGAATTTTTGCAGTTATTTCACATATTAGAAATCTGTTTATATAAATTGTTATGGATTGAAGATTTAGAAATTGATTAATAATTAATTCTAGATCTAGATCTACTCTTTTACTTTTAGATATAAACCAAGCTGGAGTCAATATTTTGGAAGACATGCCTACCTTTCTAAACTATCATGCTATGTTAAACTATGTTTAACTTTAAAACTTTAATAATACTTAGAAAAAAATTAAACTATTTTTAGGGGGGGGGGAGGGGCGGTTGTAGGCTGCAGTGAAGTCATTTTATAGGCGGCGTCTTGCTTTTTGTGACTGCCAGAAAGAACACTAGACTGAACAGACGTTAAACAATACAATAATAACATGCATTTACCGATAAGTTCAAGCTCTTCCAACGCCACTGTTTTTTGGTCGCACTTGCATGAAGACACATCCACAGAATTCTTTAATAATGTTGATGCTACATCAAGTAATTGACTGATTTTACTTGCAACATATACTTTTGAAACAGTTCTTGAAGCCATGGCATTCGCGACTTTAGTTTAGAAGTAATTTAATAAACATTTGTTAGATGTCTTACGTGTGAGAAATAAAGATAACATTTTTTTTTACCTAGGCCTAACCTTACACACACTTGTGTAGTAGACCTAGCAGACTATTCAACGTTGCCAGATAAAATCTTTATTTAAAGTAGGCCTAGTTAAACTAGTAGGACAGTCGAATTACTTAACTTGGCTGATAAAATTCATTAGGAAATATTACGGTAAGCCTTAAAAAAATTATACAACTGACATAATTACGAAATAACCTACATTACTTACCTTCCTGGTAAAATCACGGGTTTATTAATTAGATGAATTGATGGTAGCTCTTAGTCTAGTCTAGATGTCATTATTTACGATAAATAAAAATAAAATAAAAACCCACCTCAATTCGATCTCAAAAAGCCACAATTATTAACTAGATCTAATACTTATCACCTCGAAGGAGATGGATCGAGATAGATCTAAATAGATCTATAGCGTGGGTCGTTTTTAAACAAAATAAACCAATATTTCCTACATATTTCATTATCACCAAAAATCATAAATGAATGAAGAAAATTTCAACACGTTAATTAGAACTGGGTGGTTAGGTTCGATAAATGTGGCTGCCACTTTTGGTAAATAAGGTACATTAGGTTGTGGAACCTGATAAAACCGGGGGCGGAGTGGGGCCCCCGGCTCAAATTTGTTTTTTTTGGGGGGGGGGGGGGGGGGGGGGGGGGGGCTATATAATTAAAAAAACAATGGATCATCCATTTATGATGTCCACAAAAATTTGGAATTTTTGACCCCCCCCCCCCCCTTGTGGCCGCCCACAAACATTTAGTAGACCTCTCAAAACAAGCTGCAAAATCACTGATTCGTTAACATGTAATGTGTACATTGCTATATTATTAACTGATAATTTTGTATATATTATATCATTATATAACTTATACTCAACTTTAAGTTACACGTGTTTTCATTACAAACCACCTCCCCCCCCCCCCTGTGTGTTCGCGCTGACCGTTAGCCCTACACCTAAACGCGTTGTTATTTAAATATCTTATAAATTGTAACTTGCTTATTTTGCTTTTTTTTTTTTACATGAAAAAATGACTAGATCTACATTATTTTAGGCTTTGACACAAAATAAAGATTGCAGACCTACTATGATTTAGTTTTTGAAATGTTTAAAAATGAGCTTGAAATACCAAGAATTGTTTTAGAAAATTGCCGCGGTCAATGCCCCCCCCCCCCTCTTTCCTGCTTGTGGGAAAAAAATCTATTTTTTTTTAAAGGCGGGCGTTATACAGCTACATTCCTGATACATTTAGCACACGAACTGCCGATTTAATGTATAACCAACATTTTGTGCATTTTAAATTAAAAAAAAATATTTTCAAATGTAAGTATTTTGTTATTTAATTCAACACGTGGACGTACACATTGTGATTGACCCCCCCCCCCCCCCCCCCCAGTGCACACGCGTCCACAAAAGCCGATTTTGCCCCCGTGGACGTCATAAATGGATGACCCCTAAGTAAACAAATGCTAGTAAAAATACGCTAGTGTTCCAAGATAGGACAAAAAAAAAGTCAACTGATGGGGATTTAGCAAAAGTATTTATACACGCTTACCCTTTGTATTAGGCGGCTCTCTCATTATTATCTAAGCCAGGGGTCTCCAAACTTTTCAGCCCGAGGGCCGCATTAACTATCAAATATCGGTTCGGGGGCCAGTTTCTTCCAGGCATCTCTTTGGGGATGGCGGAGCTCCCCCCCTCACTCCCCACCGATGAACATATACCCCCCTCTCTTTTCTCTCCCCCCCCCCCCCCCAACGAAATATATATTATATAAAAATGTATCTAAATTTCAGCGACTCATCCATTGCAATTAAAAAATGGCGAAACATGCTTGCATATTTCGCTATTTGAGTCACAATGTTTTCACCAATGTGCAAAACGGCGGGCAATGGTATTTGCACCCAAAACTACATTTTCAACTTCTTTTGAATTTTCTGGGCAAAGTTCCACAGCCACCTCTAACACACATTTTTTTTCCATGGACAAAAAGATCTCCGCGGGCCGGATGAGAGGACCTCGCGGGCCGCATCCGGCCCGCGGGCCGTAGTTTGGAGACCCCTGATCTAAGCGACTGAAGCTTAAATATCCGCATAAACATGTGAAAAATAAACTAGTCTAAATCCATCAGGAATTGAAGAAAGGACTAGATCTATAATGCACATGCAATAAAAGAGATGGAAAATGACTTTTAGAAAAGCTCTTTTAAAGAATTTAAAAGAAAAAAAAAAGAATATCTGAAATCACCCTACGTGGAACAATCATGAGTATTTACAGGATATTTAAATACTAGCGCCATATCGCGTTGACTAACAAAAGCTCAATTAGTCTAGCAACGCTTGTCTACCATGTTTAAGTAGGAGTGTGTTTAAAATTGTTTTTTTATGAGTTGTCTTCGACTGACACACTAATTGTCTTGTACTATATAGGCCTACTCTGCAATTTGAGGTTGCCAAATAAAATCCTTAAGTAAAATTAAAATGATCTTTACTATTAATAATTCCTGGAGAATCACAGTTTTGTGTGTAACAAGTGCCAAATAAAAAGTGAGCTTTAAAAACTTTTCTATTCTTAAATTGATAAAATATAAGTATTGTTAGAAAGATTAAAGTTTTAAGATCTGTGGACACTGAAGATTAAGATAAATGTGTCTTTTGTTTTCCTAATAGAACACATCTAGTTTGGGGATGAATATCTAAGTTAAAAGAGGCAAGTAATTTTAATCACATACTAAATGTTTTTCTAAACTTTCACATTAAATTTACTTTAAATAAACTTGTTTGCAGTTGTCTGCTAAAATCAAATAAAACCACTGTATAAACTGAATAAATAACAAACATTTCAAATGTTTATATTTTTCACGGTTTGATGCACACTTTTATTCATGCTTGACATACAATTCAGCAAAGATAATTTAGTTACTAAAAATAACTAATCAACCATACATTCATCTTTCATTCATCTTTTCAGAACTTGCAATTTAGTTAATAATTAGTTATAAAATAGAAAAAATGTAACTAATTATTATACTAATGAAAAACTAGCACTGCTGACATAAGTTACAACAGAAAATATTTACAATTCTTGGACAAAACTTCCATTTACCCCAAGATCATAACACACCATCATTCAGACTTGAACAAGAAAACAGGCCAGATAAATATAAACTTGAGATATCTTTTCATTACAATGGTGAACTTGTATCAAAGTCCAATAGCACAAGGAGCATAGACATAAATAACAAATTCAACCACTATCCAGCATATAAAATGAATGATTGTGATACTTTGCTGGTAAAGAACTGGAAAGTGGTTAACAGTTGTAAAGGATGGTTAATGGTTATCACATAGCAATCGTGGTATCGATGGAAAGTTATATTGATGAGAATGTTTTAAAAAGACTCGTTAGCTCATGGATTTTATCAAAACTGCTAGTCTTCTACTGGAAGTTTATAAGCAGCTTATCATTAAATGCTGAATACTTCAACATGCACCATGAGATAAGGAGCAACCTTTTTGAAAGTGTAGAGATAATGATACAAATGTAGTTGTACAAACATCTATAAGTACTTTTGATAGAATACAAATAGGGTAGGAATGGTGTTTTTTTTAAATTTCCTTAAAAAAAAATTTTTTGTATAAAAATATCAGTTATTTAAAAATAGTTATAAAAAACAACTTGTAACATAATCTCTAAGAAACAAAAAGGTTATTCATAAGCTTGTACTTGAAAACGCTGAAAACCAGATCAGTTTTCCAAGTACTGTTTACCGCCCTCAGCCTCCACCACCTGCCATTGGTGGTGGTCCAGGAGCTGAAACATTAGAACATTGTTTTAATAGACAGCCTGTTAAAATATTTATAAGAAAAGATGCTTTCAACATATGTTATTTGAGGTCATCCACACATAACGTTAAGATTTTAAAAACTTTTTTACCATTACCATCAACACAAAATTCCAGACACCCTCCGTAAATTGTCCACCCCCTCAAAATGGCAATTAATCTTTTTTAAAACAGCCATTTCTTTCTAAAATATTTACTAAGCTTGGTCAACACTGAGCATATTGATCAATTTTAATGAAAATTTTTAAAAAATCTTTTAAATGCACAAAATTACTAAATATTCAGTTTTGAACATTATAAAATTGGAAATTATCATCAAATTTTCAGAACTTTCCCAATCACACACTGGCACATAGATCCAAAACACTATCCCTATGAGCAGCACATTATAGGAAAATTTTTGAACTTCTAAAACAGTGAACTTTTTTCCCTGCCCTTAGCCACTGTTCAAGAAACATTACTGTTTTATTTAGTTTTAAAAAAGAATGATTGAAGAAATAGTGAAATGAATTCTTACCATTTCCTCCTCTTCCTCCAAACCCTCCCATTCTTCTACTAGGTCCACCTCCTCCACCACCACTGATGAGAAAAAAAAACAGGAATTTTTAAAACAAGTGAACAAATATTTTAAAAGAAGTTGACTTTGCTCTGTTAAAATTGTCTGTGAAATAAATACATTTAAAATTAGATACAATTTTACTAAAATTCGGTAGCCAATAAGAGCTAATGATTATCAAAAACAGATTTCATTAGTTTTCAGGACCTTGACTTCAAGTAGACGTCAGAGATGGTTGGAAACTGAACATCTAGACTTTTAAGTTAACCAATGGTGCATGATCTACCACTAGCCTACCCAGTCCTATACAAACTATAACCAATCAAAGCAAGGAAATTTTTTTTTTACCCATTAGATTTAAAAAATACATTTCATACATCAAGTGTACAATCTGCTGAATTATTGATGGCAACTGACATATTGCAGACTTTAATAAAAACACCTACCCTGGGCGTCTGTAATCACTTGTATATTTGTCACTTCTGGCTGTTTTATTTGGCTGGAGGAAGAAAATGTTTTATTAATTTCAAAGGATATTGTATATTTATCATGTTACATGACAAGAGCAATCAAGCGGAGCTGGATTTACAGGAAAAACACAAGTAATGTATCTAATACTAAATCAGTTTCTTTAACTTGTAAAAAAATAAACAAATCCCTGCAAGTAACCAACTGATTTGTTTAGCTTTAAGAAGTTACAGTAGTCCCTTAAAATAAATGTTTAAATGAAATTCAGGGTCTTGCCAAGATTTTGAGCATTACAATTAGAGTCATAGGTAAGAAGTGTATCATGATAAAGGATGTGCATAAAATCACTAAACCTTAAAGGAACTAGAGATAAATTGGAAGATACCATTATAGACTGGATAATACTGAATACTTACAAAGATGGTAAAAAATACTTACATTTATCATTGTTTGAAAACTGGAAAAAAAATTAACAGAGGGGTAATGAGAAAATTCAATAAACTGCTAAACGTTTTGAAGAATGCTCAAAAAACTAATTTCCACCCTTAATTAACACTAATTACCAACATACATATCAAAGTATACACTATTCAAACTAAAGTGAATAATTTTAACTTAATGTAAACAGTATTCTGTCAAAAAGGTCATTTCAAAACAACTATAATAAAAAGGCTCTCAAAGAGTGCCAAATGCAAACTAAAGGTGCTTGCAATGAACAATTTTTATTTTACACTAAGATACAATGAACAGATTACTCACAACAGTATGATAAAGTTGATGAATCCCCATATCATATCTGGAATGATTGACAGGCGCCATGGAGACCTGGAATCAACCACTTGACCTAGAATCAGAAAGTTAAGTCTGTGAGTAGAGCTATAAATAGGTGGTATAACTACAAACAATTGACAACTTTCTAAAATCAGAATTTAAAAATAAGAGCAAGATATCTAATTTCAAACCTAGGCCACTTGTTTAAATCATTGTAAAGCTGTATAAATATATCCAATATAATTGTGTACATCATAACATTTAAATATATTTTTAAGCCTTTCTGAGTATTAACAAAGTCAAGCAACTATAGGGATAAATTATGAAAAAGCATTTCAAATTAACTTATAAAAAAAACCCACTTGTTTTATCTAGAATAACTTTGAAGATTAAATAAAACTAATGTTTACAAAAAAGAGCTTTATAAAGGGAGGTAGCCTTGTTATTGCTTTTTTTTAAATCTAAAAAAAAAATCTATTTAAAAATTAATAGAAACAAGTCTATACATTTTTACTAGCTCTAGCCATTTAAAATAAGCTAATGGAGTTTAAAGTAAATACAATGTGTTAAAAAAACAAATGTCAGACGTTGACAAAAACAAATACTAACGGTCAGTTAAAATACTGAACAAAGTATTAATATGTTACCACAAGTTAAATTGTTTTAACACAACAGTCCTTTTTTTTTTATAATAAAAGAAGTAATTTCTCGACCACAAAAAATATTAGATCTAGTAGTAAACAACAATACCATGTTTTCTCGGCCTAACGGCACGGTGTTTTGGGCAATTTCTATAACTGTTGTAATAATAGTTATAGTCTGAATGGTTTGGCATTTTCCAGCAACAGTAAGTTGTTTCAAGTTATTTTAACAGTGATATTTTATTTTTTCCCCACATTGTTATTAAGGCTGAAGTATCATCAAAGTATGTTGTGAACACTTTTCAACTCAGTACAATATTTTCATAACAGTGAATGGTTCTTACAAACATTATACTGTGACCATAGATATAAAAATGTGAAATTTTGGCATGAAATAAATATTGCTGAAACAATAGAAGTCAAAGACATTCAATTCCATTTTAATGGGTTTTAATGACTTAATTATTAGTTAAGATTCTATTTGAATTGTTTTAGGTAATTTTTTATTTAAGTTTCTATAATTGCTTACAGCATATAGAATCAGTACAAGAAATTAACAGTTATATTTTTGTTGTGGTACATCTCAACACCTAACTTGAGAAACTTTACAAGAGCCTTTTATACTAATCAAATAGCTATACCCAAATTGGTGTAGAGAGTACATATATATATATATATATATATATATATATATATATATATATATATATATATATATATATATATATATATATATATAAAAATTATAAATTATATATAAATTAAATTCTGAATGAATATATGTATCTTATTATGTTGTGTAATTATAGATAGGATACTAAACAAAACACGCAAGACCTTGTGGTCGGACACTAGAGTGCACAACTAACCTGCGAGTCTGAGTTTGGATCCCTGCTCAAATACTTAGAACAGGACATACCTGTGTCCACCAAGCTCTGATGGGCATATGATTCGCATAGCGAGGGCACAATACTGACCACACTAAAAACTATCCCTTCAAAAGCAAGGTCACAGAAACAAGTGACCTCTATCAAACCCTCTGGCAGATAAGGCTCGATCCCTCCCAACACTAAAAATTAAGAACGAAGAAGAAGAAGAAGTATCTAGTTTAGAGTGTACTATACTTTTTACTTAGGCCTATGTCTTATAAGAGTCTAGCTAGTCACTAGCTATAGGCCTATATAGTATTCATATTAGGTTGCACTTCACTAGGGTAGGGCACTCTAGTCTGGGGCAGTTCCTAGTCATTAGTCTGATAGTACTTTTTTATATTAGCCTAATTAAATATTGATAATGATAAGGGCAATTTTTAATTTAAGTCACAACATACAACATGGTATTAACCTCATTGCAACAAGCCACCACATTGTTCTGCCAGGGATTCAAAGGGTTGATCCTAATTTGATTCCATGTCAACTACTAGTCAAACTCGGCTGCTTCCATTAATTTTTTGTTAGTAATTAATTACTATAAATTAGGCAAGTTGGAATAGGTTATCCAAACTGCAGAAAACCTGTTTTTTTTTGGGCATTCTTCACCATTTTCAAGTGTTTTCAATTACAAATTACTACCTAAAAATTAACATATACAAATAAAAATGGTATTGTTTCAAACAAAGTTTAATTCAAAGCCTTACAATAATATGTTCTTTTTTTATATCGATATAAGTTAAAAAATAGAAAAATATAGGCCCTTAAGTAAAAATAGTATTCTTGCGGTCAGAAAAACATCACTATGCCCGGTTTTAGTGGCAGAAATTAGGGTAAATGACCATTACATCCTTTAAAACACCTTATCTTTAAAACTATAAATAACCATTATATCCTTTATAGTTTTAAAGATAAGGTGTTGTAAAGTTGGCACCACATTGGACAGAAAAAGGTAAAAAAGATGTCTGACTTCAAGATCACATAACTTTTTTCCTAATTGTCCTATAGATCAGTGGCGTAGCGAGGTCGGGGGTCACCCGGTGCGGCACTTAATGGTGTCACCCCCCCCCCCCCCCCCCAGAGGCATAGAGACCCTTCCCAGGGACAAACTTTCAAACTTTCGATTTGCACCCTCCCCCTCAAGTTTTCGATTTGCACCCCCCCTCCCTCAAACTTTCGATTTGCATCCCCCCCCCCCCGAGTTTTTCTCTATATATTTTGCTATTTTTTGCCTTGGTGTCACCCCCCTAAATGGTGTCACCCGGTGCGGTCCGCACCCCCCGCCGCCCCCGCTATAGATATAAATTTGGTATCCACATCCTTAGAATAATTAGTACTGCACATTAAAACATAAACCATTGCTGTATGATTGGTTTGAAAAATCAGTTTGGAGTACCTAGTTAGATCTAGATAATCTAGATTAGATTAGATCGAGTTTCTAGACTATTTTTGAGTTACCAGAATTAGGAACTCAAATTATTACAAAGATACAAAGTAGTAGAATAGAATATAGAGTATAGTATAGTCTGTAATCTCACGATATAGTGTCGGTTATTTTTATGGAATGGTAAAGCAATAAAAAAACAGTAAAACCATGGCGTAGTATGACGCCACACTGTTCCGGAAACCACTGGAAGTACTGTAAACCTTATTTTATATTGTGCCATATTATTTTTAATACATAATGTTTAAAAAATTGCATAGATAAAGTTGCATTTTAAATAGGCCAACTGTTTTGCTAATTGTTTTGTATTCCTAATTATTTTAAATATATGTGCTAATTAGTAATTATCACTGTTACTAATAAACATTATTCTAGTCCTTCTTACTACTTTAATAAATCTAATCCGAATAGGCTTATTATACTAGATAGAGGCCTAAACTAGATCTAAAATTGATTTGTTGCAAATCTTCTGCATGAATTACTATACTCGACATTATTATTTAGATCTAGATCTACTACTGTTGCTAGTTTTCTGTCAAGTAAACTTGTTAAACTTAAGTTAAAACATTAATTTAATTAAGTGTGGCCCGCAGGCTACAAGCGGCCCACCACATAATTTTTTGTAGCTCGCCAGACATTCAGAACCCCCCCCCCCTGAACTGAGATTTGCTTCATGTACACCGTACGCGACCGAAATGTAATGTTAGCTAAAGAATACAATAATTTTAAACGGTGTAGGCTTCCGCTAAAATCCGTTAGGACTAGGGGCCATCACACAGTGGCCCTCGTGCCAAAAGTAAACAATTGCCCACCCCTGGTTTACAGTAACGAATGTTCACGAAACTCATTCTAGTGACTAGAATCTAGACACTAGATTTAGATAGTAGTAGAATCTAGATTATTCTAGATCTAGATCTACTTGAGTACTTGTAGTTGTAGATCTAGATCTAGTAAAAAAAGTTATAGATCTAGATCTAGTTGTTTGTAGATTGTAGATGATAGATTTAATTAATTATTAATTAAATTTATAAATTAATTTTTATCTAGTAAATAAAAAAATATCTTTTTTTATCTAGAAATCTAGATCTAGAGTCTAGTCCAGTCTGGAATTATCTAGATCTAGACTTCTAGTAGATCTAGTATTAGTAGATCTACTAGATCTATCTTCTATCTAGATCTATCTAATCTAGAATCTAGATCTTCTTCTTCTAAATCTAATCTTACTAATCTAGACTTAGATCTAGGACTTAGATCTAGCTAGAAGATCTAAGTCAAACTAAGTGACTAAGTCTGACACTAGTGAAGTGACAGTAATGTCACAGTCACAGTAATCTAGAATTTCTAGATCTACGTAAATTTTTACCTGAAGCAGAAATGTAGGGCATTTCTTAGCCTCTCAGTTAATTTAACTGAACTCGTCTAGATCTCTTGATCTCTAGAATTATTAGGTCTACTAATCTAGTCTCTTATTATTATTTATTAATATTTATTATAGATTTAAGGGTTCTAATAATTCAACGACACATCATCATTTTAAGTTCGTCACTTTCGTTTTTAATTCACTCCGTATAGGAATCCAATACAAGCATTTCAAGGAGGCCTTCCAGGCTTAGGCTAGGTCTAGAGTGAATCAGCTAATTCGACTTTAGGACTAGTTCAAAATTTAAACCGTATAAGAATTTTTCTAGAAATAGTTTGGAGAAATGTTCATGCTTGTTTGATTTTAGCTGTTAAGGAAATAAACACATAAATTCGTGACGTTTTACGGTTTTATGGCTTCCGTATTTGAATTAGGCTATTGAAACTTTTTATTAGGCCTGGATCTAGGTAAATAATCAAATATTTATTAGACTAGAATAAATATATTATATTATATTACTTCACTCAGACGTCAGAAATTCTTCACTTAGATTTAAGACCTACTCATTTTTTTTTCCAGTGCCTGCTTCATTCACTGTTTTAGTCTGTTATACTATAGTTAAAAATTAGTTAGAGTTAGATTCTAGTGTTACTCGAACATCTAGCTAGAAGAATTATTACAGAATTATGATATGTCTGATATTGACTGATATGTCCTAGGTCTAGGACCTAGCTACACTAGATTCTACTTCTAGATCTAGATCTTGATCCAGAATGATAGATAGAATCTGAGGTAGAATCTAGATCTAGGAAAAGGGCTGACTACTGGCTGACTAGTGACTAGGCTATTTCAACTTCTTTAAACTTTAAATCTTTAGTCTTTATATTATAAGTCTTAAGTACTTAGGGCCTACTTAAATTTTAAGATCTAGAATCTACTTACTTAGTCTTAGTACTTACTTAGAGGCCATTTTTATGCCTGACTATAAAAATGAAACTTAAAACATTTTAAATTTAAAGCACCCAAGACTTCACTCAATCAGTCAATGTAGGAGGGGTGGTATAAAATAGTATGAAATGCTGAAGAAAAAATTCAAGGTTTTTACATAATTTCTCTGGTCACAAACCTATTTTAATAATTTTTTGCCTTAATACTATAAAATCAATTAGGCCTATTTAAAATTTTTAATTGATTTTGTATAACTTCAACAAGTAAAGCATATCATTGATCAACATGTGTTACTCTGCCTAAAATACTTCAGACAATGTTGATTCTGGTCTCAAACCTATTTTAATAATTTCCCTCAATAAATATAAAAATTTTAAATGCCTATTTTTGTAAAAAAATTTAAAAGTATTACATTTTGTTTTCTGATATAGTATCTAAGCTACAAGAGCCTAAACTATAAAGGTTTTTATTTTCTGAAAGATTCTGATTTTTGTCTTTATTTTCAGGTCCATAGTCAATAAAGATGTCAACACAACAGCTTCGGTTAAGAATTCAAACAAAGAGTGGGCATAAACTTTTGGAAGGTTTATTTTTAGCATCTACTGTTGGAAAATTAAAAGAAGTAATAGCTGACTGTACAAACATAACTAAAAATAAGATAAAAATTCGTCAAGGTTACCCTCCAAAAGTAATTGATATTAGTAATGAGACAGCAGAATTATCTTCATTACCTTTTCGTTCAGGAGACACTCTTATAGTTGAAGAAGATGAATCAATTAATGCATCAACAAACCCTGGGGTTAGTAACTCTCAACATGACGAACGTTTAGATACTTTATTACATCATCAGCTCGAAGAAGGAGCCTCTGGTATACTCACTCGAAAAGTAGTACCAGCTGATAACTCTTGTTTATTTACTAGTGTGCATCTTGTTATGAATGATGGTGCTTATGATTCAGCTGCATCCCCAATTTTACGTGAAGTTATTGCAGGCATTGTTTCCAAGGATCCTACCACATACTCTGAAGCAATGCTAGGTAAACCAAACAATGCTTACTGTAGATGGATAAGGGACAAGAATTCATGGGGTGGTGGGATAGAACTTTCTATACTCTCACAGTATTATAACACAGAAATAGCAGTTGTTGACACTCAGAGCGGTCGTGTTGATAGATTTGGTGAAGATAAAAACTATGAAGAGAGGGTTTTTTTAATCTATGATGGAATTCACTATGATTCATTAATATATGAATCTATAGATCAGACTGGGCCAGTCAGGACAAAGTTTTCAATACACAATGCTGTGATCTTAGCCCAAGCTCTTGAATTAGCGTCAGAAGCAAAGTCAATTCGTCAGTTCACAGATGTAGAAGGGTTTTCACTTAGATGTTCCACTTGTCAGGCACCACTTCGTGGTCAAAGAGAAGCTACTGAACATGCAAAAGCTACAGGGCATGTTGATTTCGGAGAATATTAATTTAAAAAAAAAATCTTAGTGTTGTATTATTTAATGTGTATGTACTATTGATGAAAATATCTCAGATGCAGAACTGTTTTTTAAAACAGGTCTCTAGTAAATATATATAAATATATATAATCAAAACAAAACTTGAAGATATTTTAAAATAGAAAATTTGTTAAAAATACAGCAGGGAATACACTTATTTTGTTCATTTTTAAAAATACAAGTCATGACAAAAATATTATTACATCAGAAAGTTGTTGGTTTATTTATTTTCATTTGTGGTTTGTTTTATTTTAATAATGTTGTAGTATATGTGTTTTTAGGGCTTTAAATAAAATAATGACAAATGTATTTATATTTAAGTGAAGAATATAAATGGTTTTTTAAGTTAACAATTCAAATTATGTAAAGCGTTTATAGTGTGGCTAAATATATTTTCACTTGCCTAATTAAATTTCATATTATTTATTTAATTATACTATATTATCAAGATCTGTTGTGTAGATCTAAATCCTACCCAGTCATAAACCAAAGTCCCTTCCACAGCAAAGCATAACAAACATATCACTTGGACTTAAAGTACAATGTAGTAAATTTTTTAAAACAAAATTACCCACATTACTGGTCGCTCTCATAAGCAAAAACCTGTTTAAATATTGCATTGTTATCCTTTGTAGCTCTGATCTAGAGACCTATCATTTTATAGACCCACTTATTTAGCACAAGTTAACAGTTGTAATGTTTTCCAAGTATACCAAGGTAAAATATTATTTATTGTTAATGCACATTTATTGCACTGGTAATGTTTAAAGCTGATTTTCATACAATTGCTGGTTTTTTAAACATTATTTATAAAGTGTTTGTATTGAAATAATTTATTAATATATTCCTTTCTTGATATTAAATGTGTTATTACTGTTTGTGCTATACATTTTATATTTTTAAAGGTATAAAATATTTTTTAAACTGTGGAAATTACCTTTAAAATGAATCCTGTTCTGCAGTTTTACATTCTGTTGCTTTTGTTTTAAAATGTACAATCAAAGTTATTGTCTAGGTTATTTTAGTAAATTTTCTTGTAATGTGTTAACATTAAAATTGTTTTATTTTTGTGGCATGTTAATACTAGTATAATAAAATAAATATACAACTAAAAATAGTTACTCTAATTTTCTGTATTATTTTTATGAATTTTACTTGCTATAAAAGTTCTGTTGTTAGTGTTCTTTGTTGTTTAAGGGGAAGTGAGGGGGGGTTGGAAGGACATGATCTTGGAGCTCTACTTCATTATAATCTGTCATATATACACAGATGTTGATGTATACACAAATATATATATATATATATATATATTAATACTAATAGTTTCGCTGTCTCTCTATCTATCTATCTATCTATCTATCTGTCTGACAAGAACGCTCTAGAGAAAAGACAAGCAATTTAAAAACATGCACAGTAATTCGAAAAACGAAGTATGACGTCGACACATTTAGCACAGAGTAGAAAATAATCTCAAACTGGATAGTGCACATAGTAATATAATGACGTCATTGATTATCGCGTAAACATTGAATAAAAAGGAAATGTTGTCTAATCTAAATGGTTTGCGTGAAAAGTTTCTTGCATACAATTCTTCGGGTAGGGGCGAAGCCCCACCCCCCGCGTAAGAATGTCTGAGCCCCCCCCCCCCCCTCCCCAACTCAAAAGAAATTTCCTCATCGATACTCTATAATAAAATTACCGCCTAATTAATGTGTCTAATCTAAAAAGTGGTTTTCTTGCAATGGGACGGTAGACATGTTTTTTTTTTGGGGGGGGGGGGGGGGTGGTGTGTGGGGGTGGGTTGGTTTCAGTGTGTGGAGGGGGTGGTGTGTGTGGGGGTGGGGGTGGTGGGGTGTGGGGGTGGGGGTGGTGTGTGGGGGGGGGTGGGTTGGTTTTAGTTTAGAGAAAAGAGACAGCACTATCAACCTAGCGCCCGGTGTATCCTTCCTCAACGGGCCATTTTTCTCGTATATATATATTTCATCTTAATTATGAAACGTTGGAAGTTGTATTCTTATTGGGTTCTATCAAAGTGTTCATTGATGTGTTTCAGTGTTTAACAATTACCACATCTTAAGTAGTGATGGCACACTGCCTTGAAGTGGTGGGATGGCTTGTGTGCCACAGGGACCCCAGAGCTATGCCGGCGGGAGCCTAGAGCTCCTGGCAGGTCTAACCAAGTCGGACAGATCTGCGCAGGTAGGGGCCAGACCAAACGTTGTGCCCTGGTCCTCCAGGTTGGGGGTTGTGCGATGAGCTAACTACTCGTCCACACAAAACAAAATATAGTTACAGAAACCGAAGCCAATACTGAAATTAATCCAGTCCTTGGAAGAACCAGGGCTCCACTTAACAGACCTTCATGAATAGATGCCTTAGATATTGAAACTGAGATGGCAGGACAAAGTGCCGAACATAGAACTATGGAGGAAAGCTAGGCAGGAGCCTATCGGTGTGCAAATAAGAAGGAGGAAGTGGCGCTGGGTGGGTCACACACTGCGAAAGGCTCACACAAATGTTACACGCCAAGCGCTTGAGTGGAACCCCCAGGGAAAAGTGGAAAAGAGGGCGCCCAAGACAGACCTGGAGGCGGAGTCTTCTCAAAGAACTGAAGCCAACAGGGATGTCTTGGGAGATGACAAAATTAATAGCCGGGGATAGGAAGAAATAGAAGGAAATGGTGGAGGCCCTATGCTCCATAAGAAGCAAAGAGGACTAAGTCAAGTAAGTCAAAGTCAAGTAGTGAAATCACAATTAGATAAAAGACAATAAAAATATTTAGGTTTGAATTAGGTATTTATTTATTTCTTATAAAGTTACATTACTACCGACATCTGCTTATAACAAGATAAGCTGTTTTAAGTCATCAAATGCGTTCTATAAAACAATGTTACAGTATCTAAGTCAAACAACAAGCACAGCAAAGTTATTTTCTAGGATGCACTTGATTTCATTGGAGTCATTGGATCATGGTCAACTGTCTGGTGCAACATGAGCCCTAATACTCCCATCCTGTTAGACATTGCCATTCTGATGTTTCGTTCTTGTTCAAAAAGGTCATCTAGTTTCATCCACTGTAAATTAAGAAAAGTTAAGTTAATCAAAACTAACAGCTGCATGGAGTTACATACAAAAGCAATACTAACAATTGATTTATTGGGCAAGTCAAATATCTTAAAACATAAAAATTCTGCTCATATATTTTGTTTCACATACAGATCATTTTTATACTTCAAACAAATGTGGTAAATTAATGCATGTGTAAGTAACAAATTCTAAAGATTAAATTTTAAACACACCTGTCTTAGTCTATGCATGTCTATTTCTGCTCTGCGCAGTTTTTCCCAGCAAAAGTGTTTTACACACTTCTTTTTAGGTGCTCTGCATAAATTTTCTCCTTCAGAAAACAAGTCTGTGGCAATAGGGCATCCACAAATTGCATCAGGGCTAACCTAATAATGCATACAATTTTAATTAGTAATGAAATTAGGTTAATAAACAGTGTGAGTAGTTACAAGAATATGTATTTAATCGATTGATTGAAGTTTCTAAAAATAATCATACTTTTGGTTCTTTGGTATGCTCTGGACAAAGCACTTTTAGCCGTTTACAATACATTTTCTGCTGAGGGTTATAAAAATCACAAAACATAGAGTTTCCTTCAATTCTAGTTTTGTAGAGTGACCAAAACGATGTTTGAGCTTCAAACTGAAACAAATGATTGAAAACATTATTAGATGCAACAGGGTGTGATCAAACATCAATATAATTACAACACTAATTTTAACTTTTTAGTCTTAACTATTGCTGTCATTTAAATTTTAATAAAAACCAACAAATACTTTCAGTATAAGTAATTTAAACTGCCTTGAGAAATAAATAGTATATTTTGCAAGGAAGAACATGTAAAAACATGCTCTACTGTATAGTTGTGCTAAATGATAGAGGTTTATTTAAGCTAAAGTGAAATAGCCTATGAACAAAATCTAAATAATCTAGCCAATATGGGTATTTACAAAATTCTGACTGACAAAGTATCGTTTAAAAGTCTTACATACCTTTAAATAGCATTTTTCCATATGTCTCAAAGCACCTTTCTGATTCAATTCTGTTCCACAAGTTACACAATAAATGCTAAGTTCAGTATCTTCTTCTTGCTCCAATCCCTATCATTTAAACATAAAAGAAAAGCATTATTAACAATACTTAAAGTGAATAAGTACATAAAGGTTTAAGAGATAAAATACTTACATCCTGCTCAGCTATCACTGCTAAACGCTTCCCTCTTTCTACCAAAGCATCTAGCTCTTGAATTTTCAAATCAAGTTGCCTCAACTTCATCCTAGCTTCTAAAGTTTCTTGCCGCAGCATTTCTAGTACTTTCTTGTTGTTCTCCTCCCCCACACACGGACTACTCTGCCATTGTTGAATCCGAGATGGTAGTATTTCATAGATCCGACTAAAAACCAAAAACTAATCGTAAATGGAAATCAATTGATCAATGAGTACACACTAAATTTATTTATAAAGCATGCTTGCTAATAAAATATTACACATACAAACTTTAAATATTAACAGAGGGTAACAAAACAACTTCACTAAAGCAGCATTTATTTAGTTTTGTGAAAAAATGAGCTACAAAGGACTTAGACTTAAAAAAATTTATCTGAAAAGAATTTCATGTTCTTTAAGTCACCTCAGCTGGCAAATATTAAAACTAATAAAACCCACCTTTTAGCTAGTTTCATCCCACACTCATCTGAACAGTATTTTGACCCAGTTTTAGCAGGCTCAACACACCCAGGACCATAACACTGCCTAGGTGCATCATCATCAGTCTCCAGAGCATCATCAACCTCTACCCTGCGTCTGGAACTTGACTTCTGGCGATATTTCTGAAAAATAAAATAATAACTCTAAAATGAAGATCTTTCAATGAGTTATGTGCAACACATGTGGAAGAATAACAGTAACAAGTTCTTATAATAAAGTCTTTAAAACTGGCTTTGTTCTGGGATAGTTGCTTTAATTTCTTATTTTTAACTTTTGTTCATGTTAGTAAACTAGTAGAATGTAATCTATTTATTCAGTTCTAATCGTTAACATCAACATAAACAATGATTATTTTTTTTATATGAAAAATGCTATTTAATAATGTACATACTGGAGGCTTTTCTGGTGATTTCTTAAATTTGTGTTTTATTTTCTTTTTATCCTTTTTTTTCCTAGGAGAAACATCTGATGAACTTGTCCTTCTCTCCCTTTTCTTAGGAACTACTTTAATATTTTCATAGGCTTCCTCTTCATCAAAATCATCTCTGAAAACAGTGTATAGAATTTTACATAACAAATTGAGGGTTGATTAGTTAAATTACTTACTACAATATTACTATCTGTTTAATATATTGAAACACTATTACGTGCTAAATAGTGTGAATGTAATATAAAATACATTACATACTCAAAATCAGACAAATCTGTAGCTGCCTTTTCTGATGCTGCATCACTTGTATGTGGCAATTTATCTGCTGATGTTAAACCCTACAACACAACAATAAGATTGCTTCTCAGTGCTATAGCCATTAAACTCTGCACATATTGCAATTGTTTTGTTTTAAGCATATGTACAAAAAATTGTTAAAAATTTCTGTAATAATAATAATGAGTGATTTGTAATTCAGTTACCAGTTGTAAATTAAAAGAATAGCATTGAAACAGAATTAAAAAAAAAACTTTAAAAATATAAACAAATGAAAATCATATTTACCATTTCTTTAGGCTTACTCACATAACTTGTGCACTGTCTAAGTCGACATTTCTGGCGAAGTTTGTTTGTTCCACCAAACTTTTTCATGTCCTAAACAAAACAAAAAAGAAACAATTATAAACTAAACAGCTAACCATAATAAATCAATTAGTGTCCAGGTAACACAAATCTAGCACTTACCTTACAATAATCGCATCTTCCACAATCTTCAACCCTGTCACATGCACTACAGTCACCACATCTTCGTGTCATTCTACTCTTCACAATCTAAGAAATAGATATCTATTATAAAAACAGTTTAATTATACTCTAAAAATATGTTTTGCACATTAAATAATTACTTGTGCATCAAATAGAAGTTTGAATTTGAAAACTATGAGAACTGGGTTTACAAATCAAAGATGGCATACCATATTTTCTCTAAGCTTTGTTCTGTACTCTTTCTGATTCTTGTCAAATTTATCCTGTTCACTAGACTCACTCAAAGTTTGCCGCTCTTTCTTTTTATTTTTGTACTGTATTTCTAAACTTGGGTTGCGTGCTGAAAAGTTTTCATATACAAATATATATAAAATAATAATACAACCACCAACATTATTACCTTTTCAAATAAAATAACAATTAAGATTACATTAAACATACAGGTCCATAAACTAAAAAGTGAAAACGAACATGAAATAAAATACATTTATCAAATAAATGCAACAATGCTAAACAATACCTCTACATGCATCACAGTAATATCGCTTGATGGATCTTGCATCAAGCTGTGTTACACCAATACAGTCTCCATGATACCATTCTTCACAATGATCACATCCACTAAATAGAGAGAAAATGATGTACAAAAATCATCAAAAAAGATCATATACTTTAAATCAACACTGACAATATAATCAATTTCTCCATTATCATAATATCTTAAGTTTTAAGTAAAAAAAAACACACACATACACAAAAATATAATTCAATAAAATACTTTAACACCATTTATAAAGCTAAAAACAGGTGAGGCTTACATCATAAAGCGTTCACAGTCTGATGATCGACAGATGCAATACAGAGTTTCTCCAGCGTCACTGCCTGGATCCATAGTTGTTTTTTTTTTTTTAAATTTAAACTTCAGTAGTAAATTATTAGATGCTTATCAAGCTATTAACATGTTGATTGTTGAGTCAGCGATGTTGGAAAAATTCTATGCAATGAATCTGAGAAAAAAAAAGTTTGTTGAGGCCACTCTGAAGTTTCACTCTGCTAGGGATATAAAGGGTTGACTCAAAATGTAGTCCATAATAATATATAAATATCTAATGCTGATAAGGACAATGACTTGTAAATACTAAATAGGCATAATAAATGTTAACTGATTGAATACTGAATACTACTTTTCAATTTTTCATTTAAAAGATTTAGTTAGGGCTTCATTATTATTTTGTTAAAAAGTGTAGATCGATCAGACAACTGTAAGTGTACACTTTAAAGTAAGTACTATATCTCTAAGTGCTTTTTTGAAGAAAATGTTATATTAATTATTAATTAATTCATGATTATCATTGACATTATTAGGCTAATATTACTATTACTATTATGTAGGGATTTTTCTCTCGCAGATGATCAAACGCAATTTAATTGGAACTGTAATGCTTATTTTTTATAATATTTTTTACCTTTTCTAATTAAAACACAATCATAAAAAAATGGCCGATGCTAGCCGGAATAAGATACACATGCGCAATGGTGAGAAACTACGACTTGCCTTCGCGGCGATGTTTCCGATGGTACTGCGCATGCGTGTGTTTACAACCCTAACACCAACCCTAATCCTATCCCTAACCCTAATCCTAACCCTAATCCTACCCCTAACCCTCATTCTAGCCCTAACCCTAGCCATAGGTCATTGCGCATGCACAGAGCTATCTTTTGCCGACTAAGTGGAGACGGGGAGAAAAATCTTCCGAGTAGTCACTTAGTAAAATAAACCGGTAGTGATCTCCCCTAAACTTTCTCGAATATTCTTATATAAAACAACAGGGGATGGTAACTGGGGATATAGTTATGATTTTTAATCCATTTTAAATACTTAAACTTTTAAAAATAGAATAGAATCTCATAAAAAAACATTGCGCACCAAGCAAACGCCGAATAAAAACGCGTATAATAGTGCGCAATATTATTAGTACTTTAAAAATTTACATTAGTTTTTTGAGAAATCGGAAGTAGCGTAAATTACTACTTCCAGTCAACGGAAATTACTCAAAATTTAACAGAAGGTAGAGAATTAGATCTTTTACTTACATGTGAAATTTCATTTATCTATCTGAAATAGTACTCAAGTTATAGGCTTTTAAAAAATTCAAAGTAGGAAAAGTACCACTTCCGGTTATCGGAAATCGCTCAAAAGTTGATACGGATCTACGATTTTGATAAAATACTTATATATGAAATTTCATCAACCTAGCTGTAACGGTACTCAAGTTATCGTGTTTACACACGGACAGACAGACACACAGACACACACACACACAGACATACGGACAAGATTGCAAAATTATGTTTTTCCGTATCAGTGAGCTGTAAAACGTCGAGATTTGTAAAAATCTCGATTTTTTTTTTTGCACGATTACAATACTTTCTCTATACTACGTATATACGAGAAAGTAAAAATATGTAGATCTATAATAATATCTATTATTATCTAATATCTAATGATTCTAATCCTAGTGTTTTCCTAACATTTTTGTGTGTTTTGGTTGTATTTATAATAAAATACGCTAAGCCGGTGGTGAACGTGAAGCGGGGAATAAAATACGTTGAAATGGAGTTTTACCCGCCTACTTGCTGCTGTAGTACACTACCATTACACTGTACTTGCTGAATGACGACTGTACACTGTACTGTACAGTGAACTAAAGTCTAAAAGTAAAAGTGACTATATAAACTCTAACTTTTAGTTAACTAAAATAAAAGTCTAACTACTAAACTAAAGTTACTAAACTAAAAACTTCTAAAGTTAACTATTAATATTAATATTAATAACTACTAACACAGAGTTACTTTAGGAACAATGAAAACTTATACTAAATTTCTGAACAACCAACTTGATAACTTAAATAAAGAAATTAGATTAATTAATTACTAATTTAGATGTACACAGTACATTAAATCTCAATTTATAACAAAGAAGTAAACAAGAAGTCGAAGAAAAACAACGTACCGGTGGTATTTTTTTAAAAAAGGTCACACCACTAACCATGGAAAGTTACACTACAATAATACAGCAAACCAGACAAACTCTACAACAAATAAATTATTAGTAGGACATAACTTATAATTATAGGGTCTCCTCACTGTCTGTAAAGATATCGATTTAAATAATTGTAAACAAAATTAGATCTAGATCTAGTAACAAAAATAATTTAAAATAATAAACGGCTGATGAAGTAACACCTTCTTCTTTAGGTGTTATCCATAAATGACGTCACAATACATCATAGATTTACTCATCTTATTAATATACTTTAAATTAAGAATTATGTTTCAAACAGCAGAGTACAACAAATAGGTCAGTTGCATACTAGAGTAGTAGACCCAGTGGCGTCGCTAGGTCGAGTGTCACGCCCGGTGCAGCACATCGCGGTGTCAACCTCCCCCCCAAGAAACAATATATATATATATATATATATATATATATATATATATATATATATATATATATATATGTGTGTGTGTATGTGTGTCGGCCTACATAGGCGTATAATTTAAATATATGCCGCATAATTAATCATTATTGCAACTCGCAGTGCTATTTTTCGCAATGGTGTCACCCCCTAATTGGTGACACCCGGTGCGGTCCGCATCCCCGCCCCGCCCTCGCTAAGCCTCTGAGTAGACCGGTTGATAATTGAGTGAAATTCCGATTTCTCTTTTATAAGAGAGTTTAATAATTATCAATGAAAATATTGCAATTAATTATTGTTTTTAAAGGGGCAAGCTTTTAACTGTTTTTGTTTAACATAACGCATGTTTACAAGAGAAAAAAGTTATACTGAGGAAGGGATCGTCAATTAATTATTTCAAATAATGTTTAGTAAATGATCAATATTTATGACTATTCAACACATTTTAAAAGGATTGAGTTTCGAACATTCTCAGATACATTAGACAAAAACAAAACAAAAGGTACGCTATAGAATTTATATATCACGATCAAAATTGTGAATTTTCATTGCTTGAATTTTGATTAATTTTTTAAATTAAAAATATTAAGGATTGTTCTTGTAATTTATATTTTGTTATGTTGCTTGGAACAAATTCCAACGAAACCTTGACCCCATGACTGCTAGTCACATGATTGTCTGTTAGTCTTTCCTGTTGTAAAGGGGTAGAGAAGAAAATAAATTTACTGGACCACGAAAGAAAACGTAAAATAGACTATCAACCATGTTTTCATTCTTTCAAAGAATCCTAGATTGGTTCAAAAGTTTATTTTGGAAAGAGGAGATGGAACTGACTCTTGTAGGATTACAGTATTCTGGAAAAACCACATTTGTTAATGTTATTGCTGTAAGTAATTACTAAGTAACAAAGAGCCCAGTTGTCGTGAGTTGAGCTTAGATTAGGAATGTTGGGATATTTTTCCTAATTACCATAGAATGATAAAATGTACACAGATTAATCCTATAATATACCCCATTGATAAAAATACCAAATTTATCATTCTAGGCCTAATAGTTTTTTTTATATGAATTTTTAAAGTTATGTATTAAACCTGTTATATATCACTGTATAGCTAGTCTCATAACGCGAGTTGAATTACCTCCCCTGACCCGCTTTTTTATGGCCACTTTCTAGTTCGTTTTTTTCGATCGCGTCTCGGCACTGTTGCTAAAAATAGCATTCGCGCAATACCATACGGGTAAATCTGTTTGGCGTCTGCTACACGTGATAGATCGTTGAATGGCCGACAAGCTGATATAAAAATTATTGCGACCGGATGCGATTTTTGTGGAAATTGAGCTAGATTTAGCAAAAGACAGCTATATTTGTGTAAAATATTATTATTTATACTTCTACTTACACAGATATTTTGATAACTGCAGTTCAGCCGTCCATTTTTCTTTTAAAATGTATCTTTAGAATTTCTGTACCTTTTGGCAATCGGTCAGGAGCATTTGCGCACTAAACCCACCCCCCTACCGCAGATCCGATTTTTTTCCCAGTGAACTCGTACTGACCTCCCACATAGCTAAGATAGTACATTGATACTGATGGGAAAGCCTCTAAATCTATATTCCTACTAGAGATCTAGAAATAAATCTAGATCGTGGAGTTTTTATAATGACTTTTAAATTGAATGTCTCCAGTTTAAGATATTTTTTTTTCAAAACATAGCTACTTTTAGTACTATATTTATTTATTTTTATTTAAGTATTTCAAACCCTTTTGGTAGTTTTTTCTTAAACTTAGACCTAGATCTAGTGATTAGATATCTATATTTTGTACTTATTACTTGCAGGCCTATTAAAATAATAATAAAACAGTTTGCTTGATAACTTCATTAGGTCATTTCATAAACACAAATGTTATAAACATATAAAAATCACAAAACCATAGGTAATATCTGAATTCTGTAGCCTACCTTACATTTAGGCTAATACTGAATTAAAAAGAAATTACATTAAGGTTTGAAATTAATACAACTTGTAATTAAGGAAGAAAGCTTCAATTCTAAATACTACAAGATATAATAACAAACAATGAAACAAATTCAAAGCTTTTTTCAACCCATTTAGTCGAAAAGATTTTTATTTTTTCCGATATTGACCAAAATAAGTTTTTAAAGCTTAGGCCTAATGTTTTTACAAACATAACTCAATTTTATTAGGCCCCTGTAAACATTAATTAAGATTCCTCTGTAGACAAAGCAATCTATTTGGCAGATGAAGTAGAGTTCATGTTTCTTGACCTCGGCATATGAAGTGATTGTCTGTGTGGTCAGCGATATTCACAGCCGCCTTTACTTTTTACCTTTAATTTCCCCAATGTATATCAGGTACCCATCAGAAATGGGTGGACTCTAATTGAATTTTATTAAACAAACATTTTGATATAGGCCTAGATCTATAATCTATAACATTCCAAACAACATCTGTTCTGTAGAATTTTCCTTTCTGCTTCCAAATGCGGTATTTTCCAATTGAAAATTCATCACAAAACATACAATAAATTATATAAATGGCATTTTATAAATTTATATAAACTATTTACTTTCACCTTGGTGTAAAAAAATGTAGGTATAAGCAAACTGATTTCAATAGTAAGAAAGAATCATGTCTTTTATTGCTTACTAGCTTTAAAACAAGTGAATTTGACTTTTTACCTGCGTTTTTGGTCGCGTTTCTATATATTTTATTTGCGACACTAAAAAAATTATAATTAATCAACCGATTATGCTAAATTAATAAAATTGGTACTGTTGGATTGCATTTTTAAAGCTCTACAATTATATGCTATTCTTTTTATAATTTGAAGAAAATTGAATTTATATGAGACTAACTACACTGTAACATCGGATTTAATTGTGTGATTGGCTTTAGGCTTGCATACCACTGCTGCTATTCGAGATATAATTATAAAACTTTGCACATTAGTGCTAGAGAGTGTGGGCAATAAAAATATGAAAGTAAAATCAAAATTTGATGAAGGATAATTAGAACTAATCAAGTCAAATTAAAGTGAGGGGTGCTGTTCTATATAGGTCAATATGCAGACTGAAAGTCTATGTTTTTTTTTTAAATATTAAAATTGAAACTTTGCTAGAGGGTGGGGGCAATAGAAATATAGAAAAAAATTATATTAAGTATGACTGCATATAATTAAAAAGTCCTATGAAAGGGTGTTGCACCCTTTTATAGTAATTATAGTGACTGCAACGGACGTATGTCCAGAATGTTACTATAATAGATAGGATACATTTTGGTTATTGATACTGAAGCATGTAATAAGAAGAATGCTGAAAAATAAAACTAGGGATGGTGTGTTAAAGCACTTAACTACTAACATGCAAGTCTTAAGCTCAGATCTCAGACGAGTCTGTCTGTGCAGCGTGCAGCATCCACCAAGCTCAGATGAGTACCTGACCCAAGGGAAAGTAAAGATAGCTTGGCAGAGAGCTAACCACACCATCACTTCATGTGCATGGGTCAAGAAACAGATAAACTCTACTTCAGCTGCTTTATGGATGATGGATTGACAGGTCCAAAAGGGAAACTACTTTAATATACTAGGGCCTTTATAAGACCCTATTGATATTTTGGTACAACTAAATTACTAATCAATAGAAAAACCTTAAATTCTTGTAAAAGTTTATTAAGCTAAGTGTTAATTTGTACCAAATCAGAAGTTACAGCTTCCCTGTCTATCTGCTTATATGAATATATATATATATTGGCAACATGCAGTGATTTAAATCCGTATTGTTTGTTGTTATTTGTTTTTTGTTACTTTTTATTATTAAATGTAAAAATTGTATCCTAAATTATTATGAATAATAATTATCATGCCTTTTTCATGTCATTCTAAATTCACTGCCTTATTAATTAGTACCCCCCCCCCCCCCCCCCCATGTCAATTGCTGCACCTTTTGTTAATTATTTACTAATGTCATAAGCATAATTATTACAAATAATTAAATAAGTTTATCACCAAGCTTCTTTACTTATCATAACCAATAATAGGCCCAGACTTACTTTATCAATCGATACATATAGTATATAGCATTAGTTATACTAAGAAATAGGCCTATAACTTATTTATAGTATAAAGTATAATAGTTTATTAAAGGCTATTAGTATTAGCCTTAAATCTAAGTAAGTAGGTATGTGTGAAATGCTTAACACTATTTAATGTAAGCCTAAGCTTCTTGCCTGTCGGTTTTAATAGATAACTTGATCAACGTATTTTATCTAGTTTTAACAGTGCCACCCACAATTTAAATTCTTTCCAACTTCGAAAACTACGTCATTGGCATTAGTGCGCGTATTTTATCGATAATAGGTAATGCGGTGCTAAACCGACGCCATGGCGTTGTCAAGGCCGAAGCGCTAGCTCGGGGATTTGACATGTATGATAACTCGTAAGCAGAAGTAGTAAGTGCCATAAAACCGTTATTATAATAATATTTGTTTATTTAATGGACACTTACAACTAATGGCAAGACACTTATAAAGGGTTTAATACGTAAACTTATTTAAAATGTGACAGCACCGTACGGGACATGTTCGCGAGATAAACTCATTAGAATCGTGCGATCGATTTCGGCTTAAAGATTGTCATAATGGCGGTAATTTTCTAATTGAAACATATAATACGACTACACTAGAATATCTATATCGAATATTTCTAAAAACTCGATTCCAACAGTGAGATTCGGCATTCTTCGGAAAAGGGCGAGTTTTTATAAAGACTGCATCGAAAAGTCCGGATGTTGAATACCGAATCGAAACAGCGGAAGTCGGAATGCCTAGCTTAGATTTTAGAAGTAAATAAATTTACTTAAAATGACTGGAGTCTCTTTTCTAGTCTGCTGAGTTACTCGAGAAAACAAAAGTTGTTACTAAAACTAGATCTAGTTGTTAACTTATTATTATATCTAGTTTAGCTCTAAACTAGGGTCTATGTACTAGACTCTATGTAGTTTCTGGACTACTATCTAGATTTTCTCACTAAATCGAAAATTTACCTTAGCCTACCCAATTTTCAATTTAAACGTGACCACTGAATAATATACATCCATATTTAATCCATTAGGCACTAATTTTGAAGTTTTAAGTTTGTTTTAAACTAAATTACTTAATGGACACCAGCGAGAAAAGTCTCAAAGGTATTTGAGAGGTGTATAAATTAATTTAAAAATCATGCACAGCGTAGTTACAATTAATATGGTTATAAAATCCTGTCTATCTGGTTTTTTTCGGACTTTACTAAAGATTGGATGTATTTGATGTTTATAATATTTTCGGTAACTAAATAAAAATTAAAAAAAAAGCAAAAACAATTTGGTTTTCACGTGTAATGGCGACATAAACAATGGCATCCCGCTATTGGATAGGCCGCCATTGATTTTATTGTACACATTGTAAGCTAAAAATAGAAAACTAGGTCATGGGGTTTTAAATTTGCATTGTAATTTAAAAACTTGATCTGCAAAGTTTTGTAAACAAATAGTTATCGATCACTAAGTTACTGTACAGCCAATCAATATTTGTCTTACGAAAGTGAAACATCCGGTTATAACTTAGGCTTGATGAAAATAAATAGAAATGTAGCCTTAAACTCAACAAATTATTTTTAAGTTCTCTGGATTTGCAACTTTTATAACATTTATTCTAAAAATATAAAATTTCTAAATTAATTTTAGGCTTAAGTTTTTATTTTTTTTTTTTTTTTACGGTCTAAATCTAAAAAGCACGTTTTTATTCCATGTCAACAACATTGGGGACGGAATCTCGTCAACTCGCTCGCCTCCATTTAATATTTATTGTCACTCACGCCATTTACGACACACCTCTCCATGACAACACAATTTACGTCTGTAGCCACGGCAAACCACGAATCGGTTCAACTTTTTAATTGGCTATGCACCAGAGTTCCTCACTACTGATGAGTCAAATAGCGGTCATGTGGTTTTTAAAAAATAAAAATAAATTGGCTGTGATATGAACGCCGGTCTTATAAAAAAACATGATTTCTTTTTTCATAGACTGATAAAACTAATAATGCTTTACGTTCTCGCTCATTTTTGTACCTACACCATCGATAATTTAAAAGTTCTATTAATTTTAATGAAACTAACTTTTGAATTTAGCCTCCATCCTCCAAAAAACCCAATTTTAAAATGCTTTTATGGCTTATATAGCCCTGCCACCTATGGTTTGTTTTTATAACGCGAAAACCCGGCCATTTTGCTTGTGGTAAACATTTTAAACAGTAATTCTTAGAAGGTCACTGGAACTAAGACGAAAAATCATCATAATTCAAGCATCCGGTCTTTACGCCATATTGTTGTTAGCAACCGGCCACGCCTCTGGGTTAATGAGTAATATTACTACTATCCTATCCTAATGAATATTATATTTAATTTAATTAGTAATAGGCCTTTAAATTGTTTTTTAAGGCCTAGGCCATCTCTTTATTTATTTATTTAATTATAATCCTACTCTTTTTTGTGTCAAACCAGTTAATTAGGCCTATGACTGATATGAGGAGTATGGTTATCATTTTATGTGCGTAAAATCGGCAGAGGCTAGTAATGTGAAAAAAAGGTGACTGATTAAATTTTGTAATTATTTAACATTTTTATGAGGATTTATGTTTTGAAAGTTACAAAAATGTTTCAAAGTTTCATTCATGTAGGCCTACCTGTTTTTAAACAATTGTATTAAAACTTTCCAGTAATAAATAAAGGGATTAACAATGTTTTCATCAGATGCAACCAAGCTCATTTACTTAAGCAGCCATCTTGTTGAAGTTTTTTTTGTTGGTAAAATTAGTTTGAGATCAGGGGAAACCACTTTATTTTACTGATAGGCACTGTTTGTATAGCAAATCTTGCTCGCAAACACTGCTGTTTAAAGTTAATTTCTGGCCTATATTGATATACTTCGACATTGCTTTTAGTTTATCATTCAATTATCTAATATATTTGACACAAAAATGTCACAATATAGGCCTACTTGTCCTAAAACCATAATAATGAGTCACCTTTTTTCCCACATTTCTAGCCTCGATTGATTTTATGTACGATAGATTACCTAGGACTACTAGGAGTATGATAGTTTTAAAAATTAGCAGGTCGTAAGTACATAAAAAGATTCCTACTAAAATTATTTGATCCCTTTTAAAAAAATATAAATGGGCCTCTAGAAAACAATTACACAAAAATGAAAACAAGAAATCATAGGGCTATTAAAAAAATAATCTAAGTTGGATTATAGTTTGAGTGGCTTGCCATATGATAAATTTCTTATTTTTCTTGATTTTTCTGAGCTAAGATTGTTCTTTTGTACCAAATTATTTCAGTTTAGGCCTTAAATTTTGTATTTTTGTATTTATTATGGATATAGGCCTACTTTAAAATGAAATAGCTTAAATTAGGAAATACATTTAATCTAAAATGTAATGAGAAAGGCTACATTAAATTTTAGTTCTTAGTTGCTAAATGTGTTTATGTAAGAATAAACTTGTGTTTTGTAAGCAAGTCTGTCACTTAAAGAAATGATTCACTATTTTAAAATGTAAAAAAAAAGAAACCCTGATATTTTCTTTCAAATTATAGAAACACTGTTATGCTAATGTGGTTAACCAGCAAAGAATTAATTACGTTTTATTAGGCCTAATTGGAATGGTAACTTCTTATCTGCTTTTCCTAGGGTCCTACAAAGAAAAGCCCTTGCAGATTTTAAGGATTGTAATATATGCATGTGGGGTCATCCATAAATGACGGCACGCTTTTTTTTGACGATTTTTACCTCCCCCCCCTCCCCCACGTCACAAGTTGTCACAAAAATCAAGACCCCCCCTAAAATGACATCACACCTCAGCCTACAAATTGCTGTTTAATTTTTCTTAAAACATCGATATTTTTCCAAAATCTTGTCAGAATTCTGTCAACATAGAGTATTTTGATCAATTCCTATTATAATTTATTAAAGCCGTTTTCTAAAACGTGAAATAACAGCTAAATAAAACTCATTTTCTAACATTGCTTTTTTTATAATGCAATAAAGTGACGTCACACCATCTGACCCCCCCGCCCCTCATCACACACCGTCACAAAATTACGGACCCCCCCCCTACGAGTGTGACGTCATTTATATATGACCCCTATGACAATTTATAAAGGAATGGTTTGTTTAACATATCAGTATATACCATATTTTTGCATTCTGTATAATATGCAACAACAAGCTTAGTTTTATTTCTTTTTTCCTAGTCTGGCCAGTTTAGTGAAGACATGATACCAACAGTGGGCTTTAATATGAGGAAAATTTCAAAAGGCAATGTAACAATCAAAGTAAGTAGGCTGTAACGATTTAAAATGTTTTTTTATTATGCCAAAAGTAAAAGCATTACTAACTTGTTCCAATTAGTTCTTTCTAAATGATTCATTAAATCAATAAAATGCAGCGTTCAATTTTTCATCTAAGTTTTCAGTCTCATATCTAGAAGTTGATATCTCTAGAACTTCCATTTTTAGTCTTACCCTTATACATGAATGTATTTCTTTTGAATTATTTTTTTTAAAGTACTTGCAAAATGGCATTTTTCAACCCTGCAGAGCCCCATTCAGAATCTGCCTCTAAAGAGTTACTTTTGAATGTAAAATGATTTTTAAAAATAAAGTACTTTTTCTAATATCAATCTAACCCATAGTTTTCTTTTTCTATGAATATAAAGTTACTATATGCTTGTTGCTTAAGTTCTTTAAAAAGTTTTTGGCAAAAAAATAATGTTAGTGAAAGTTGGCCTAAAAAGTTAATACTTTATAGATACCCATCTCTTTTGTGTACTCATTACTATTTTTGTATATAATTCACAATTGTTTTGTAATTTAAAAACTTCTTTAGCTTTGGGACATTGGTGGTCAACCAAGATTCAGGAGCATGTGGGAAAGATACTGTAGAGGTGTCAATGCTATTGTGTAAGATATCTTAATACTTACAAATATAATAATTAACTAAATCTAGCTCTATTATTATCATTAAGTAAAGTAAAGGTGTATTATTTATTACTACTATAGACAAATCTACTTTACTTTGCAGTTACATGGTGGATGCAGCAGACCATGATAAACTTGAAGCATCTCGCAATGAACTTCACAATCTCTTAGATAAACCTCAACTTCAGGGTATTCCAGTATTGGTTCTAGGAAACAAAAGAGACTTGCAGGGTGCTCTTGATGAAAAAGAACTCATAGAAAGAATGTAGGTTCTACTTATGTTTGCAGGGAGTCTCATTTATTTACACCAAAAAATTAGCTTAAAGTGGGAGAGATTTTATTTTAGTTTTTTCAGTAAGATATGTAAGGCTTAAATGTTCAATTATCCTTGAGTGTATGAAAGATCATTATAGCTCATACATTTTTAAAGCATTTAAAATGGCAGTATTTTATGCAATTCTCTATTGTAGATCAATTAGTTTACTGTGTAAATTAAGGTGAAATTTAGGTTAATTTTATTTGGTTGTATTACAATTTTGGAACATCATTTTCTATTAGAAAGTTTATATAGATCTAGTTATATTCCACTTATTTTTGTATAGGAATCTTTCTGCCATTCAAGACAGAGAAATCTGCTGTTACTCTATATCTTGTAAAGAAAAAGAAAATATAGGTAAGACCTACTGAAATATTTATTTATCTTATTATATTATTCAAACTAACTTGAATGGCACCTATATTAAACATAAGAAGACTCTCCTATTAATTCAATTTAAATTGCATTGTTTCTCTATCACTTAGACATTACACTGCAATGGCTAATTCAGCACTCCAAATCTGGACGATAAAGCACTACAATTGCTGTTGGCTGAGAAAAGTTTACTGATAGAGAAGGATGTCCTGATTTTGTTTATATGATGAACTTGATACTGTGTGTCTGTAATTAAAATGAGTTTGGCTTTAACAATGGGTCTATGAGTGTGAATTTACATTTTTTATAACTTTAGTGAATGTCAGAATGATGGTTTGTGAAGGTGTATGGCTGTTGGACTTAAAACTAAATAATAATTTTACCATATATTTAATTTCTCTATTATTTTAATAAATTGTCCTAGTGTTGATTTTCATGCTTTTAATTATGTTTAAATGTTGATTATTATTATACAATATTAAAACAACTGTCAATAACAAGTTTTTTTTTCCAAAGAAATCTACTACAATGAAACAGGTCGTTACAAATGTTTGTTCTCCAACATTGCCAACTTCATTGTGATTCTTCCAAAAAAAACACAGGAAATTGATTCTCAACACAATTAAAAGAAAAGGTTTTAATATCTGTGATTTGTTAATTGTAGCATGAATCATATATAATATACTTATAAGAAAATGTGAACAAATGAATGGTTTTATGATATTGTTTTTGACATAACACAGTGCATTGATGACATCATTTTGTGTGCAATAGTTGACATCACCTTTTGTTTCCTGGGACCTATGTCATCATAATTTGGCTTGTAGGTGGCAAGCTTTTGCTAACTGTGTTTAAGTTCTAACAATTCAGGCATTTTTGTTACCATGTGGAATTAAGTTTTGGGTTTAATATATAATTTTGTAAGTGTTTAGTGTCAACTACGTACTTTCTGGATCATTCCTTGTTTATAACAATGCAAAGGAGTGTAAATAATGTGTACAGGACCTTTTTTTTTTTTTTTTTTTTTTTGCTTGAAGAAAATTTGTAGAGAAACCTTTTTTTTATATTGCAGGATATATTGCTGTGCTTTATTTATCATGATATTAATCCAATGGCTAATTTGTATAAATGTCTGTTTAGTAAGCTGATTTCAAAAATTCATTATTCTTTAAATAAATAGCTATAGCTTAATATTTGCACTCTTCTTGAACTACATATTGTCCTCTTCTTGAACTTGCCCCTGACTTATGATTTATTAATGTTGTGTTGTTTGTGTTGTACATGATTCTGCAGTCGCTGTCTTCTTCCTCTATTTTGCTATATACTACAACATTGCAATCAGTAAGAAACTTTACTTTTAAAATGTACTTGTTTTTTTTTTTTTTTTTGGCCTTTTAAAAATGTATTTTTAGTGGTGTATATATCTCTATGTTAAAAGTAGTAACAGTAGGTAATAATTCCTCTACTGAATTATGTTACAAAAAAGAAATACAGCGTGTTTAAGGCAGTGTGACTTTCTATTTTTAGTCAAGTATGAAGAGCTTTGAAAACTTAAAATAATAAGCACAGATTTAACTATTGTTTGGGCTGTGATAATAGATGAAGCTCCATATATATTGACTAAAGTAATGAAATGCCTTGAAATGGAGCTATATTGAAACAAAAACCCTAAACCCTACCTTTAGTATATTTTTAAAATAAAGAACCATAGTAAATTACTCTATTTAGATCCAAGCAAATAAATTCCAACGCTTCTTAAAATAGAATGATCTTTGAGTTTAATTGAGACAGAAAAAAAAAATTACACATGTATTTCTTAGCAAAAAAGCATTGTTGAAAGAAAAAGCTTCAAATATGTGATTGTTTTCTCTATTTTTTCATCTCAGAAATTACAGCTAAGTAGATTTTAACTTAAATCAAGAACTGTTTGACACCATTGTATGCATCCTCTTTTTAAGTTTTGTATACATTATTATTGTGGCTGTTTTTGGCATATTGTAAGTGTAATATTTTACGACAATACATAAAAAAACCCATAGCATTAATACATGTTACTAGATTATTTATTATTTTATAAATACTGATTACTAAGCTTTGCAAAGCTTGTTGGCTAAAATTTTGGTGTTTGCTTGCCATGGGGTATTGTCTACATGCATTTAACTTTGTTAGTCCCACAGTAATGAGACTAAAGATTTGTGATTAGTGATCTACATTTCATTTGCTCTATTGTATGTTTTAGATGCATGCTTCATCCTTGTCTACTTGTAATGTATAGTTTTATGATGATGAGTAATAAACATTTTCTTAAACAGTTGCTTTGCTATGTCTGTTAATTGGTCATTTAGCAAGTATTTTTTTTAGTGTGCATTATTTAATGTTAAGTGTTGTCCCTGTTTGACAGTTCAAATATTTAGTGTGTAAATAATCAGCCAAACTTTTCCCCCCAAATATTTTCATGGAATTTAACTGCTCTGACAATGATCCTTTTAGAACTAGTGTCAGCATGGTCGGTATGGCTGACCATTTTGAAAAAAGATTTCATTAATTAGCTTGACATCATCAGTAGTCAATGCTTCCAATTTTTGAAATTTAAAAATCTATCATATTGATAACACCCTAGCCTGTCAAAGCATCAATCACATTTAAGCAAATTTGAAGCTGCTTAAGTGCTACATCTACAGATCTTTTTGATCTAAATATAGAGCTTTCGTCAGCATTTTATCACTTCAAAACAACAATGTCTATTCATAATGCCTATTTCTGAACTTCAAAGATTTTTATGGATGGTTGATATTGTACTTATTATTTTTAAAAAGTAGGCCTTAGTGCTGCAATTCAAATGACAAAGATTACACCCTCAGTATTAGGGACAGTATAAAAAAAAAACCTTGTTGATAAATTTTTGTCTATTTCTTAGAAAATTAAACTCGTGGTAGAGAATACACATGTGAAGGTGACCGGTGTCTTGTAAGCTATCTTATCAGCCAAAAATGTAATAAAGCCATTGTAACACCCAATTTATAATTTTTCTTATTTGACTTCATAGTTGTAAACAAAATGTACTTATACAGGGCTTACATACACATATGCATATAGAGTCTATATATAGGGCCTAGATCTATATACAAGTAAGCTTACCATTTTTCGGTTGCCTCCTATTATTAATGAATAAATGCCTAATATAATTATAGGGGTCGTCCATAAATGACGTCACACTCGTAGGTGGGAGGGAGGGGTCCGTAATTTTGTGACGGTGTGAGATGAAGGGGGGGGGGGGGGTTCAGATGGTGCGACGTCACACTTTTGCATTATCAGAAAACAAATTTTAGACGTTATTTAGCGTTTTAGAAAACTTTTAATAAATTTTAATAGGAATTAATTAAAATAATTTTGACAGAGTTCAGACAATATTTTGGAAAAATATCGATGTTTTAAAAAAAATTCAACTGCAATTTTGAGGGGGGGGGTTGTAGGCTGAGGTGTGACGTCATTTTTGAGGGGGGGGGGTCTGGCTTTTTGTGACGACGTGTGACGGGGGGGGGGGGGAGGAGGTAAAAAGCGTAAAAAAAAAGCGTGTCGTCATTTATGGATGACCCCATAGATCAATACATTACAATTAGCTTGAAACCAAAGTTGTATAAAATATATTGTTTAGACCAAGATCTAGATCTATTGAGCCTATATAAATTAAGAATACACAATCATATTTTAAATACCATAATTTATTGATATAACTCTCTACTGAAGCTCTTGAACTAATTATATTAATAGTTATTAACTAGTTAAATAGCGAAACGAAATGTAGCCTAAAGTTGTTTATAAATTGTATCCAACATGGCGGCCAACTTGCGGTCAGTAATCGGTCAAAAAATCATTGTAAGGACAAAAGCATTATTTCAGGTTAGTAAAATGTATTGTCCGAGTTTTAGCATTATTGGTAGAATGTAGAGTTAGGGCTTCGGTAGTACTGGGGCAAGAGTAAGGGTTAGCATAGTTGACAGCAAAACAACTTCAGTAACCCGTCGTGTGACCGTGAGAGTGAGTGACATCTCGGGCCGAAGCCTGAGAAAGTGAGAAGAGGACAACTTACTTACACCTTTACACTCTTACACTTTACTTCCACTGTGACTTAACAGTCTTACACTTACAAATGTTTAGATTTCTAGACCTTACAATCTTTTTGAATCTTACAAAGTTACAACATAAGAAAAGTTTAGATCTAGATCTAGAATCGGTAAAATCTTAGTTTAGCGTCGTAAATTCGGCCAAAACTAGTAATGTGGGAGAGAGTGAATTAATGAATATGTCATTAAATATGAGTATATTTTCGTATATTTTAATAAAATATTATAAATAATTGAATAATAGATCACCATTGAATATTGATGGTTAAATCAAGTTAAATCAATTTAAATATCCTGAAATTAATTTTTATCAACCCTGTTCGAGATAGTAAATTTGCTATTAAAAACAGCAGCCATCTTAAGAAAATGTTATTGAGAGTAGCTTCCCTTTCATTTCTATTCATATGAAAATGTATTTAAATATGATCGTCTTGTTGTATAGTCCGTATTACAAAGCATTTTTTTAAATGTGAATTTCCTAACAAACAACTTTATTAATTCTAGAAGCATTGTGAGATGCAACTTGTATCTATGTATTAATTCACGTTTTTTCTTACTCAGAGGCGTAGCGACCCTTCCCGGGACAAACTTTTCGATTTGCACCCCCCCCCCTCGAGATTTCGATTTGCACCCCCCTCAAACTTTCAATTTGCACCCCCACCCCCCTCGAGATTTCCATTTGCACCCCCCCCCCCCCCCCTCAAACTTTCGATTTGCACTCCCCTCAACCTTTCAATTTATTTTTCCAACATATGTCCCCCCCCCCCCCCCCCCCCCCGTCCCCCTCGCTACGCTACTGATCTTACTATTACTAAATAGTTGTGAGTTTTTTCTTATTGTTTGAATGTTCACTATTTTCATTTCAGGTTTTTCTTTACATCAGTTAGTAATTCTATCGTAACTTATGACATTTTTTTTTTACTTCTCTTTACCTTAATTAAACCCCAACCTCCGTCATATTTTTGTCGTCAATGTCACAACAAGTCATAATGTAAAAAATTACGCTTCACTCTGCCTTATCTAAGATCTCTAACCATAATTTTGACAACATTAAATGTTTGTCATCATTTACATATACAAAGAGACCAAATGTATTATCCACCAGCTTCCCTCGTAAAACATCATCTAAAACAATGAGCCCGTCCACCCCTTAAGCGCGTGTTGTCATTATGGTCGATCCCAAGTCTCCACCTGCCAGACACATTTTGGTTATCCTTTGTTGTCAAATCGTCAATATCAAGTACACAAGTGAGTGATATGGGGTTGTCCATAAATGATGTCACAATGATGTCACATATGATTTGCTACGGGAGTGAGTGAAGATTTGTGACGTCAACTCAGGCGGCTTTGCAATTTATGACGTGTCGGTCTCATGAAAGGAGGTGAACGGGGAAAAATACCTAGGTGATTGATGGAGAACCTCTATAATGCTTTGTTCAATCAAAATAACGATAAATAAGCATTAGTATACGTATACCTTGCTTAAAACACAAATGTCGCAAGCCTGCTAGTTTAAGACATTCGGCAAAACGTCCGCAACACATTATCCCCGTCAAAAAGGCTTGCCACCAAATGCCTGCCGACGAATAAGCCGTGTCTAATGCGGGGCGTTAGGAATACGGCCATTAGCATGGGCCACGTTAGAGCACCAGTAAGCTATCGCGCTTTGTAAGATGACGTAAATACTTAAATTCAATTTCGCTAAACTACGCGAAAATTTAGTAATGTTCCATCGTTTGAGGAAATTTATTTTCTTGGACTTAAATTGAAATATGTTGACTGTCTGGTCTGGCTCTTAATTTCCGAATATCACTTTTAATGTATCAAGATTCAGAACTATAATTTACTTTAATATAAGTGTCATCTTATCGTTTATTGTGGTTTTTAAAAAGATTCAGAACTATAATTTACTTTTATATAAGTGTCATCTTATCGTTTATTGTGGTTTTTAAAAAGCGCAGAGCAGCTACAAAATCGGACGGCCATCCTGTTTTCACCAAGCTTCTTTTGGAGCTTAATATGGGTAGTCTAGTTCTATACGGTGTGAGCTTAATACATTTTTAAAGGGCCGAAAGTCTCAAGACAGCAAGCTTGCAGAAATAACTACGTACGTTTAAATGGACGAGTGATAGATGTGTTAGGGGCTGTTTAATGAACACCAACTTATGTAATCAAACTAAACGTCGCGAAAGCGTCAAAAAGGCAGTGCTTATTGTTTTTTTTTTCTATAAAATTAGCCTAACAGTTGGCGGTACCGCTACATGACGTCACGTGCGAGCGTTAACTCGGTGACGATGTGCTAAGTGGGGGAATGAAAAAGGTAGGGTTCAAGAAATGCGACTCGGCAAGCTTTTGACATTTCTTGACCTTTCTTAATAGTTCTTTCGTCCCCACTGAGAAAATGGATCACCAATGAATGACGCGTCATACTTCTACAGCTGGTCTTTCTCCCACAACCATCCCGTTTTCACGAGAAAAAAAACCTGACCAGTCTCCAAAATCACATCGCTGAGTTCTACTCAACCTCTCCCCACCACAAATCACAATTTCTATCTGAAACAATATGTTCATATGTTTGCTCTGTAATAATGCACGCTGTCATTACTATCTTAAGAGCGACGTCATTTATGAGCGATCTAATATTGATTTGCTTACTGCAAATAAAGTGTTAAAAAGTTCGACCTCCCAACAATTGTTGTGGTCTTGGATGCACACTATTAAGTCTGATATGGTCTATTAGTCATTCATGTCAACTATATTTTTAAAAAAAGAAAAATTACTATACAGGGGGTCATCCATAAATGATGTCACGCTTTTTTTGACGATTTTTACCTCCCCCCCCCCCCTCGGCTCCGTCAAACGTAGTCACATAAAGCCAGACCCCCCCCCTAAAATGACGTCACACCTTAGCCTACACCCCCCCCCCCCCCCCTCAAAATTGCAGTTGAATTTTTTTTTAACAGCTATATTTTTCCAAAATCTTGTCTGAACTCTGTCAAAATAGAGTATTTTAATCAATTGTTATTACAATGTATTAAAACAGTTTTTTAAAACGCAAAATAACGTCTAAAATTCGTTTTGTAACATTGCTTTTTTAAAATGCAAAAGTGTGATGTCGCACCATCTGAACCCCTCCCCTCACACATAACGTCACAAAATTACGGGCCCCCCTCCCCCCTACGAGTGTGACGTCATTTATGGACGACCCCCGGCATATATTAAAACAATACAAAACAATCATATTAAACCACAAAATCAACACAAAAGACATGCGAATAGACAATTTATTGTTTTTAAAACATGGCCGCTGCTTGTATTTACTCATTGTTGTCTCGAACGGGGTAGTTTAAAGTTTATTCCAGGATATTTATGACTGGTTTGGTCTTGGATTGTGATTTGTTATTCAATTATCTGTTATATTATGTAAAATATGACATAAATATGGCCAAATGAAAGAAATATTCATTAGTTACCTTCATCGCACATTACTAGCTAAGTTGGAATTTACGACGCTAAACTAAGATTTTACCCTAGAATCTTATTTCTTAATCTTTCTTTAATTTTCTTATCTATCTAGATCTACAATCTAGATCTAGATCTATCTAATAATTAAAATATCTATCAGCTATCTAGATCTAGAATATAGCTAGATCTAGATAGAATCTAGTAAGTAGTAAGTAGTAGATAGTCTAGATCTAGATCAGGGGTCTCCAAACTTTTCAATCCGAGGGCAGCATTAACTATCAAATTTCAGTTCGGGGGCCAGTTTCTTCCAGGGATGTCTTTCGTTTTTTTGACCAAAGTTCCTCAGCTATCACCAACAAACGATTTTTTCCTTGGACATAAAGATCTCAGTGGGCCGTAGTTTGGAGACCCCTGATCTAGATCTAAAATTTCTAGAATCTATCTTCGGATGATATTTCGAGTCGTCCCTTTGAATCCCTGTAAGAACATACCCCCGTCATGGCCTCAACCAACAGGCAGGCTTGTTGCATTGAGTTAAATATAAACTCAAAACAATAATATAAAATTGACTCACCACTTAGAATCTTCTAACTTTAGGGGAAATATTTAGTACGCAAATGATCATCTATAGTTACTATACTATTACTACCAGATCTATTGGTCCTGTATATATACTTAATACTAGTTGATACAGAAACAATGAAAATGTTTTTCGGCTGACACTATTCGAGCCCTGTCGATACACTGCGCAGTTTTCAGACCGGTGTCCATATTATCACGGCTCATTAAATATTACTAGTAATTATGTGTGTACATTTTATGCTCCCTGTGTGTTGTTAATTTAAATCAATTAGTTAATCAGCACTCTTTCAATCAATATTTCATTGCCAGATTGTTTTACAAGAGGCATCAGATTTGGGTTTTGGTGGTCTTATTGCAAATGTTCCTTTTAATTTTTAATGCCATGTTGATAGTCTAATTACTAATTCGTTTTTATATCCTAATACAGAAACCTGCTGTGTGTGATAGTAAAAGCCTCGCTGCAACATGTCACCTCACCCAGAACAGGGAATATTCCCTGGCTCCGCAAACAGTTTCAGAACAGGTTACATATTCATAGTTTCACAAAAAAGAAGCTGTTGCTTAATGATGACTGTTTTTAAATTATCTGTTGTATTAAAATGTTAACAATAATGAATAAAAATGTATAAAGACTTGTGAAAGTTTTCATAACTAAGTAGCATATATTTTATCAGTCTGAGGCCTTGGCAAAGTATGGAGGAAGACACACAGTGACACTTATGACAGGAGATGGTGTCGGGCCAGAGCTTTTATCACATGTACAGGAGATTTTCAGGTACTGTTTTTCAATACACCCTGGTTTTAACTCTCTCAGTGCAATTTTTACTTGTATAAATATTGATATTTTATAATTGAATTTTACCCTTTAGCCAACATTTTCCACTGTCTTGAGGTGTATGGTATAAAATATTAAAAAAATTTCACTTTAGATATGCTGGTGCTCCAATAGACTTTGAAATAGTTGAGATAAATTCATCCACAAACACACCAATTGACATGCACAATGCATTGCTTTCTGTCAGAAGGAATGGAGTGGCATTAAAAGGTACTCTATTAGTTCTCACTTTAAACAAAAATATAACTATATTGCTTGGTTCTACAGTTATGTTATGACTAAGTTGGTATTTTAAATTTATTAAAGAATATTTGTTATCACGTTAACCTTTCATAAATATACAGCAATTTTTATGCTTAAAATTTTGCTTTTGTAAGGTAACATAGAGACTAAATTTGATGATCCTTCATTCAAATCTATGAATGTTGCTCTGAGGTAGGTTTATCTTTTTTGTGAAGGGTACGATTATTGACCTTTTTATTTCAAAATTATTAAAACAATTTAAGTTATATAAACAACGCTGTAAGCAGCCATTTAGGCTATTTTTAAAGAAATATGTTTGTTTTCTTAGAACATCTTTAGAGCTCTTTGCAAGTGTGGTCAAGTGCAAATCTATTCCTGGTATCAATGTAAGGCATAAAGATGTTGATTGTGTTCTCATAAGAGAGAATACAGAGGGAGAATACAGGCAGTTGGAACATGAGGTAATGGGGTCAGTTTTTTTCAATTTAACCACTAAGTCATTGATGAAAATTCTCAAATTAACCTCATACTTATACTAGGAGTAAAGACAGTCATCCAATTTTATTTTGTTATAATATGGTTGTCTTAAAAATGTCAATATCAATTCAATTGATTAACAATTTCAGCAGTATGATTGGTGTAATGAATAACAGCTGAAGTTGAGTGTCATTATCAATATAAATATGGGATTAAACAGTCCAAAACAAATTGTTTTCATACCCCACATACTACATGACAAAGCTAAACCTAAATCTGGCTTTTGAGAAAAAAAAAAAAATATCCCTGCACTATAATGTGAAATTTTAACTTGTTTGCTATTAAATATTTAAGTTGGCATAAACATTTGTTCTTTATTGCACTCAAAAAAATAATTTTTTTTGGTAATATATTACTCGCATGGATAAAACTTTATGAATATTTATAAAAACTGACCTGTATAATTGTATCTAACCTTTTATGCTTTTACAGAATGTTCCAGGTGTTGTTGAAAGCTTAAAAATTATCACAGCTGAGAAAAGCACAAAAATAGCAAAATTTGCGTTTGACTATGCAGTACGTCATGGTCGCAAAAAAGTTACAGCCATTCACAAAGCTAATATTATGTGAGTTTTCATTTAAAAATATATGATACATTTTTGTAACTATTTTTAATAATTTTTTTGTAGACCTATTGTGATGGAGGCTTTACCTATATAAACTATATACTATATATCCTTTTATATTATTCTACATTGTCTTTCTTAGTGGTGAGGATGGAACCTTTCTTCTTTCTATGCGTAACAAACAATATAACACGTTCAAGAAGAACAATACTATACAATACATTAATTTCACTGAATGTCAATTACACCATAATAAATAAAGTGTCCTATTCCCACTATCTCTGTAGTCATATCTTCTAAGTCAGCGCTATTTTTGTCATGTCATGCTCACATTATACACATTCTATCAACTTACTAAAACAACCACATATACTCTTTCACCATATTGTCTACTGTCAATAAGAACTAGCTCTAAACCACCCTGATTAATGAATTCCTTACTCTACTGTTAAGTCCAGTCATACATAAATCTACCCTAAGACACCTATGTTGATCAAAACAAAGCATAAATATTTTCAAAACAGAAACGTTCTTAATTTTACTCATCCACAATGATTCAACTGTACATATTGTATCCTTAAAGACATACAGTGTAAACTAGTTTTAGTGAGTCAGGCCAAACTTAACCTCACAACTCATGATAACATAAATTTTTCTGATAATTTAGTAGCTTTATTTTCGCAGTCTTTACACAGATAAGTTTTATTACATAATAAATTGATTTATTTTTCTCTTGACTTAGGAAACTGGGTGATGGCCTGTTCCTGGAGTGTTGTAGAGCTGTGGCTAAAAGCTACCCCGACATAGAGTTCAATGATCTCATTATTGACAATGCCAGCATGCAAGTATGTCATATTTCTTACACATATTTGGCCTAAAAACATGTTTCTATTACCTTAGTTCTGTTTTCATCAATTAGTTACTATAATTTATAAATATAAAGATACAGCAATTTAATTTCTTGCTAAATGTTGTTTTCTATAAAAAAGTTTGATGGTTAAATGTTTTATGTGTTTTGTAGCATAATTGTAATTTTATGTTGAATTTTAACATGGGAGGGTCTATGTGCACCCAAGTACTGACCCCCTCAATCCACATGTGTTCACAAAAGTTGAATAAGTGGATGACCCCGCACAAAAGTTGAATAAGTGGATGACCCCGGTGTGTTGTTCCATTATAAAGCTTTACTAATGTTGTTTCTTTAACAGATGGTGGCTCGTCCTAGTCAGTTTGATGTTTTGTGTATGCCTAATTTGTATGGAAACATACTCAGTAACATCGCCTCTGGATTAATTGGTGGTGCTGGACTAGCAGCTGGAATGAATCTTGGAGATAAATATGCTGTCTTTGAATCAGTATGCCTTTTTTTAACAACTTTTGTGTCATCAGCTATTCTATGCCTTATCTTATAAAAAGCTGTCAACAACCACAATAAATTGTTTAAATAACAAAAATGTTTATTAAAATAAACATCAATTTGTGACATAAGAGCTATATTTTTAGGGTACTCGCAAAAATAAACATCAATTTGTGACATAAGAGTAAGAGCTATATTTTTAGGGTACTCGCAAAAATAAACATCAATTTGTGACATAAGAGTAAGAGCTATATTTTTAGGGTACTCGCAAAAATAAACATCAATTTGTGTCATAAGAGCTATATTTTTAGGGTACTTGCAAAAATAAAAATCAATTTTTGACATAAGAGCTATATTTTTAGGGTACTCGCAATTCTGGGCGATCAATGAGAGGTAAAAATATTGCTAACCCAACTGGAATACTTTTTGCTAGCTGTGACATGTTGGATTACTTAGGGTATGTATCAAGAGATTGCTAGAATTTACTTCAGGTTAATCCTAGTTTTATCATCTTTTATATAATAATATTAATAATAAAATTACTTTTAAAATTACTTTTCCCCTAGGCATTTTGAACATGCTAAACTCATTCGTGACTCAGTGATGACAGTACTTACAGAGAAAGAGGTATTACATTCTGTTTCTTTATAAAGTTTTATAATTTCTTTCAAATTCTTCTCATGAGATGACATTAAGCTGCTTTTTATTTTTAGATCAGAACTCCAGATATCGGAGGTAACGCCACCACATTGGATGTTGTTAAGGCCATTATAGATGATGTCAAACCAAAAACTTTAGCTTGGTAAGTTCCTGGTAAACATAGAACAAAAATGTGGTGCATTTTGAGGCTTTCAGGCGGTGTGAATTTTATTTCATTTTTTTTAAAGCGTGCTTTGGCTTGCCATATAATGAATTCTAAGGCTACCAGAAAAATTCTCTTGCAAAAACATTTTGAGTTTCATTATTATTTTTATGTGAGTTTGATTTCCAGTCCCTCATTTTTTAAATGAAATTTTGAAATTCTATACACTGTCCATTAAGCTTTCAAACTCATGATTTGCTTCTTGTATTTGTGCTTGTCGTGTTCCTATGCTTACCTCAGAGTTGAATAGACTGATGAAAACATTTATTTATTCATCAGTCAGATTTATCTGAGGAGACAGAATCAAATTTAAAAATTCCTGTTTTTATTCTGCACTTTATATTATTCCAGTTTGATAAATTGGCTGGGAATAATTTATGTATCTCTATTCATAATCACCCAACAGAGGAATGGGGCTAGCATATAATCTAATTAAGAATATATAAATTAAGTCCATAAACCTACTTACAGTACATTGTTTAAATGGTTCCCAGTGATCGAAATTAATGTCAGGGCAAATTACACTCAACTGAAGTTGTTAATGTTTAAAACAAATTTGAAAATGTGTTCCATTTATGATTTTTATATCTCTCCAATCGTAAAAGAAATTTTCTCACAGTTAAACTTATTGCAAAAACCTGTTGAGTAAGGTTGAGTCTCTGACAACAACATAATTTTCTTGGTAGCAACAAAAAAAAATCTGTCTTGAAGTTTACTCTGAATAAACCAAAATAGAGCAAGAGCTAGAACACTTTCAGCATTGACCTGAGTATGATTTACTGTGGTCTTTTTGTGTAGTGCATTAATTGTCCCATAGTCACTTGCCAGTGTGATATACATGTTTTCTAGTTTTTCATCAATAGTTATTGTGTTGTTTCATTTCTTAATAGATAAGCATGCTCAGTTTAATTATTTTTTTTTGTTTTGAACTTCATTTTGAACAAACCAGGAGCTATTGAGACGAGCATGGTACACATTTCACTTAAAATAGTTTTCTGGGTTTTTTTTTTCATTTTGTGTGAGTAAATCTAATCATTTATACCTACTTTTGTGAATTGTGCTATGTTTTTCTTGTCATTAAAGTAGTCTAGTTGAAACAACTATACTTATTTGTATTGAAGTATCTAACAAACTAAATTCTGTTCCTTTTATGGAAATAGAAAGTTTCTTATATTTGTAAATGAACTAAATTTATAATTTGACTTATTGTGCTCTTGCCTGCATTTAAAAATCTGTTGTACAGTTAAAATACAAAAAAAAAAGAAATCCTTGATTTCTTGAGGTTTTTACAAACTGCAAAAATGAAAATTATTTTTGAAGTAATTGAAAAACGATAACAGAAATTTGTATTTAACAGAAAGACATATCTAATTTACTAAAACTTTTTTTTTTTAGAATTTTTAGCTGTAGTCAAATAAAAAATGAAATGACAAATTACTTTCTGTTTCTATAAAACATGCCTGACACTACTAACTTCTAACAATTATGTGTTTAGCCTCATCAGTGTTCAGAAAAGTAAGTATTGTTTCAGTGTAAACTTACAAGTTTTAGTATTGTAGTTGTCCTAGAATATTGCCTGTGTTTATTATAATCATGAATGGCCATGTTTTAACTTTTGACTATTCTAAGGTGAGATGATAAGTGTTCTATTTATTTTTTATATCTCATACATCAATCAAGCCCATAATTCAATCAACATCATCTCACTATTCGCAGCTTCCTTTAAATTATACATGTATAATTTAAGTATTTAGTGTCAAGTATTTGATGTTAAATGTTACATTCTTTGAATGTTAATTTAAAAGCAAACCTAAAAAAACTACACATGCTTGCAAAATTTTAGTTGCATATGCAAGGCTTAGAGTAGTTTGAATGTCTTACATTAAAAATTAGCATCACAAATTATTAGTGTAGTTGCAGGTGCACCAAACACAAATAAGTATTGCTAATGCTTAATTCAACATAAATTAGCAACACTCTTTGAAAACATGCAATGTTATTTTATCTCTGTGAAAAATAAGAGTATATTATAATAGGCAGCTGCAATGTTGCTGTTCGTAGAAATGTTGCTTTTGTCTTTCTCAACCTGTCATTTGCTGTCATGGTGTTATTGTTGATCCCTCTTCATTAAATATTTTAACATTATTGCAAAGTAACTCAGAAAATTACTTTTAAAATACTAACAGTTCTGGTATGCAAAATAAATATTACTGTTTAAAGAAAGAAAAAGATTATTTAATTTTTATGCTTGTTTTAAATAATTATCTAGTTTAGACTAAAGCAATAATACATTATTTTTTTCATAACAGCTTAACTTAAAACATACTTCAAACATTGTTTCTTACATTATTTTAATTATTGATTTGTTTCTTTTGATTGCATGTTTTTTTCTTTTTTCCAAAAAATGGAATAACACTAGATGTACTATGTCTATAACTTTGTTGTTGTTGTGGACCTATTTATTTTTAGTTGAAATATCATATATTAGATCATTACTGACATTTTAAATTCATGATCAGTCCATAAGCATTAATTTATATTTTAATGTAAATTGTATAAAAATTTAAAATGAAAGTACAACATTTTAATAATATTGCATTACTAGTATTACTCATGAGCTACTAATTACACATGAAAACTTAAGCTCTAATTTAAGAAAAGTTTATTTCATTTTAGAGAGATTTTAATTGTTTTACCATCAAATTACTATTTAATATTATAATTTCTTTCCCCAGAAGATGTGTAAATATTGTTAGGGTTGAACATCACCAGAGAAATCACAACTCATTATTTGAATATGTCATATTGATACCAAGTGAACATTTCAGGCATTGAATCAAATGTTCTTTTCATATCTGTAAAAACATGCATTAGTTACAATAAATTATGTATATTACTAATACACTAAGAAAATATTTACTTAGTTTTATATGTTTTATATTGAGACTGATTGTTTAATAATTATAGTGTAATTAAAAAATGGTTCCAGCCTGGCTTTATTTAACATTGAAAACTGCCAGATCTTAAATCATGTTGTCTTGATGGTATAACTTTCAAGTGTAAGTTATTGATTAATTTATTTTCTTATATACATCATTCTTTGAGGAAAATACAGCACCATAGGAAATGAGTATCACTGTTGCTAGTCTTTCAATATCCAAATATGCATGTGTGTAGTCCTCAATTTAAAATTAAAAAAAAAATTATTACATTTTGTAATAATTTTGACCTAGATACTCAAACAATTTTTGTCATTGTTCCATCAATTCAATGACAATAAAAAGTGTAAGAATAGAACAATGCCAAAGGAGACTAGAGTAACTGGTGTTCTCTAAGCCCTGGTGAACTACTGAGTCTGTTAACTGACAGTTGGCTGAGGTAACTCTCCCTACATCAGCTCAGACATCAGCTATCTCTGGATGTTACTGAGAGTATTTATTAACTGCACTGTCCTGTTATGTCCAATGGATGGCCTAAATACATATGCAATAATTGCTGAAGCTTTGTAACTAACACATGTCCAAGGATAAATGTATTGCTCAAAATTATTTTAAATGGAATCTCACACACAATGTCTTGAATATAAAACTAAATTAAAAACCTAACAAACATGTGTTTCTTTTTCCTTTCATGAAAGTTAATGTTATAGTGCAATTGATGTTTACCTCCTGTTAGTTCAGGCAGTAATGTGGGTGCAAGTTGTGATCCTATTCTTTATTACTAATCTACTTGTGTTGCTAGTGTGTAAAAATATAAATGGGAAGCAGTAATGTGGATACAAGTTGTGATCCTATCCTTTATTACAAATCTGCCTGTGTTGCTAGTGTGTAAAAATATAAATGGGAATGAAACAATACATTGTTCAACATACAGATTTGGACCTTTGAATGTGTCACATCAGCTTGAGATCTGAATGGGCTACATCTGTTTGATATCTGGAGGAGCCTAAATTTGCTCTAAATGTGCTGACTCTGTTTTGTTTAGTTACTGAATTAACAGGTTATTTCCCATTGTAATAACATGAAGCTACCCCAGGTTATACAATCATTAACACCTTTCATGCACTCAGTCTAGCAGGAGAAAAGTGTGGCATTAAGTTTGTATTTTGTTTTGAAATTTGAGTTTTCATTAGATGAAAGCAGATAGTTTTCACCTCAAGGACCTTGCAACAATATGGGATCTCTTTACTCCTGTCGCCCCCTCCCTCCACCACCACCATATGGAACGGCGTGGCCTAGCTGTGCAGCGCTAGACTGCTAACCCGATAGTTTTGAGTTCGAATCCGGGTTCAAGTTAGTGGAACGTCCCTGAGTCCACCCAACTCTGATGGCTACCTAACTCACGTTAGGGAAAGTAAAGGCGGTTGGGCATAGTGCTGACCACATTATCCCTTTATATGCCAAGGTCAAGAAACATATGGACTCCACTTCATCTGCCAGACGGATCGTTAGGTCTAAAGAGGAATACATGTTCACTTGATTTTATATTAAACTTCACTAGTTGTATTTCTAAGGGAGCAAGCAAGCCTATGTAGGTTCATATATATATATATATATATATATATATATATATATATATATATATATATATATATAGCGTGCTAACAACAGAGAAAACAATACTACACCCAACTGTATTATTAACACTTAACAGACTAAAGATAAACATTGTTACTATTAAGTCTGCAGTAATAAAAGCTTATACACATATATGCATGCATATATTTAAATAATAGGCCTATGTAGGCTCACATATATATATATATATATATATATACATATATAAAATATAGGCGTAAACATTATATATAATATATATATATATATAAATATTTTAAATATACACTTTGTTTCTTTGGATGGGGGTGGGGTTGATACACCCAACCTAGCGACGCCACTGAGCATTCTATAGAATAGATTTTAAATCTATTGAGAACTAGTTGGAAAATGTCGTGGTTTAATAAATAAGCATAAAAGTGAAGCATTTAGACCCTTAGCTATATACATTTAGTTGATCTATATCTAGATGCGGTTAGGCTATTTTTGTGTAGACTAGGCCCCTAGATTCTAGATTGAGATTTTTCCGAAAGGGCTATTACTCTTGCAAATCGGAATTTCCGAGAAATGACGACACGGCCATGACAAATGTTGTGGTTCTGGATGAGATTCAGGTTGTCAGTCGTAGTGCAGAAATAGAAATGGATTATCGCTAAATCAAGCTTTTTAATAAATTTACCTTGAAGGTAAAACATAGTTTGGTTATCGCATATTTTGATATTAATGTTCAATTAGATCTAGAAATAAATAATCATTCTTTTTCTTGCCTTTTAATTTTTAAGTTAATGTTTTTTGGTTGTGTTTTCTGAGTTTTTCTTAATTTTTGCTCTCTGAACTCTGGCTTGTGACTAGGTAGACATTAAGTTAACTATAATTAGTATTAATTAGACGTCTAGATCTTGATCTATACTACTAGATCTAACTATCTATAGAATAGAACTAGATCTAGTAATGAATCTATAGTAATGATTCAATTACTCAATGAGTCAATGAGTCTCTTACTATTTTACTAATAAATTTAATAAATGATTAAAATTCAAAAAAGCTGGCTGCTAAAATCTAGTAACTAGTTGTGTTAGAAGATTACATTTTTAATAAAAATGTAATCTTCTAACACAACTAGTTACTAGATTTAGCAGCCAGCTCCTTGATCTAGAATAAACTCTGCTAGACTTAGAGAGTAACACTAGTAACAGTACTAACAGTACAGACTCTAACACAACAGTAGACTACAGATTCTAGATAATACTTTCTAGCTATGATATATTAATTAATAATTATGTAATCTATCGTTTTATCGTCCGAAACTAGTAATGTGAAAAAAGGTGATTCATTAAATTTTAGCAATAATTTAACATTTTTTGGGTTTATGTTTGTTTCGAAAGTTACAAAAATGTTTCAAAGTTTCATTCATGTACCATACCTGTTTTTAAACAATTGTATTAAAACTTTTCAGTAATAAATAAAGACTAGCGATGTTTTTTCAGATGCAACCAAGCTCATTTACTTTAGCAGCCATATGCTTTACTTCTTTTGGTAAAATTTAAAAGTTAGAGATTCAGGGGAAACCACTCTAATTTACAGATGGCAGCTGTTTATATATTATATAGCAAATCTTGCTCGCAAACACTGTTGTTTAAAGTTAATGTCTGGCGTATATTGATATATTTAGCCATTGGTTTTGGTTTATTATTCAGTTATCTATAACATTTGACATAAATATATCACAACTTTTTTTCACATTACTAGCCTCGGCTGATTTTACGCACCTAAATCGATAGATTACCATAAATTATATAATATATAGTCTAGTTTGAATCCATTAGATATTTGCTTCCATTTTGAGTCATGTGAATTTCACAATTTTTTTGTTTGCTGTTATTCCTGAAAAAGTGACTACTTTACTTTTATCTTCTCTCTATATATAATTCTCTTCTTGGAGACCATAGAAAACACCGAACTGTAAGCGCACTCCCTACCACCCCCACCCCTACATGGTCTGGTGAGCTGTGGTTCATGCTAAATGTTTACAATTGTAAAGCTGGGTTTAGTGACGGCTATTAGGGGCAGAACATTTTGTTTGAAACGATTTTAAAGTTAGGGGAGGTAACTAAGAGGAGTTTGCTTTCATGGGGGGGGGGGGGGGTTAGGGGAAAGGAGGGGGGTTATCGTCCTTAACGAGCTACTGATAGTGTTTTAAAGCAAATATTTTTAGTGGCAGCATTGGTACTGTCGAATTCACAAATTATAATTACTGAAAAGTAGAAAATAAAACAACTAATTAGCGGCGTATGATACGCTGCGGGTCGGCTTGTTATAACAATATAAATTGTATAGCCTAATTGTAATTTCTTCTCTCTTGATACCTGATAACTAGCATATTTGTAGAGAGAAAAAAGTAACATCCCCTGTACTGGCAATGTTTAGAGAGAACAAAACTTCTGAACATTGCGATGGAAACAATAATAAATAACAAATGATTTGAAGGAACATGCTATTTTGCCTGATATTTTTGTTTTTATTAATTTAAAAATGGTAATTGGATTATGACCTACCAAACTTAAGGATGCATAATTATTAATTGCAAAAACATTTCTTAATTAATCCTTTATGTATCAGAAATGAGCATATTATTAGAGCTATTCCTAGTCAACTGGGTATAGCATGATTTAATTTATTGTGTAATTATTTGTAAATTGCAATAATTTATATTTAAAAAAAACAAACATTTTTTAAATTTCTAATAAATTGGGATAATTTATATATTGTTTTTATTAGGTGTGATTATTATTTTGGAGACACGTTTGAATGGGTGCCTTCATGTACAGTCACTGAGAAGTTCTATAGTGCTGACTAGCAGGTATTCTGTTCACTGAATAACAAACAAGATGAGTATAAGAGGATCTCAGACCTTTGTGTGGGACACAAATAAAATGCTTGGCCAGGGGGCAACCAGCATGGTTTACATGGGGAGAAATAAGGTAAATAATTGGCTTCAGTGATTGTAATAATAGTTTAGAATAATTGGCTCTAGTCAATAACTCAACGTCTGTGACTAAAACAGCATTCATCATAAAAAATGCATTATTTTATTTTTATTTCTAAGGTTTGTGGTGTATTTGATTGAAATTTCAGTTAGAATATTTTATTAATGTAAATTGTTTCAGAAAACTGGGGATGAAGTGGCAGTGAAAGTTTTTAACCCGCAGAGCTATCATAGGCCCTTTCCAGTGCAAATGAGGGAGTTTGAAGTGATGAGGAAACTAAGCCATGACAACATTGTTAAGCTTTTAGCTATTGAAGAGGAGGTAATGATGACAATGTGGGAAAAATTAAAATAGAAGATATACTTAACTACGTATATCCTCTATTTTAACTAGCTATCAGACTTTTTGTTATGTGCATTGTTATGTCAATGTTCGTCTCTCAGTTTTTCAAAAACTGTTTATTTTTTTATCCAACAAGCTACCAAGTCGTGCCAAAGTTATTGTCATGGAGTACTGCACCCATGGCAGCCTTTACAATTTGTTGGATTTGCCGGAAAACAATTTTGGTCTTTCAGAGGAAGAGTTTGTCAATGTTCTTAAGCAAGTCAGTAAGTAAACACTTGTGTGCAACCACTGGATACCTGGTGGAAGAGAAATAAAGTTTTGAAATGTTTTTAATAATATAATAAATGTTTTACTGTTATTAAAAGCTTTTTAAAAATATGTCTTTTACTTTACAATTTTAAAGTTTTTTGTTTCCTTCTTTGTTCGAAACTGAAATATTGAAGGGGATTACCATCAACAAAATTAAGCATTACATGTCAACATGTTATATACCATATGACCTGTTGACTCCGACTTCAGTCTCTATTTCGTCCTGGATTTGCTCCAGCCTTTGTCCACCCAAGAATAGTCTGAATGGCAGCGGTTGTTTGATTTTGGAGTTTTCTCTCCTAGATGGGTTGTTGTTCCTAGTTAATTAATGACCCTCATCTTACAGGGGTCCAAACTTGGGACCTTTAGAACATTCACTTTTTGGGTAGAGCAAAAGGTCCTGTAGTATGGACATTAGCTTAATAATATTAAGATGAGTTTGGTTTAAAATATAAAATCACCTTTTCAAAGTAGATGTTTTTGCTACCATTATGTTTTTAAAGCACAAAAATTATTACTTGAATCATGGTTAAAAATTTCAAACCATCTTTTTAAAGCTGCTGGAGTGAAACATTTGAGAGATCAGGACATCATCCACAGGGACATCAAACCAGGAAACATTCTGAGATCTGTGGCACCCGATGGCACGTAAGCAAAACTTTTCTTGTTTCCTTGCTTGAGATTTTTCATATGGGATTTTATCATTTTATTGCGTATTTAATTTTTGACTGTGCAAAGAAAAGGGAAAACCAGAAAAGTAAGCTTTTATCAAGAATTACACAAAACTAGCTAATTCATATTCATTAATGTAGTACAATGTAAAAGTCATTTTGATGTTTTCTTTAAAAAGAACCTCCCCCCCTCCCCCAAAGAAGTACCTATTAAACTAATTACAGTTTCACTTGTACAGAAAGAATCTTCAGAATTCCTTCTCCTTTTTCAGATCTGTATTTAAACTAACAGATTTTGGAGCTGCCAGAGAACTTCAGCAAGATGAAGAGTTTGCTTCTCTTTATGGGACAGATGAATATTTGGTAGGTATAACATGTCAATAGCCCAGTTTACATAGTTAAATGCTGTGTCAACCACTGCATTTTAGTTTTAACTACATATTAATTTTACACAAAAAATTGTAATTGAAATGTAAAAAGTGTAATGATTTCTTTACTGCCTACTCTTGCATATAATTCTGATAACACCTTCAATTGCTCTTACAGCATCCTGATATGTATGAAAGAGCTGTGTTAAGGAGGCCCTTAGGCCAGCACTTTGGTGTTTATGTTGATCTGTGGAGTCTTGGCGTGACCTTCTACCACGCTGCCACTGGGAACTTGCCTTTCAGACCCTACGGTGGACGACGGAATAAAGAAACCATGTAAGTTGCCATATTAATATTTTATGATCAAACATCGCACACAAAAATAAATAAAAAGGAAACCAAAGGCCAAATTATGAGCCTATAACATTGCTCTATATCACCCACCCCCAATTCATATAACAACATAACAAAGTGATCAATTACACCCTTTACCTTTTTCTTGTTATATATTATGAGCATGATGATAGTTGTTAAAAACATGAAATAGATAAAGATGGTGAAGTGTTCGCTCAAAGCTAAAATGACTAAAAATGTATTGTACCAGGCACATGATCACAGCCAAGAAAGAGCATGGAATTATTTCTGGTGTTCAAGAGCAACAAAATGGACCAATCAGATGGGAGAGAGATCTACCTCTTACATGCAGACTGTCAAAGTAATTACAGCATTTGCATTGGCTAGAAATTATATAAAGCTTTTACTGCTTACATTTATGAGGGTAAAGAAAGCTTAACTTGAGCTCTCCATTTGTGAAAGTAAATAAAGTTTCTGTTACCTGAACTTGTCATTTTCTGAGTGTAAAAAAGAGTGCTATATTGTAATATTATTAGTAAACAGCAGCCTTAGAAACAGTGTCAGAAAATTATGCATGGTATATTAGGGTTGTTAAACATTTTGTTTGGTTTTAATCCAAGGGATTTAATTTACTGATCCAATTGTATTTTATTTTTAACATAGGTTATTGAATTTATTGATTAAATTCTGTTATGTTTTTAACAGGGGATTGAAGTTGCTGATAAAATTATAATTGTTTTTAACACAGGAGATTGAAGTTAGTGATAAAATTATAATTGTTTTTAACACAGAGGGTTGAAGCTACTGATCACTCCATTCTTGGCCGACCTGTTGGAGAAGGACCAAGCAAAGACAATCACTTTTGATGAATACTTTTCTAAAGTTCACGACATAACTTCACGCATTCCCTACGATGTGTTCTGCCCAACCACATTCTCACTCATCACAGTCTACACAAGACTAAAGGATGAGTAAGTATTTTTCTCCATACTTATAACACATACAATTCTGTATCTAACAGATAACTTTATCTAACAAATAACTGTAATGAATATATTTAAGTTTATTAGTTAGGGTCTGCAAGTGCAGTTTCTCTAGTGTCCTTAATAAATCTTATGTTAAACAAACAATATGAATTCAATAAAGTTTAAAATTTGATACAACTACAACCTTAATAAATCTTATGATAAACAAACAATATGAATTCAATAAAGATTAAAAATGTAAGACAGCCACAGCCTTAATAAATCCTATGATAAACAAACAATATGAATTCACTAAAGAATAAAAATGTAATACAACTACAACCTTAATAAATCTTATGATAAACAAACAATATGAATTCACTAAAGAATAAAAATGTAATACAACTACAACCTTAATAAATCTTTTGATAAACAAACAATATGAATTCAATAAAGATTAAAAATGTAATACAATTACAACCTTAATAAATCTTATGATAAACAAACAATATGAATTCAATAAGGAATAAAAATGTAATACAGCTATAACCCTGCAAAAGTTTTCAATCCTTAAATAATTTATTTAATATCGTTTAGTTTAAAACATTTTTTTAGTGAAGCTAATCTGATACTTTATGTAGAGTTAACTAAAGGATTTATTTAAACCTGACAAAGCAGTGTTTTATTTAGGAATCATGATGCCAGCCCAATAACCCACCCTTTCTTGCTTTATTAATTTAACTTAACATCCTAACAACTGTATATCAATAAATAGCAGTTTGAAGAACCACGGCAATACAATTTTTATTTTTTGTTTTTACACTATATTTTGCATTTGATTTAGAACAAATTACACGTCACCTCAACCACTAAATGTATCAAAGGGATTAAGGAGTTGGTATATGTAAATTTAATGTGCTGCCAAGATGTGCGTCATTATTCTACCCACGTGGTGAATAATCTTGTTTTACCTGTGTAGCATGTCCCAGCTTCGCCAACTGATCACAGAACAGACAGACATACCTGGTGGTGCCCAGCTGCTGCTGCATGATGGGAAGGTTCTGACCCATGAGTCCAGAGACCCTGTGTCCAAGTACCTGAAGCACATCACACCAGACAACCCCATCTTTGTCTTCAACAAACTGCCAGAATTCAAGAAGTTTGTCAAGCCTGTGTATGGTAAGTAACTCTCTGATATTGAAGGTATTAAAAAACTAATTCACTAGAACTAAAAGTAGCTTTCTGCCTTAGTAATTAGATAGCAAAATTTAAAAACCCAAAGCTTGACATTTCAGTTTTAAGGTAAACTAATCAACAGTGCTGGTTAAACTAAAAAAATATTAATCATGTATCTATTGGTATATTAACGTATATTAACTTGTAATGCAATGTAATGGCTTGCAGGCTTATTCAAGGACATACCAACAGAAACCAATGTGGCTAATGACTATCCCCTTGCAAAGAAAAACTTTGCAGCTCTCTACTCTGTGAGAAATGCTGTAAAAAAACTGGTTCACAATGACATGTTGGTCACCAAGGCAGTCAAGATGTACAGGTAATTAGATTACTTTTTCCCATTACCGTGTTCACAGTGATATAATAATAAAGGCTGATGCAGGTAATTAGATCCCTTTTTCCCACAACTGTGTTCACAGTGATATAATAATAAAGGCTGATTCCGGTAATTAGATCACTTTTTCCCAAAACCTTGATCACAGTGACTTAAATTACAAAAGCTCATACATGTTATTAGATCACTTTTTTCCAAAACCTTGATCACAGTGACTTAACAACAAAAGCTCACACATGTTATTAGATCACTTTTCCCCTAAGCCTTGTAAATATTGACTGTTAACAAAGGCTGATAACAGTATGAAGACATCACCCTTACACTTGTTATGTCTCCAGCAACTATGTGCATGAAAAAAGTAGCCACCTAGAGCACACAACCTTCCATGTGACCCGCCTGTGTACTGACACCAAAGCCTGGATAGAGCAGCTGTTTGCCTCAGTTGGCCTGCAGGTGGGCATGTTCAGGGCCCTGGCCAACAGCGGCCTCAAGGCAAAGGTCACTGATGTGGTCAGCCAAGTCAACATGCTGCAAACTGTCCACCAGACAGGCAAGAGGGAGTGTTTACAGATTAATTCAACGGTAAGAGAGCTTGGACTTATGGCTGGTCATATTTGTTGAAATTTAATGGCTAGAAACCAAGATTTTCTGTCTAGGCAGTGTTTTAAATTAAATGGCTAGAGACCAAGATTTTCTGTCTAGACAAGTGTTTTAAATTAAATGGCTTAGAGACCATAATTTCTGTCTAGACAGTGTTTTAAATTAAATGGCTAGAGACCAAGATTTTCTGTCTAGACAGTGTTTTAAATAAAATGGCTAGAGACCAAGATTTTCTGACTAGACAATGTTTTAAATTAAATGTCTAGAGACCATGATTTCTGTCTAGACATTGTTAGAAATCAAAAGAAAAAAATATTTTGAAAACCAACACACACTTTTAAATAAATTGCAAATGTAAGCATTTTGGTAATATTTTTTATGTTGTTGTAAATCTTCGAGTCCTCAACTTGTTAACTGTAAATTAAAAAAACAATACAATTTTATCTAGTTTTATGAGGTTTGAAGGATGATAAAAAATGTTTTTTTAAAAAAAATGTAACAGCTACAAACAAAACTAGACAAGGCCACAGAACTTCTCCAGTTAATAAAAAGTGGGCACATCATTGATTCTGACTGGGACCCCAGTAAAGGCTGTATGCCAGCAGATCGTTGGTTTGTTATTTTCTTTCATTGACTCTCTAGACCTTAAATATGTACTATGCTTTCTTTATTAAAATTTTTGAAAAATAAAATACTTTGATATACACTCTAATAATAAATAATTTACTGTAAAACTACTTTAAAAAAATCAGCATTAATTTAAGCTGTTTATAAATGAATATATCTAAAACTGCATTTAAAAAAAAATAATTAAATTCTTGCTTGGCTTAACACTACCTAAATTACTGAATTAGTTTTGTTAATTGGAGGTTGATGTGATGCTATAGCAACTGTTCTTTGTCTCTGTACAGTATTGAAAAGATTGATAACATGATCCAGCGAGTTCAAAAAATCCTCAACTCTTTTCGTGAAGACCGATCTAAAGTCACCCTAAATAACAATGATGAACAGATACACAGATTTGATAAGTAAGTTCTTAATTGGAATAGTTTAATTGCTCTTAGTAAATGATTATTAGCTTATACATGGTAGATTTAATTGTTTAATAGGTTAAAGTAACTCTGCTATATAATGTGATGAGATATTAACTTTTTATATTCTGGTCTTAAAGCAAAAGTTATACTAAGGAAGTAGTTTTAACACAGAGTTGATTAAATTCTGCACTTTGGGATGGTTCTTTAATGTTTTTGTTATTGATGTGAAGTCTATACAAAAACTTTTGGGGAGTAACTTTATAACATGGCTAAACTAGGTCCACAATTTCTTTTAGTTCTTTTACCACACTAAGGTCATGACAAAAACCATTGTTTACCTACTGCAACTCAACAACCATTTGTTTACCCTCTGTAACCTAGCAACCATTTGTTTTCCCACTGTAACCTAGCAACCATTTGTTTACCTCCCACAGAAACAAGATGAAGGAGCTGTGTATTACAGCCACAACACTGGTGGATGATGACTGCACTAAGAATGCTCAGCAACTGTTTGTGGCCTTTAGACAGTTTTACGCGTGAGATATTTGTTACAGCATGCCATAGACAGGTCTTTTGTTAGATGGGGACAGGTCTTTGTGAGATGGTGGACAGGTCTTTGTGAGATCGTGGACAGGTCTTTGTGAGATGGTGGACAGGTCTTTGTGAGATGGTGGACAGGTCTTTGTGAGGTGGTGGACAGGTCTTTGTGATATGGTGGACAGGTCTTTGTGAGATGGTGGACAGGTCTTTGTGAGGTGGTGGACAGGTCTTTGTGAGATGGTGGACAGGATGGTGGACAGGTCTTTGTGAGGTGGTGGACAGGTCTTTGTGAGATGGTGGACAGGATGGTGGACAGGTCTTTGTGAGATGGTGGACAGGATGGTGGACAGGTCTTTGTGAGATGGTGGACAGGTCTTTGTGAGATTTTGGACAGGTCTTTGTGAGATTTTGGACAGGTCTTTGTGAGATGGTGGACAGGTCTTTGTGAGATGGTGGACAGGTCTTTGTGAGATGGTGGACAGGTCTTTGTGAGATGGTGGACAGGTCTTTGTGAGGTGGTGGACAGGTCTTTGTGAGATGGTGGACAGGTCTTTGTGAGGTGGTGGACAGGTCTTTGTGAGATGGTGGACAGGTCTTTGTGAGATGGTGGACAGGTCTTTGTGAGATGGTGGACAGGTCTTTGTGAGATGGTGGACAGGTCTTTGTGAGATGGTGGACAGGTCTTTGTGAGATGGTGGACAGGTCTTTGTGAGATGGTGGACAGGTCTTTGTGAGATGGTGGACAGGATGGTGGACAGGTCTTTGTGAGATGGTGGACAGGTTTTTGTGAGATGGTGGACAGGTCTTTGTGAGATGGTGGACAGGTCTTTGTGAGGTGGTGGACAGGTCTTTGTGAGATGGTGGACAGGTTTTTGTGAGATGGTGGACAGGTCTTTGTGAGATGGTGGACAGGTCTTTGTGAGGTGGTGGACAGGTCTTTGTGAGGTGGTGGACAGGTCTTTGTGAGATGGTGGACAGGTCTTTGTGAGGTGGTGGACAGGTCTTTGTGAGATGGTGGACAGGATGGTGGACAGGATGGTGGACAGGTCTTTGTGAGGTGGTGGACAGGTCTTTGTGAGATGGTGGACAGGTCTTTGTGAGATGGTGGACAGGTCTTTGTGAGATGGTGGACAGGTCTTTGTGAGATGGTGGACAGGTCTTTGTGAGATGGTGGACAGGTCTTTGTGAGGTGGTGGACAGGTCTTTGTGAGATGGTGGACAGGATGGTGGACAGGTCTTTGTGAGATGGTGGACAGGTCTTTGTGAGATGGTGGACAGGTCTTTGTGAGATGGTGGACAGGATGGTGGACAGGTCTTTGTGAGATGGTGGACAGGTCTTTGTGAGATAGTGGACAGGTCTTTGTGAGATGGTGGACAGGTCTTTGTGAGATGGTGGACAGGTCTTTGTGAGATGGTGGACAGGTCTTTGTTAGCTAAACAAATTCTTGCTTGACTGATCCGATCTTTTTGTTTTCCAGCAAAGCTGTCCAGATTCATGACTCTGGGGAAAGGCTGGAAGGAATCATAACAGAGGTGGTGAATGACCAGGGAAGGCTTGTGGGAAAACTTAAAGGGGTAATCAATGGTTATATCTCAATAGTTATTGTATTCATGTATCTCTAACTTAAAGGGGTAATCAATAGTTACTGTATTCATGTATCTCTAACTTAAAGGGGTAATCAATAGTTATTGTATTCATGTATCTCTAACTTAGGGGTAATCAATAGTTATTGTATTCATGTATCTCAATCTTAGGGGTAATCAATAGTTATTGTATTCATGTATCTCAAACTTAGGGGTAATCAATAGTTATTGTATTCATGTATCTCTAACTTAAAGGGGTAATCAATAGTTATTGTATTCATGTATCTCTAACTTAAAGGGGTAATCAATAGTTATTGTATTCATGTATCTCTAACTTAAAGGGGTAATCAATAGTTATTGTATTCATGTATCTCTAACTTAAAGGGGTAATCAATAGTTATTGTATTCATGTATCTCTAACTTAAAGGGGTAATCTATAGTTATTGTATTCATGTATTTCAAACTTAGGGGTAATCAATAGTTCTTGTATTCATGTATCTCAATCTTAGGGGTAATCAATAGTTATTGTATTCATGTATCTCAATCTTAGGGGTAATCAATAGTTATTGTATTCATGTATCTCAAACTTAGGGGTAATCAATAGTTATTGTATTCATGTATCTCTAACTTAAAGGGGTAATCAATAGTTATTGTATTCATGTATCTCTAACTTAAAGGGGTAATCAATAGTTATTGTATTCATGTATCTCTAACTTAAAGGGGTAATCAATAGTTATTGTATTCATGTATCTCTAACTTAAAGGGGTAATCAATAGTTATTGTATTCATGTATCTCTAACTTAAAGGGGTAATCTATAGTTATTGTATTCATGTATTTCAAACTTAGGGGTAATCAATAGTTATTGTATTCATGTATCTCAATCTTAGGGGTAATCAATAGTTATTGTATTCATCTATCTCAAACTTAGGGGTAATCAATAGTTATTGTATTCATGTATCTCAAACTTAAAGGGGTAATCAATAGTTATTGTATTCATCTATCTCAATCTTAGGGGTAATCAATAGTTATTGTATTCATCTATCTCAAACTTAGGGGTAATCAATAGTTATTGTATTCATATATCTCGAAATTAAAGGGGTAACCAATAGTTATTGTATTCATGTATCTCGAAATTAAAGGGGTAACCAATAGTTATTGTATTCATGTATCTCAATCTTAAAGGGGTAACCAATAGTTATTGTATTCATGTATCTCTAACTTAAAGGGGTAATCAATAGTTACTGTATTCATGTATCTCAAACTTAAAAGGGTAATCAGGAGCTTTAGTATTCATCTATCTCTTCCATCTGTTTTTTTTTTATCATTGAGGTATAAACAAAAAGAGAAATCACTTTAACTACCTCTGCCTATACAATTATAGAAACATGACATTGTCATTTGTAATGTTATCAACTCAAGGAAATATTAACTCATCTCTGTTGATTGAACTATATTTGCGAAGAATTTCTAAAAGCAGTTTTTTTTTCTGTTCACTTGTACAAATTCAAGAAATATTGCATGTAGTGAAGGTGTTAAGTTTCTTAGTGTAATCCCATTGTGTATTGTAAAACAATGATAAACAGCTTGGTATTTTGTGTGGTTGTCTGTCCTCAGTCAGGGAAACAGTGCCTGGCCCTGACAGAGAACTGCCTGACAGCCCTAGGGCAGACCACCATCAGCAACGGGGACCTGACAGAGCAGCTGGACAACGCTGCACCTTCTGATGTTAACTCAACTGGGAGTAGGAAGGAGAGGTTGGACAGTGTCCTCGATAGGTAAACTATACACTTGTTACTTACACAACTGGGAGTAGGAAGGAAAGGTTGGACAGTGTCCTTGATAGGTAAACTATACACTTGTTACTTACACAACTGGGAGTGATAGGTAAACTATACACTTGTTACTTACAGCTGAACATTACATTACACTTTTAGATGACATTTCTACATTACATTACATAACATTTCTACATTACATGACATTTCTACATTACATGACATTTCTACATTACATGACATTTCTACATTACATGACATTTCTACATAACATTACATCTATACATAACATTATACTTGCACATTATGTTACATGACACTTGTAGATTATCTTACACCTGTAAATTTTTATTTTTGAGTAAAGGCGAATTGTGCTGGCCACATAATGCCCTCATATGCAGAGGACAAAGACACCATCCGTTTATGGCTGGCTACATACTAATATAAATATACAAAACACAAATTCTGTAAACCATCATCGTCAGTAATTTTATTTTCTTTACTTCTGTTTACAGTCAACAAAACACAAATTCTGTAAACCATCATCGTCAGTAATTTTATTTCTTTACTTCTGTTTACAGTCAACAAAACACAAATTCTGTAAACCATCATCGTCAGTAATTTTATTTTCTTTACTTCTGTTTACAGTCAACAAAACACAAATTCTGTAAACCATCATCGTCAGTAATTTTATTTTCTTTACTTCTGTTTACAGTCAACAAAACACAAATTCTGTAAATCATCATCGTCAGTAATTTTATTTTCTTTACTTCTGTTTACAGTCAACAAAACACAAATTCTGTAAATCATCATCGTCAGTAATTTTATTTTTTTTACTTCTGTTTACAGTCAACAAAACACAAATTCTGTAAACCATCATCGTCAGTAATTTTATTTTCTTTACTTCTGTTTACAGTCAACAAAACACAAATTCTGTAAATCATCATCATCAGTAATTTTATTTTTTTACTTCTGTTTACAGTCAACAAAACACAAATTCTGTAAATCATCATCGTCAGTAATTTTATTTTCTTTACTTGTGTTTACAGTCAACAAAACACAAATTCTGTAAACCATCATCGTCAGTAATTTTATTTTCTTTACTTCTGTTTACAGTCTACAAAACACCAGGTCATCTTTGGAGGAAGTTCGTGCTTTAATCACAGAAAACACTAGTCTAATGGAGAGGTCAGTTTTTGTCTGAACACACCTTCCTATGTTGATGTTTAGTACACTAAGACTTGTCATATAATCCTCAGGTTTAGTACACTAAGACTTGTCAGATAATCCTCAGGTTTAGTACACTAAGACTTGTCAGATAATCCTCAGTTTTTAGTACACTAAGACTTGTCATATAACCTCAGGTTTAGTACACTAAGACTTGTCAGATAATCCTCAGGTTTAGTACACTAAGACTTGTCAGATAATCCTCAGGTTTAGTACACTAAGACTTGTCAGATAATCCTCAGTTTATAGTACACTAAGACTTGTCATATAATCCTCAGGTTTAGTACACTAAGACTTGTCAGATAATCCTCAGGTTTAGTACACTAAGACTTGTCAGATAATCCTCAGTTTTTAGTACACTAAGACTTGTCATATAATCCTCAGGTTTAGTACACTAAGACTTGTCCTATAATCCTCAGTTTTTATCACACTAAGGTCATATAATCCTCAGGTTTAGTACACTAAGACTTGTCCTATAATCCTCAGTTTTTATCACACTAAGGTCATATAATCCTCAGGTTTAGTACACTAAGATTTGTCTTATAATCCTCAGTTTTTAGTACACTAAGGTCATATAATCCTCAGGTTTAGTACTCTAAGATTTGTCATATAATCCTCAGGTTTAGTACACTAAGACTTGTCATATAATCCTCAGTTTTAGTACACCATAATTGTCATATAATCTTCAGGTTTAGTACACTAAGACTTGTCATATAATCCTCAGGTTTAGTACGCTAAGACTTGTCATATAATCCTCAGTTTTAGTACACTAAGGTCATATAATCCTCAGTTTTAGTACACCATAATTGTCCTATAATCCTCAGGTTTAGTACACTAAGATTTGTCCTATAATCCTCAGGTTTAGTACACTAGGAGAAACTTCAGAGGAGTACAAAGACTGGGAGCTGTTGTCATGACAACCTGGCATGAGCATGTCACATGACTAAAGTTAACCTTGTACTAGTGTTATGCTTAGTTATAAAACTCTTGTAGGTAGCCCTTCTAGGTGACTTTTCGAGGTGACTTTACAAACCTTATTGTTGGACTTCGAAAAACCTTTTTTTGTTGGATTTATATATGAACTTGTTAAGAATGTTGTATATAAACATTGCTGGCTTTTATGTTAATATTTACTGTATATACATTATTTTTATTTGTTGCGATGGCATACAGATTTTAAATATTTGATATAAAAACTGTTTACATGAAACTATTCTATGTTAATAAATTATTGTAAAGAAATGTTTGTTTTGATCTTTATAACTGATTTCTTCATCAGAGTTTAAGAAGTTGTTTTTAGGAAATGAATACAGATGTTAATTTGTTTGTAAATAATAAAAAACATTTGTGAATATCTGTATATATTTTGAATGGCAACAGAATTAAGAGAATTATCATTTTTTTTTAACCTTACATTGGAATTGAACAGTAATTTTAAAAACTTTTAAAAATGATGAATTAGTTTTGTTAAACTTGATTTAATGCATATCAATGAGGTCTTGGTTTTAAAAATAAATTTCATTTTTTTTTTGTTTCCTTGCTTTATTTGAAGTGCCAATATTCTCATACTTTAAAACAATGGTGGTGTACTATAAATAGAATTGTTCTTCTTCACCTGTACACATCTGTGTCAAGAGGACAGTCTGCCTAGGACTTTGGCTGGTGAACTTTGACCTTGAACATGTAATTGTAATAGATTATTGTAGTGTGGCTGTGATTAAGTCTGAATAAATTTTTGTCCTTGAATATCTCACATGTACCAAATTATTTTTATCTGTGATTTTTTTTTTATAGAAACCAAACTGCTATACATTGCATAGACCTAGTTATGGATAGATTTTAGAATTTATGATGGTAACTTATAGATAGATTTCAAAATAATTAATCATAAATTATTTATAGATTTCATAATAATAGATGGTAAATTATAGATAGATTTAATAATCGTTTATGATAAATTTTTCGTGATTTGAATTTACCTCACCAGAAATATGGTATTGAAACTAAGTAATACCTTAACTATGTTGCATGAACAAAATTACAGTTATATACTATATGCCCCTCTTCATAAGCAGTCAGGGTGGTATTAATTAACACAGTCATTAACAGTGTAATTCTCACATGCTAGCCATTTTTTTTTTCTAATGCTATCATCCTACGTCTCTGTCATTCTCCACGCCCCTCCCCCTCTTGATAGCCGAGAAATATTACTAAACAAATATGAATTAAAATGTGTCAACTGTGGCGTTTCTAGTTTTATGCTATTCTCAAATCTATTACAATTCTTTAGAAAAGGTATAATAAAATAATTTTTTAAAATATGCCAATGGTGTATTCTTATGTACAGTGGGATAATTGACAGGGGTGATTTTCCTGCCTCCACCATCTCATATTGTTTAGGTTTGTGTGGTAGCATTTAGTGTTAGCCATAGGGCTGGATTATAAAATGTATTGACATGTAAACATGTACTCAAGAGTTATTTACTGAGCAGCACAAAGACCATCTAATAATTCATTCACTACTTTGTTATAAATATCCTTCAAAGTTTTATATATATTTTTTAGAATAGATTTATAAGGTATGTTTAATTAAAACTGAACATCACATGCAAATAACTTGTTATTGGCACAATATTTTCAGCTTCATTTGTGTACAGCCTAGTATGTTTATTTAGGTTTGATTTAGTCCAGCAGTAATTGTTTCTGTTTTAATCATGTTCTTTCATTTAAAACGATAGTGTTCAACAAAATAACTTTGAGAATAGTTATTCATCTCCCTGTCCTGAATGAGAGTTGTTTCCCTTATTTCATCCTCCTCCCTCCCCTCTCCAAATAAAACTCCTGTTTGTCCCTAAAGATTTTTTAAAATACATAATAAATGGCTGTAGGAATTGTGAATATTTGAATTCGCTCATTTTGCTGATGTATCCATTTTTCTTTCAGTAATAAGTCTTTAGATCACATGCTAATTATATTTGATTTTGTAATCATATTTCAAGTCTAAGACCACAAAGTTTGATTTGTATAACATTTCTGTTTATAAACTGAAAAGGTATAAATCCCTGTGCTGAATCTTTGTTGCTAATAAGCAACATCAGCTACAACCTATTGAATCATTTGATCCCAATATGAGTGATTTAGCTGTAGGGAGCAACTAAGATGACTGGAGGAGACTGCAATAACAAGCAAACCATTAACAGTTCTATTGTATTGGTATGGATGTGTTTGGCTTATTCTATCCTACAATAAATGCAAATAACCAATATTTTAAACTGTTGTTCATTATTTTAAAAACCCTGATTTTGTTAAAGTATTGGCCAATCTTCTATTCAGAACAGGCTGGATGAACCCCCCCCCCCCCTCACCTTACTGTGACGTGATTAACCCCCTCCCCTACTTTAGTCAAATTGTTAGGGTCCGCTGTTGTTACAACCCACAAGATATGGATGTGCATTATTAACCAACCCCCTGCCTCATCCTCCAGAAATGAGATCCCACCTGTAATTATACTCTCAGTGGGTACTCTTGCCTAGGTTAGAGTTGTGACATTTGGTGTTTGACCAAAAGGTGTGGCACTATTACTGAATCATGAATTTCTAATGTTTGCTTACCACTCTTAACTACATTTCAACATTATTTTTTTTTTTGGAATACATTTGAAAGATCATTATCAACACACTTTCTTTGAATATATTAACAAATTAAAACAAAAAATACCTCATTCACAAATATAAAATTTTATTGAAAGAATTTAATGGTGTCGAACAATCTCAATACAATAAAATTCCAACACTGAATCAACCAACCTCAACACTGAATCAACCAACCTCAACACTGAATCAAGCAACCTCAACACTGAATCAACCAACCTCAACACTGAATCAAGCAACCTCAACACTGAATCAACCAACCTCAACACTGAATCAAGCAACCTCAACACTGAATCAAGCAACCTCAACAATGAATCAACCAACCTCAACAATGAATCAACCAACCTCAACACTGAATCAACCAACCTCAACACTGAATCAAGCAATCTCAACACTGAATCAAGCAATCTCAACACTGAATCAAGCAATCTCAACACTGAATCAAGCAATCTCAACACTGAATCAAGCAATCTCAACACTGAATCAAGCAATCTCAACACTGAATCAAGCAATCTCAACACTGAATCAAGCAATCTCAACACTGAATCAAGCAATCTCAACACTGAATCAACCAATCCCAACACTGAATCAACCAACCTCAACACTGAATCAACCAATCTCAACACTGAATCAATTTCAACACAATCTGAACACTCAGTCAAACATCACAATTCTGACAATGTAACAAACAAAATCCCCAAGTATTGAGCTGACTACGGCTCACGTTTTCTTCGGACAGATGAGCACTGGACAGTGGGCGTGGTGGAGCACGTAGGTGGACACCGAGCCGATGATGGTTCGTCGCACTGACCCCAGACCACGTGACCCAGTCACGATAAAGTCGACCTTGTGTTCATCCGCCGCCCTGACGATTGCCGACCCCGCGTCACCCCCGGTCAGACGAACCAGCTTGACTTCTACTGGCTGGGGAGAAAATAAAGTTAGATCTAGATCACCGCGGGTTTTTTAAAACTAAGTTTTAGAAATAGTTAATGGCTCCGTCATCAAGACCAATAATTTAGCATTATTTGATTTTTTTTTCTGGCATCTCTTCGGTGGATGTGGTTGATGTAAACAAAGGGATGTTACTGTGGCCTCTAAGCTTATTTAGAATGTAAACAGAAGGGACACTACTGTGACCTCTAGACTTGTTTAAAATTAATGTAAACACAGAGACATTTATATGGCATTTAGACTCACATTTAGACGGAAATGATGAGAATTAACAATAAACAGGAGGCTCCAGTGTCAATAGACGGAAGACAGGTAAATGATGTGCAAGAGTTTGTCTACCTTGGCAGCAAGATCAGCAAAACGGGAGGCACAGAGGAGGACATACGCGCTAGAGTTAATAGAGCCCGCTGCGCTTTCACAGTCCTGCGACCCATATGGAAAAGTTCGGCCATCTCCATTACCACAAAAATTAGGATATTTAACTCTAATGTCGAGGCAGTTCTGCTGTATGGAGCAGAGACATGGAGAGTCTCCAAGGCAAGCACAGCAAAGATACAGACCTTCATGAATAGATGCCTTAGACAGATACTGAAACTGAGATGGCAGGACAAAGTGCCGAACTTGGAACTATGGAGGAAAGCTAGGCAGGAGCCTATTGGTGTGCAAAAAAGGAGGAAGTGGCGCTGGGTGGGTCACACACTGCGAAAGGCTCACACAAATGTTACACGCCAAGCGCTTGAGTGGAACCCCCAGGAAAGCGGAAGAGAGGGCGCCCAAGACAGACCTGGAGGCGGAGTCTTCTTGAAGAACTGAAGCCAATAGGGATGTCTTGGGAGATGTCAAAATTAATAGCCGAGGATAGGAAGAAATGGAAGGAAATGGTGGAGGCCCTATGCTCCATAAGGAGCAAAGAGGACTAAGTAAAGTAAGTAAGTAAGTAGACTCGCTTATACTTGTAGTGAATTTAAACAATCGGAGACCGACCTTGACACTGGCCAGCCGCTCCTGGATCCTCGCCATGAGTTTGTTGATCTCCTCCTCGCCCTGTTGGATCATCCTCGACACAAGGTTCGTGTCCATGCTCAGCACGGCTGGGGTGGGAACAAGGAGACAGGTATGTGGGCAGGTAGCAAAGGCAAGATATAGAGGTACAAGGGTCTGATACAGGCAAGAACAGAGGTACATGGCCAAGATACAGGCAAGAACAGAGGTACATGTTCATAAGATGGTCAAGAATAGAGGTACATGGTCAAAATACAGGCAAGAATAGAGGTACATGGTCAAGATACAGGCAAGAATAGAGGTACATGGGTCTGATACAGGCAAGAATAGAGGTACATGGGTCTGATACAGGCAAGAATAGAGGTACATGGTCATAAGATGGTCAAGAACAGGTACATGGTCATAAGATGGCCAAGAACAGAGGTAGGGGTCAAGATACAGGCAAGAATATAGGCATGTGGTTATAATACAAACACAAGTATAATAGATGTCAAAGAACGTTGATTCCCCCCCCCCCCCTCCAAAAAAAAAACAAACATGAGCCAGCCAAACAGAAAGACTCACGTGCATGTAGAACGTTTTTGTAGTCGGGACAGTGAGCGACCAGGATCTTCAGGCCGTGTTTGTACACATTGGTCATGAACCCTGGAACAAAGACAAAATGTTATATGAACCCTTTATCAGAGGCAAGATGTTATATGAACCCTGTATCAGAGGCAAGATGTTATGTGAACCCTGTATCAGAGGCAAGATGTTATATGAACCCTGTATCAGAGGCAAGATGTTATGTGAACCCTGTATCAGAGGCAAGATGTTATATGAACCCTGTATCAGAGGCAAGATGTTATGTGAACCCTGTATCAGAGGCAAGATGTTATATGAACCCTGTATCAGAGGCAAGATGTTATGTGAACCCTGTATCAGAGGCAAGATGTTATGTGAACCCTGTATCAGAGGCAAGATGTTATGTGAACCCTGTATCAGAGGCAAGATGTTATATGAACCCTGTATCAGAGGCAAGATGTTATATGAACCCTGTATCAGAGGCAAGATGTTATATGAACCCTGTATCAGAGGCAAGATGTTATGTGAACCCTGTATCAGAGGCAAGATGTTATATGAACCCTGTATCAGAGGCAAGATGTTATGTGAACCCTGTATCAGAGGCAAGATGTTATGTGAACCCTGTATCAGAGGCAAGATGTTATGTGAACCCTGTATCAGAGGCAAGATGTTATATGAACCCTGTAACAGAGGCAAGATGTTATATGAACCCTGTAACAGGTACAAGCTGATATATAAACCTTGAAATAGCTGAGCTGTTATGAGTCAAGTGTCCTACATAGCATTACTAGAAACTAGTCAAATTGTCCCTTTACGGTCAACCGACCGCTCTACGTTCAACTGACCGCTTTACAATCAAAATAGTTCTACTTACAATCGAAGGCATAAAACGAGTGGTCACTTCCATCCATGGCAATGAGAACAGTTTTCTTGTCAACTTCATCCTTGCTGGTCGCGTCTTCCACAGTCAAATCCGACATTTTTCTGGTAGCTTTGCTGGTAGCTTCTTCCACGGTCAAATCCGACATCTTTCTCGTAGCTTTCAATGGGAAAAAACCCGTCTCTTTAGCCATACAATCCGTTATCAGACAAAGTTTGGTAGGCTAAAGTTCTGGCTTTGTTTTTGTCTGTGCTTCTGTTTGCGTTTTTTTTTCTTCAATCAACTCATTAAGTAATTTTTATCTCGAATTTAGAGGCACACGACGTTATCAGGTTAACACAAATCTTAGAATGTTGGTCCTAAAACACAAGTCAAACCTTGGGTAGTCTTCAGCTCTATCAAGGTGAAGGTCGCGTGGGTCATATTAGTACTAGCACGCACCAAGTTTATCCTGAAATCTGTTCATACTACACGCCAATGATATTAGCCATGTTTTGTTTACAAACACGTTACGAAAATAGGGGGTCATCCATTTATTACGACTATAAAGTGTGGAGGGGGAGTCATCCATTAGTACGACTATAAAGTGGGGGGGGGGGGGGGGGGGGTAAAAAAGTTGACTTTTGTGGACGGGTTTGACTCAATGATTTATTAGAGTGCAACGTGAAATTACAGACATTTACACTGTTAAAACTTTTCCTTCCCTACACAGTTTAGACCAGGGACTTCTTCTTCTTCTTCGTTCTTAATTATTAGTGTTGAAGGGGATCGAGATTTATCGGCCAGTGGGTTTGAACTCGAGAAGACCAGGGACTAATTTGTTTGGTTAAATTAAATATCCGTCAGTTAAAAATATATATATATAGAAACGGAAAGGAAAATAAATAAAACTTGCTAGGGCATCTACATGAAAAAATAACCACCAAATGCAGCCCCTAAATATATTTGAAAGTAAACAAACCCAAAACCCCTCATGCATACCATTCTCGTCTACAACATAGTTTGTCGTTTCTCTAACTTGTCAGTTTGCTGTTGCGGAAGTTAACACATTGAAACCACCCCTAATTTTAACTTAACTTTTTGCACACCACACAGCCCTAACTTTTGGCATACAGCACAACCCAAACTATAACCTAAAAATAGTGTTACATAGCACAAACCTAACTTTAACCTAACGTACGTTACACAACCTACCCCTTACTATAACCTTTGCCACACCATTTCTATTGTAGTCAGTATCACAAGACAAGCAGGCCTCAATCATGCACAGCAGGCACCTGTTAGAAGAAAACCAGCAGATCCGCCATCACCAGCCTAAGGCCACAAGAAATCACTGTGATAGCCCAAACAGACAACACAAAATCAATCGATAGCCAAGATGAGCACTATCTATTTTAGGCATCGATACACGCTCGAAAACATCGGGATGTAGGTCACGTGTGTTGGCAGTCTTAACCCTGGTCAAACAAAAAACTCAAGTTTTGGTTTTCACTTGAATGTCTGTCAACAAGGTTGTTAAATCTTAGACAGTAGAGAGGTGACGTGTTGCATGATCATAGGTCCACAGCCGTGTGTTTCATGGTCATAGGTCCACAGCCGTGTGTTTCATGGTCATAGGCCCACAGCCGTGTGTTTCATGGTCATAGGCCCACAGCCGTGTGTTTCATGGTCATAGGCCCACAGCCGTGTGTTTCATGGTCATAGGCCCACAGCCGTGTGTTTCAGGCCGGGGGGGGGGGGGGGGGGACGACGGGGGGGGGGGGCGCTTGAAATTTTCGGGGGGTGCCGGGGGTGCCACTGTTAAAAGTATATATTTTCTATAAAAAGTTTGTGTCTCGTGGTCATAGGCCCACAGTTTTGTATTTCATAGGCTCACAGTTATTTGTTACATGGACATAGTCCCACAGTCAAATGAGCACTTCTCACACTCCAATGATCACTTCACTGTTTTACTGTGTTACGTCCCTATGTCTACCAAAAACAATGACAAAAATCACTTCTAATTCTGTATGTCGGTGGCTCTAACAGGTGTGGCAGAACTCGGAATGAAACCTCTCACCTGTGTGCCTGAAGGTGCCACCTGGATGTGACGTCTCCTGGTGTTCTGGCTCAGTTCTCCCACCACCCTCAGTAAAGTACACAGCTGTTTTTGTCGTCGGCAGGTGTGTGTGTATGTGTGGGGGGGGGGGGGGGGGGGTCGGGTGTTCTCCGTGACGGTCTGGTTGTTGAAGTCAAACGATTTGTATTATTATGTACAGGCGAGTTTGTAATTAATGATTAGTCATTTGTGTTGGTACACTGGCAAGAATGAATAAAAAAAAAATATTTTGCTAAAGTCTAAGAATGCTAAAAATAAAAAAAAATCCTTTACGTCCTTAATGTCAAAGGGTAGGTAAATCAGCGTTCACTTCACCCGCTTCTTTTATCTGGACACATGGGGGGGGGGAGTAGTTTGGTCAGCTCTATGCTCAGCTGCCTTTACTTTTCCTAACACGAGTCGGGCACCTATTACATACATTCGGGTTAGCAGCCGTGCGCTCTACCACCCAGCCACGCCGTCTCACTAGCCAACATAAAAGTGAGGGGTAAAAATATATTTTTTTTTCCTGTTAATTTCTGTTTTTTCTTGCACTCAAAAATATTTAGTTGATTGTTTTCATCTACTTTTCCTGGACCTGACTTCCACTCACTTGATTGGCTAGACGTATTTACGTAATGCTACACTGTCTTCACACTTTAAAATCAAGGTCATGCAAATCAAAGAGAATGCATCCATTTCAAAACAAAACTAAAAGGAAAAAAAAAGAGAATATAAAAAACGGAAGGAAATCACAACTGCCCACATTCTCACCAATTATACTAAAACATTAGACAGGAGTTTAGTGCTGGGTTTGAATGTTCTCAGAAAGTCGAGAGAACGGGACAAGACGACATACATGTTTGTATCGCTGCACCAGTGTTGACCACTGGTCAGTTCAGTCTTTGACTGAAACGCCAGGGTACACACATCAAAAGATGACATTATTGACATAGTCGGTACTTTATTTAAAAGGTCAATCACAGCAACAAAAAATATTTGCACCTTTAAAACTAAATTGAGCAAAAGCCAAATCCAAATCAAATGACACTGATTAGCGTTGTTAACAAATGAGTAGATCACCTGTTCTCGATAGCCAACTCAAAGCTAAGTGTCAGAGGTTAACAAATGAGTAGATCACCAGTTCTCGATAGCCAACTCAAAGCTAAGTGTCAGAGGTTAACAAAGGAGTAAATCACCAGTTCTCGATAGCCAACACAAAGCTAAGTGTCAGTGGTTCGAGTACAGACTGAAAGGATTTGTTGTCTGGTTTTTTCCATGCCCGTTTTTTTTTTACTCTCAGCGGTCTTCAAGTCTCTAACCAACCGACCACTTTCTTACCCGTGGTGATAGAGACGACTGTACAAACTGGGATCTTTGTGCCAGAATTCATAACCAGGTTAAAACGAGTTTCTTGCCACAAATACTAAACCCTGAAACCAATCCTTGAAACATGCACAAGCAAAAGCAAATTCAGTATACAGTTGTCTTTACGTATTTGTTTCAGGTAATTACAATAAATTAAATCCCCAATAAAATGGCGGTACATTATAACTAACACGGCCGCGGTGGGATAATATAAGTTCTGTGGAAGTTATGTTCAAGAAACATCTCATTATCACAATACCTGCCGGAAGTGGCTTGATTAAAAACGAAACTATCGTGCGTCAAAACTTCTGCGGGAGTCGCATTTCCGGTTTGGTGAAATCCGACCCCATTGCCACACATTGTGTGGCCCATGAGCTCCTCCTCAAAGGCAGTGACGTTGGAGAATGTCCCCTCGCTTGGTACGGGAGAAAGTCTGTTCAAGGTTGGTGCTTGGGGGAAACCTACAGCATTGGGTGCTTGAGGGAAACTGATCATATTGGGCACTGCAGGAAATGTACTGCAGTTGGATATTGCTGAGACTCTTTGTATGTTGGGTAAATAAGGAACTCTAGAGGAGTCCGGCTCATCAATAGTGACAACCTCTGAACTCTGATCATCGAGGGCCTGTTGATTTAAGTTCGGCTGGTTCTGGGCGGCCCTTTGAAACAGCTGGTGCAGGACGAGCCAGTGGCGCGACTCCTCAAGTTCCGACTGGGTGAGCTGCTGGCTTTTCTTCCCCAGGCGCGACCTGAGGAACGTGTACAGCTTGTACACGTCAGCAGGCAGGTCGAACCTCTGAGAACATGTGAAAGCCGTGTCGTGGTTTGGGATCAGCCTCGTGTTGAGTACTGACTGGCTACCCAGGCGTGACGCCGTCTGCTTCCTGAAGCATTTGTTGACGACCGTCACGTTGTCTTCGGAGCTTGACATTTTGTCGCAGTTCTCGAGTAAACGAGTTTCAGCACACGGCGACATTTGTGAACTCTGGAACTCCCAGAGGTCAGTGAATCGTACAGACACGATCTGATTGGCTTGTTTATTTACCCAGCGTTCAAACTGGATGGCGTCACTTCCTGTCGTACAAACAGGGGACGTTTGAAACGATTCACTGCCGGCGGTTGGCACGTGGTAGTCGAAGGTCAGCAGGACGCACACCTTGAAAGGTTTGGTCTGGTGGAAGCTGATCACATGATCCCGGTGGTGCTTGGTGTAGGGGCGAGTGTCCAGCTTTGGGGAATCCTGGTAGGCGTGAGTGTCCATCTGCGGAGATATCTGGTAGTTGCTGCGCGTGTACCTGGGGCAGATGAACGTCACCTTCGTCTTGAGGGCGTCGGCGATCAGGTGACAGAAACGTTTGGTCATGTCCACCTCTAACGTCCTGCCTGCCGAGCTGACCACGTAGATTGTACCTACACACAGACAAAATGGTGTGCGATTATTGTCATTGATAGGCTTTTATTAATTAAAGCTAATGAATATATGAATTGTCACTAAAAATCAAAATGAGAAAATCAAATGTGTGACTCACTTCTGTCTTTAGTGTTCTTACGGGGTCGGATGATACACAATACCATCGTTATAATCAACATCGAGATCAACAGCACTGCACTGCCGGCTGCTATAGCTATAATGGGAGGCTCTTTCTCTGGGGGATCAATAGGGGGGAACATTATAACAGGGGGGAACATTATAATATGGCGGATCAACAGGGGGAACATAATATGGGGGAACCATAGGGGGAACATTACAACATGGGGAAACAACATGGGGAACATTATAACATGGGGGAACCATAGGGGGAACATTTTAACAGGGGGGTACAACATGGGGAACATTATAACGGGGAACATTATAACAGAAGAGAACCATAGGGGAACATTATAACAGGGGGAATCATTATAACATGGGGTAACAACAGGGGAATATATAACATGGGGGAACATTATGGGAACATTATAACAGGGGGAAACATTACAACATGGGGGAACATTATAACATGAGGGAACCATAGGGGGAACATAACAACAGGGGGAACATTACAACATGGGGGAACATTAGAACACGGGGGAACATTATAACAGGGGGGCATTATAACATGGGGAAACATTATAACAGGGGGAACATTATAACATAAGAAACATTATAACAGGAGGGAACATTATAACAGGAGGGAAAAACAGGGGGAACATTATAACAATGGGTGAACATTATAACACGAGAAAAATGGCCCGTTGAGGAAGGATACACCGGGCGCTAGCTTGATAGTGCTGTCTCTTTTCTCTAAACTAAAACCAACCCCCCCCCCCACACACACCACCCCCACCCCACCCCACCCCCACACACCACCCCCCACCCCCACCCCCCCACCCCCCACACACACCACCCCCTCCACACACCGCCCCCCACACACACACCACCCCCCCCCCCCCCCCACCCCTCCACCCCCCCCCCCCCCAAAAAAAAAACATGCCTACCGTCCCATTCAACGAAATATAATTATATACTTTTTCCAGTGTCCGCCCCTTCCCCGAAAATTCTACCCCCGCCCCCGAAAATTTCAAGTACCCCCACCCCTCTCTGGGGAGGAAAAAGTCTAAACTAAAACCACCCCACCCCCCCCCCCCACCCCCCCACCCCCCACCCCCCCACCCCCCCCCCCAAAAACAAACATGTCTACCGTCCCATTCAACGAAATATAATTATATACTTTTTCCAGTGTCCGCCCCCTCCCCGAGGGGGGGGGGGGGCTCAGACGTTCTTACGCGGGGGGTGGGGCTTCGCCCCTACCCGAAGAATTGTATGCAAGAAACTCTTCACGCAAACCATTAAGATTAGACAACATTTCCTTTTTATTCAATGTTAACGCGAAAATCAATGACGTCATATAACTTTGAGCACTCTCTGGGTTTGAGATTATTTTCTACTCTGTGCGCTAAATGTGTCGACGTCATACTTCGTTTTTCGAAATACTATGCATGTTTTTATTTTCCTTGTGTTTTCTCTAGAGCGTTCTTGTCAGATAGATAGATAGACAGACAGCGAAACTATTAGTATTAACGAGAAAAATGGCCCGTTGAGGAAGGGTACAACGGGCGCTAGGCTGATAGTGCTGTCTCTTTTCTCTAAACTAAAACCAACCCACCCCCCCACACACCACCCCCACCCCCACACACCACCCCCACCCCCCACCACCCCCACCCCTCACCCCCACACACCACCCCCTCCACACACCGCCCCCCACCCCCCACCCCCCCCCCCCCAAAAAAAAACATGTCTACCGTCCCATTCAACGAAATATAATTATATACTTTTTCCAGTGTCCGCCCCCTCCCAGAAAATTCTATCCCCGCCCCCAAAAATTTCAAGTACCCCCACCCCTCTCCGGGGAGGAAAAAGTCTGAAAGAAACACTGAAACCAACCCACCCCCCCACCCCCACACCCCCCCACCCCACCCCCCACCCCCCACCCCCACCCCTCCACCACCCCCCACCCCCAAAAAACATGTCTACCGTCCCATTCAACGAAATATAATTATATACTTTTTCCAGTGTCCGCCCCCTCCCAGAAAATTCTACCCCCGCCCCCGAAAATTTCAAGTACCCCCCACCCCTCTCCGGGGAGGAAAAAGTCTGAAAGAAACACTGAAACCAACCCACCCCCCCACACCCCCCCACCCACACACACCACCCCCCCACACACACTCCCCCCCCAACCCCTCCACCCCCCCCCCCCAAAAAAAAAATCATGTCTACCGTCCCATTGCAAGAAAACCACTTTTTAGATTAGACACATTAATTAGGCGGTAATTTTATTATAGAGTATCGATGAGGAAATTTCTTTTGAGTTGGGGAGGGGGAGGGGCTCAGACGTTCTTACGCGGGGGGTGGGGCTTCGCCCCTACCCGAAGAATTGTATGCAAGAAACTCTTCACGCAAACCACTTAGATTAGACAGCATTTCCTCTTTATTCAATATTTACGCCAGAATCAATGACGTCATTATATTACTGTGAGATTATTTTCTACTCTGTGCGCTAAATGTGTCGACGTCATACTTCGTTTTTCGAATTACTATGCATGTTTTTAAATTGCTTCTGTTTTCTCTAGAGCGTTCTTGTCAGACAGATAGATAGATAGATAGATAGATAGATAGACAGACAGCGAAACTATTATTATAGATAGGGAGCATTATAACATGGGGAACATTTGACAATCTGGGTATACATACTAAACATTACTACACAAGCTTGTATTTTAAAAGCAGAATTAAGTTTTCACAAATAGTGCGAACAGAGATTGATTGGTATGCAAATTTTGTTTACCTAAAGGTTTAAAATAAACCCTAACATCACGTGACTTTAGGGGTTTGCAGAATTTTTGGAGACAGTAGCCTCCCTTGGGTGTCACTCTGACGTAATAGAGCCCTGGCATCACGTGGCTGAAGTTGCTGTAGGATTCTGTGGTGTTGGTCTGGTGGTCAAAGGTAAGTCCAAATGGTCAAGATATGGCTGCAGTCAGATGGTCAGTGTGCTAAGTCAACTTGTCAAAATATGGCTGCAGTCAAATGGTCAGTGTGCTAAGTCAACTTGACAAAATATGGCTGCAGTCAAATGGTCAGTGTACTAAGTCAACTTGACAAAATATGGCTGCAGTCAAATGGTCAGTAAAAGTCAACTTGTCAAAATATGACTGCAGTCAAATGGCCAGTAAAAGTCAACTTGTCAAAATATGACTGCAGTCAAATGGCCAGTAAAAGTCAACTTGTCAAAATATGACTGCAGTCAAATGGTCAACTTGTCAAAAAAATTGAATAAAAAGTTACATGAAATTTTGAAAGTGCCCCACCTGAGTTACCCAGCTTAGTGAAATATATGAATGACCCACATGTGACCCACCTCAGTGACCCACCTCAGTGAAATATCTGAGTGACCCTCTCAGTGACCCACCTACGTGAAACACCCGAATGACCCACCTGAGAGACCCACCTCAGTGACCCACCTCAGTGCAATATCTGACAGACTGACTCAAGCGACCCACCTCAGAGATGACGGTCTCAGTTTGACTGATTAGGAGAGCCACATGAAAATACTCCACTGGAAGCACCGGAAGTTGAAACGTCACGTGAATGAGGCTGACGTGGGACACTGCTGCCACTGCTACAAGCTCGTACATCCAGAAGGTCTTCTCTAAAATGGCGAGGTCAATAATTCAAGAGGGGTCGATGTTTGCAAGGAGAGATGATTTCATGCACAAGGCAGATAGATGTTTGCAAGAAGGGTCGATGTTTGCCAGGAGAGATGATTTCATGCACAAGGCAGATAGATGTTTGCAAGAAGGGTCGATGTTTGCAAGGAGAGATGGTTTCATGCACAAGGCAGATAGATGTTTGCAAGGAGAGATGGTTTCATGCACAAGGTAGATAGATGTTTTTAAGGAGAGTTGGTTTCATGCACAAGGAAGATAGATGTTTGCCAGGAGAGATGGTTTCATGCACAAGGCAGATAGATGTTTGCAAGGAGAGATGGTTTCATGCACAAGGCAGATAGATGTTTGCAAGGAGAGATGGTTTCATGCACAAGGCAGATAGATGTTTGCCAGGAGAGTTGGTTTCATGCACAAGGTAGATAGATGTTTTTAAGGAGAGTTGGTTTCATGCACAAGGCAGATAGATGTTTGCAAGGAGAGATGGTTTCACGCACAAGGCAGATAGATGTTTGCAAGGAGAGTTGGTTTCATGCACAAGGTAGATAGATGTTTTTAAGGAGAGTTGGTTTCATGCACAAGGCAGATAGATGTTTGCAAGGAGAGATGGTTTCATACACAAGGCAGATAGATGTTTGCAAGGAGAGATGGTTTCATACACAAGGCACATAGATGTTTGCAAGGAGAGATGGTTTCATGCACAATGTAGATAGATGTTTGCTAGGAGAGATGGTTTCATACACAAGGTAGATAGATGTTTGCAAGGAGAGATGGTTTCATGCACAATGTAGATAGATGTTTGCAAGGAAAGATGGTTTAATGCACAAGGCAGATAGATGTTTGCAAGGAGAGATGGTTTCATGCACAAGGCAGATAGATGTTTGCAAGGAAAGATGATTTCATGCACAGGCAAGGAGAGAACAATAGACACAAGGGAGTAGGCCTATGCATGGATTTAAGAAGAAATTAGGGGCAAAGGGAGATCAATATGTTCAAAGGGAGATAAATGGGTGAAAAAATAGAGGTCATAAATGTGTGTAAGGAGGGATAAATTGATGCAATGGCAGATAGCCGTTTACATGGTGTATTTGGTCTTATAGCGTGTACTGCTATGTAATGCTGGTCAGTTAATTAGCTGCTGTCATTACCAGATTAGCTGACCACTGGAAGACCACTGCATGCAGTTGTCTAAGTTACCCAGAGCTACAACATCCAAACGCACACTCTCCCACACTCTCCCACACTCTCACCGTCATAGTATTCAGGATAGCTCCAGTCGATCCAGGAAATGATGTAGTTCAAGGTATGATAATAAGGAAGTGACGTCAGAGTTAGAGTGAAATCGCTCATGGTGAGGTCGTTGCCGATACAGCCGTAGGATATTGAAAATTCCTGAGGAAATAAATAGCGTATGTGGAGGGATGGGTCGTGGGTTATAAGCAATGTTCCCTCTAAGCTACGCGGTTGTGCGGCCGCGCAGTAATTGCAAACCTTCCGCGCAGTCATTTTGTAAAATACAACTATCATTCTATATGACTTTGCGAACACCGCACACACTTTTTCCCCTTGGAATAAGCATTGATTATAAATGACGTTGTCATGACGACGAAGTGAAGTAAATTTTCGATGAGAATCAGTCATAGGGGTAAACACATAATTAAAGGGGAAATAACGCAATTTTTTAGGCAACTGTGCATTATCTTATTAAATACAAAGAATTTTATTTTCACTACCTTATTAAAATTAAAAGAATTGTTTTACTACTATATTAAAGTAAATTTCCCTTTTCGAACCCGACAGTCCATGGGGCAAGTGAAGTAGAATTCGCCTGTTTCTTTGACTCGGCATATAAAAGTATAGTATGGTCAGCACTATGTACAGCTGCCTGTACTTTCCATATCCTGAGTTAGGTACCCATTAAAGCTTGATTGACTCAGGGATGTTCTACTGACGTGATCCCGGATTCGAACTCAACACTTGTCTCGCGCTCTACCGCTGGGCCACGCCGTCCCTTACCTTATTAACCATTAATGTAGTGTATCTGTCTAATCGCCTCGTCGTAACCAAACCTCAAAAGTAAACTAGGTCTCTACGTTAATCAGTTTTATTTATTAAGTTAATGACAATTATCTTTATGTAACAGAAAAAAGGGAAATAACTCAAAACGTATTGGATCGAGACTTTTACATGGAGTTATCTATCTTGGGGGGACTGAACGTTTTTAAAATACCATTTACTTTGGACTAGATTGACAACTTCCGGGAAACGAGCATGTGAAACTGGGGCTAACAGTGGTGGCGTTGTTTGTTTAGTATTTCAAAATCCTCGGTATCTCAGCGGTGTGTTGCGTATCATCAGTGGGGGATAAATCAAAAGGGTTTACACACACACACAGATGTACGGGCCCTAGCTACAGGTGAACGTTGCTACCCTACCCAGGGAGACACATTTGTCGATACGGTCGACCGACCTGAGTTTCTTTTCAGGCACTGTCACCCTGGGGAAATCCACCGTCCCACCCCCAGTTATCAAATTTAAACAAAAAATAATATTACATTTTTGTGAAAAATAGATGAATTTAGGGTACGCCCCCCCCCCTCCCCCATCCCTCTCCCCGAGAAAAAAAATGTCTGAAAGAAAAACTCGACGATGGGACAAGACCAACTCAGTAAAAGGTCAATCGGCAAGTAGTAATTAGTGTCCAATTAGAGGCCCAATATTGGAAGGTAATTAATTAAAAAGACTCAAACAAGATATTGAAAATTGAAAAAAAAAAGATAAATGTTTAAGCTACCCGGTTTATTAGGTCTACTCATCAACGACACAAAATAAAATTATCCAACACATATGCACAACAAACTGATACCTAATACAGATACAACAAAGATATCCAACATATACCCCAAAAATATCAAACAGATAATTATACAGATACAAGAAAGATATCTCACAGATACTCAAAAAAATCAAACAGATACCTATACAGATACAAGTACAAGAAAGATATCCAACATATTATAATACCCAACAAAGATGTCCCACATATACCCAACAAAGATGTCCCACATATACCCAACAAAGATGTCCCACATATACCCAACAAAGATGTCCCACATATACCCAACAAAGATGTCCCACATATACCCAACAAAGATGTCCCACATATACCCAACAAAGATGTCCCACATATACCCAACAAAGATGTCCCACATATACCCAACAAAGATGTCCCACATATACCCAACAAAGATGTCCCACATATACCCAACAAAGATGTCCCACATATACCCAACAAAGATGTCCCACATATACCCAACAAAGATGTCCCACATATACCCAACAAAGATGTCCCACATATACCCAACAAAGATGTCCCACATATACCCAACAAAGATGTCCCACATATACCCAACAAAGATGTCCCACATATACCCAACAAAGATGTCCCACATATACCCAACAAAGATGTCCCACATATACCCAACAAAGATGTCCCACATATACCCAACAAAGATGTCCCACATATACCCAACAAAGATGTCCCACATATACCCAACAAAGATGTCCCACATATTCCCAACAAAGATATCAAACAGATACCTAACACAGATACAAGCAAGATACCAAGAAGACAAATCGTGTCGACCCCTAGTAGACCAGCATATTGTAAACGTTACTGACACGAAGATTCAAACACCCTGTCAGTACTGTTGACACAGGCCCACTGTGTTGATCTTTTCCATTGGTGGACTCGTTCAAAGTGACAGGCAGCTCAATTCAGTCTTAAGTATATCATTTAGTTTATCGTATAGGCCTACGTCTCTTTTCTTACCTCCCCTGTTCCCGACCCTCCCCAACCCTGATCCCCATCTCATCTCACCCCCACCTTCCTCTCATCACACCACCTCTGACCCCACCTCCCCCTCATCACACCTCCTCTGACCCCCCCCCCCTCATCACACCTCCTCTGACCCCACCTCCCCCTCATCACACCTCCTCTGACCCCACCTCCCCCTCATCACACCTCCTCTGACCCCACCTCCCCCTCATCACACCTCCTCTGACCCCACCTCCCCCTCATCACACCTCCTCTGACCCCACCTCCCCCTCATCACACCTCCTCTGACCCCACCTCCCTCTCATCACACCTCCTCTGACCCCACCACCTCTCATCACACCTCCTCTGACCCCACCCCCCCTCATCACACCTCCTCTGACCCCCCGCCCTCATCACACCTCCTCTGACCCCACCTCCCCCTCATCACACCTCCTCTGACCCCACATCCCTCTCATCACACCTCCTCTGACCCCACCTCCCTCTCATCACACCTCCTCTGACCCCACCACCTCTCATCACACCTCCTCTGACCCCCCCTCATCACACCTCCTCTGACCCCACCACCTCTCATCACACATCCTCTGACCCCCCCTCATCACACCTCCTCTGACCCCACCCCCCCCCTCATCACACCTCCTCTGACCCCCCCCCCCCTCATCACACCTCCTCTGACCCCCCCTCATCACACCTCCTCTGACCCCACCTCCCCCTCATCACACCTCCTCTGACCCCACCACCTCTCATCACACCTCCTCTGACCCCACCTCCCCCTCATCACACCTCCTCTGACCCCACCACCTCTCATCACACCTCCTCTGACCCCACCCCCCCCCCCTCATCACACCTCCTCTGACCCCACCCCCCTCATCACACCTCCTCTGACCCCACCCCCTCATCACACCTCCTTTGACCCCACCCCTCATCACACCTCCTCTGACCTCCCCCCCCCCTCATCACACCTCCTCTGACCCCACCCCCCCCCCCCCCCCCTCATCACACCTCCTCTGACCTCCCCCCCCCTCATCACACCTCCTCTGACCCCACCCCCCCTCATCACACCTCCTCTGACCCCCCCCCCCCTCATCACACCTCCTCTGACCCCACCCCCCCTCATCACACCTCCTCTGACCCCCCCCCCTCATCACACCTCCTCTGACCCCCCTCCCCTCATCACACCTCCTCTGACCCTACCCCCCCCCCTCATAACACCTCCTCTGACCTCCCCCCCTCATCACACCTCCTCTGACCCCCACCTCCCCCTGATCCCCACCTCATCTGACCCCACCTACCTCTCATCACACCTCATCTGACACCACCTCCCCCTGATCCCCACCTCATCTGACCCCACCTACCTCTCATCACACCTCCTCTGACCCCCAACTCCCCCTCATCACACCTCCTCTGACCCCCACCTCCCCCTGATCCCCACCTCATCTGACCCCACCTACCTCTCATCACACCTCCTCTGACCCCCAACTCCCCCTCATCACACCTCCTCTGACCCCCACCTCCCCCTGATCCCCACCTCATCTGACCCCACCTACCTCTCATCACACCTCATCTGACACCACCTCCCCCTGATCCCCACCTCATCTGACCCCACCTACCTCTCATCACACCTCCTCTGACCCCCCTCCCCTCATCACACCTCCTCTGACCCTACCCCCCCTCATCACACCTCCTCTGACCTCCCCCCTCATCACACCTCCTCTGACCCCCCCCCCCCTCATCACACCTCCTCTGACCCCACCCCCCCCCTCATCACACCTCCTCTGACCCCCCCCCTCATCACACCTCCTCTGAGCCCCACCTCCCTCTCATCACACCTCCCCTGACCCCCACCTCCCCTGATGAAATCGCTATTGTTGATCGAAATCTCCCAGGTTACCCCATACTTTAACAACACCAAGTAGATCTACTTCCTGCTGATTAACTTAGATTAAGGATTACGTCTAGACACAAAAAAATTAGGATTAGCGCCCGAGTGGGGATAACGAGATTAGGAAAAAGAAAGAATTATCGCTACCCTCGCCCTGACCCTAATTATTGTTTTCTAGATGTAATCCTTAATCACCAGGAAGCATTTGGTGTTATTTTATGTTCTGGTATCGTTGTCCTAACCTTAGGAGAAAGATATAGCCTGCTTGTCTTTTGATCCTAACCATAACCTTGACCATAACACTAACCCAGCCCTTACTTCATGTCGAGTACGTGGTTTGTTAAGCTGAAAATTTCAAGTCTCTTGATTGTGGAGAGTCGATCGAGGTCACGTGGAAAGAACGCATCAGATCGTCTTGTTTACAAAGTGTAACAGGCCTTGAAGCCGCCATGACAGCTGCAACAAAACAATCCAGGTAGCACGCGCCGACGCGTGACGGATCGTTCATTGGTTGATTGAGATCTGTCAAGGGAGAAGGGAGGGGGGATAATTAATGTTCACACTCGCCGCGCCATTGTTGATACAACACTACGTCCCTTTGTTGGTGTCGTTAGGGTGGGGCGGGTAGGCTTGTATGGTGGGGTGGAGGTCAGGGGAGGAGGAGGAGGGAATGGG